ACAGCCATACACCAGCACATATGATTTGATTATAGTGGTGAAGGCTTTGTGCAGAACCAATCACACTTTTTGAAGGGCCGAATACAGAGACCTAGTGCACTACGGGCCACAAGGTCCCCAAACAACTCTCCGCAAAGTTAGAATTCAGATTTTTCCTTCTCCTAGACTAGTTGTCATCCAAGGCTATAGTAACCAGTCAGTCCTGCTATTTACCCATAGCTGGAGGGAGAAGAAGAGAATCCATACCCTTCTCAAGGGTATTAGAACGTAATTCATCGCAATGGATTCGAGTGGAATTCGAACTCGGCTCCCCGATTCCTCAATCCGAGCCACTATCCACTACTTAAATCCCTTAACATTTTCTGCCATTTAAATTATCATATTAAAACCGTGGATATTTCTTTTCTATTTTTTTTTTTTTTTTTTTTTTTTTTTTAATTGATTATAGAAGATGGATGTCTTCATTTTACACGGACTAATGTAGATAATATTCAACTGTTGTATTACTAAAATTAACGCTGTCTGGTACAAGGTTCTGCCCGTGGGATAATGAAAGGACAGAATCCACTATTATAGTGATGGACTGCGAGTATATGTAGACAGAAGTTGCTTCGCAGAAACAACATCCATTATTTGTTATGTACTGAGGCGCTATTGAATATAATAAATTATCGAAATAAGAAAGAAAGATTGTCAAGAAAAGGAATAAAATACGAGATAATGAAAGAAAATAGATTGTAGAGAAACTAATTTGTCAGGGAAGGAAAGAAAATAGTGTGCAGAGAATGAAAGAAAATAGACTGTTGAGAAAAAGTAAATTGAAATTGAAGGAAAGAAAAAAGATCGTATAAAAAAAAAATAAATTTCAAGATAAGGAAAGAGAAATAGGTTAAAGTCAGTATAAATGGGGAAAGAAAGAAAAATAGATTGTAGAAAAAATGACGTCACAGAGTATTGTAGTAAGCAAGGATTAAATAAATAAAATGAAAATAAGGGAAAAAAAAACATAATTGATTTTAGGACGTAGAAGGGGAGAATGATACAACCAAAGAATCGTCTATAGAATAATGGATAAAAAAAGAAGGAAAGACAAATGAAAAATATTAAAAAAAAAAACCTTCGAAAGAAATCAAGAACTTTTCAAAAGGAAAAAAAAACTAAAAACCTGAAAATTTATTTCTTTCATTTTATGCATCATATCATAATCGTTAGAAAATTGCTATCAGTATCATGGAGCAGGGCGTCGACTAGATTCTAGCAATGGTGGGTTAGCTGGGAAAGCGTGGCGCCCCGGAAGCGAACCGACTTGAACATTTTCTTTGTTTTCGACAGATGTCATCATTGAAGAACCTCTTCGAACAGTCAGAGAAATTCAAGTAGTCGATATTCTGTCACTTTAATTCTAACACCCCTACCCCGCACCTCTAGACTTCATCCTTCTTCAATCATTTTCATTATCATCCCTTATTCAGATTTTTTTTTTTTTTCTGACCATCATTCTTCTTTCTATTCCTTGTTCTCAACCAGCCTCTCTTTCTTTGGAAGTCTCCTGCTTATCGCTTCATCGGGCTTTTGATAATTATTGCAATTCAAACCTTATAACGATCAACCTATTATGCTACTGTTTCAAAGTTAAACAACATCGAACCTGATTAGTAACCAATTAGATAAACGCTTGGGATGTGCAGGTGGTGTAATGGATAACTGCTCGGGATTGGAGATCGGGGAGTCGATTTCCAATTCCAGTCAGAGTGCTTATAGTCGCTTACGCGCAAAATTCATTGGGAATTAATCCACCTATTCCCCCGCTATGGGTAATTAGTAGGATTTGTATCAATAAATCATTATTATCTCCAAATAATTCATAGAATTTAAAATTTATTATCTGGTTTTAAATAAAATTCAAAAGGTTGATAAGCCTTAAAAAAACAAATCAATTTCTCTTTCTCTTCTATATCTCTCCCCACTTATTTATTCCTTCCTATTTGTTTCATGGCAATGATAAAGCTGAATTCCCCCCCCCCGATTCGATGGTTGATCAAAGCCGCGTAATGTCTTCCTACCTTCACAAGTGTTGCGAGTTCAATCTTCACAAATTGTAACAATTCTACGTTTACAGAGGTTTCATTACTATGAGTGTTTAACTTGTTTTTGTTCAACTTATTGTTGCGTTTTATCACACACTAGCAGTAGAGCCCAGCGTTGCCCGGGGATGTGACAGTAAGAGATAGATCAAGTATCGACCATCATAATGACTGAAAAATAAAATTGACAAAGATTATTGTTTAAGATTGACGGACACGCATGTCTTAATTAGTTGTTTTTTTTTTTTTCATTTTTGTTTTGTTTTTTGTTTTTTTATGGTCAAACTCGAACAAAAACATTGTTTTCAATCGTTATGAGTCTACCGATTGAATAGAATTTTATTATAAACAATTATATTATAAATGGAATTTTTAAAGCATTCTGAATGTAAAAATAAAGAAAAAAGTGTGCAAGACAATAAGAAACACTACCTGTCAAAAAAAAAGTGAAGTTTTGTTGAAATCGGTTGAAAAATGTAGGAAATCCGATCCCATATATAAACGAACACACACAACCTGGTTTTTATAAGTATAACTCGATATGAGTTGTTCCCCTTTCATTCTGGCGACAGTGATGTCTCTTAATCGTGTGTTCAAATTGATTTCGTGCAAAAACAATTGTTTTTCCAATTTTGGGCGCTGTCAGAACCACCGCGAGGTAATTTTACGTAGTCCTGTGAAGTTTTGTTGAAATCGGTTGAAAAATGTAGGAAATCCGATCCAATATATAAACGAACAGACACACACACACGCACACACAACCTGGGTTTTATAATAAAGATGATTTCTAAACAGCAATAGGTATTTCATCGAGGTTTCTATAGCTGAAATAGTTTAGGCGACGTCCATGAAAAACAACATTGAAAATCGGCTTTCGATTTTCTGTTTTTTTTTTTTTTTAAATTGTTTCGAACAACTACATGGGAATTATGTGACGATATTAATCACAAAGCGGACTGTGTGTATTTTTTTATTTTATTTTTTTTATTTTGTGGATAGATATTTAGGAAGCCTTGCTTTCTATGGCGCAAAACCGCGTAAAATAAAATAAGGTTATACTGCTATTCCGACTGCCGTCTGTCGTCTTGATCCAACCTTCCGATTGCGGATTATCGTCTTGACCCAACCTTCCAAACGGGGTGACTCTGCCGTTATAGAACTTGATTTTACTTCCTTGCTTTTTATCTGAATTTTAACTCCGACTACCGGTACAAATTAGGCATATGTGTCCTCCTCTGTCGTAAAACGGACATCACTTTATTCTTATCTTTGTTTTCATTCCCTTTTTCGCTACCTCGTTCTTTTTATTTTGCCTAATCTCTTTCCTTTTCCATTTGTCTTCTTCCATTCCCATCGCCTTTTCTCTCAATTCCCTTTTCATTCCTTTCTTTCGTTCTCTGTTTCCGGTCTTCATCGCTTGTTTGCTCATTCATTCGATAGTTTTTTGTTTTTTTTTGTTTTTTGTCTTTTTTTGACCTCTCTTTTTCAATGAGTTTTATTCGAATCTTCCATCCTCACCACTTATCTTTTAACCATTTTCATCGCCTTTGTCTTTTCTCCTCTTTTTCTCTCAACCGTTTTCAAATTCTTTCCAATTCTCCTTTGTCCCTTCCTTGTCTTTCGATATTTTTTTTTCCGTTTCCTTTCTGTTAACATCCTTCATGTGTCGTGGCTCTCCAAATATCCCTGACGTCATGGGTATGGCGATAAACTACATCCGTCTTCTGGGTAAGATTATAAACTACGTCCGACAGGAGGTTTTGAGGAGCGTAGGACCACCTCTTAATTTCTGGTGTTCCCATGTCAACCTGACCCGGACTGTTAGGGTCCCAGCTAATTTCAACAAAACTTCACTTTTTTTTTTGACAGGTTTCTTATTGTCTTGCACACTTTTTTCTTTATTTTTACATTCAGAATGCTTTAAAAATTACATTTATAAGATAATTGTTTATAATAAAATTCTATTCAATCGGTAGACTCGTAACGATTGAAAACAATGTTTTTGTTTGGGTTTGACCAATTCGTAAAAAAAAACAAACAAACAAAAAAAAAACTAATTAAGACATGCGTGTCCGATAACCTTAAACAATAAGCTTTGTCAATTTTATTTTTCAGTCTTTATGATGGTCGATACTTGATCTATCTCTTACTGTTACATCCCCGGGCAACGCCGGGCTCTACTGCTAGTCTTAACTAGTTTTATATCAATATTTACGATCATTCACACCAATATTTCCGCTGCTACACTACTTAAATTATTATTGTCTCTCCAACTGCATTTACAACTAAATCCGTCTTGCCGAGCGACGCCAAATGTCCGAGACTTAATCCAACGTGTTCAATTGCTGGGTGGGACAAGGTTTAATCGATCTTCCCTGGAAAGTCAGGAGATTTTTTTTAATGCCAAGTCTTTTTAGAACATTGGCAATCGTGACTCCACATCTTACTGTTCTCTATAATCTGTGAAATGCAATGACGTTCTTGGAAAAGCTAGAGGAGTATTTTCTCGTTACATTCTCCACAGTTATTTGCTCAGAGTACTTCTTCTCCAAGGCGAGAAAGCAGTGTTGTCTTCATTTGTGGGAGGGGTGGTGGTAATACTCGACTGCTTCAATCGTCGGAATCCTGAGGGTAGAAGAAACATACTTTGATTCTTCATGATCATTTCAGTGGGCTTTCAGATAGTTTGGTGGCGCCCATCTTCTCTCCAAGCTCTTTACCAGCTGCATATTTCTCAGGGGTTGGTGTAAAGCCAGTATTTCAAAACAAATTTCAGGTCAGAAAGTCTTCCACATTTTAAAATTTTACAAAAACATTTACTCTTAACCACCACTGGTACTGGGCCTGCGAAGTTAATAATAAAGATTTATGTGCAGGCTTAGTAAATAAACAAATAAGCTTGATAGACGAACAGGCTTAGTAGATAGATAGATGAACAGTCTTGGTAAATAGATAAATGAACAGGCTTTCTAAATAAATCGACAGGCTTGGTAAATAGTTGAACCGGCTTGGTTGATATATAGATAACTGTAGGGTACATAGATGAAGATTCTTGGTAGATAAATAGGATAGATAGATAGATAGATGAACAGGCTTGGTAGAGAGAGTAGCATGTTTGATAGATAGGCTTGGTAGATGTTCGGGCTTTGTAGACAGACCGACATACTAGATACATAAATAAACAGGCTTGGTAGATAGATAAATAGGACAATGATCATTGGTAGATGTACAGGCTCAATAAATGAACAGGTTTGTAGATAGATGAACAGCCTTGAAAGAGAGAGGAACAGGTTTGATAGATAAACAGGCTTGGTAAATGGATAGATGAATAGACTTGGTTGATAGATAATAAGACTTGATAGCGGAACATGCTTGGTAGGTAGATAGGTAGGTGAACAGGCTTGTTAGATTAACAGACTTGGTAGATATATCAACAGGCTTGGTAGATACATAGATATATGAATAGACTTGGTAGATAGATGGAAAGGCTTGATAGATGAACAAGCTAGGTCGATCGATGAATACGGCTGTTAGGTGAATAGACTTGGTAGGTAGATTAATGGGCAAGCTTGATAGATCAGTAGACTGAGTAGGTAGATGAATAGGATTGGTAGATAGATGAACAGGCTTTGTATATAGATCGATTAATTAGGCTTGATAGATAAATGAACAGGCTTGGTAAATGGGTGGATAAATTCATGTACAGGCTTGGAGGATAGATTGATTGACGGATAGGATTGTTAGACAGATTAACACGCTTGGTAGGTACACGGATGAACAGCCTTAATGGATGAACAAGCTCGGTTGATGGATGAACAGGCTTAGTAGATACATGGAACAGCTTTTGTAAATAGATTGGCCGGGCTTGATTGATAGGTAGGTAGATGAACAAGGATGAATAGATTAATGAACGTGCTTGATAAATAAATGAATCGGCTTGGTAGATATACAAATAGTTGAACAGGTTTCGTAGGTAGATAGATGAACAGGCTTCGTAAAAAGATAAACAGGCTTTATAGATAAATAAACAAGCTTGGTAGATAAATGAACAGGCTTGGTAGATAGATGAATACTATTGGCAGACTATGGAACAGGGTAAATAGACGAACTGCTTCGCAGATAGATGAACAGGCTTAGTAGACATATAGATTGATGAACAGGCTTGATAGAAATAGCTAAATGAACAGGCTTTGTAAATGGATAGATACATAGATAAAGAGGCTTCATAGATAGAAAGATGAATAGGCTTGGTAGGTAGATGAACAGGCTTGGTAGATAGAATAACAGCTTTGGTAAATAGTTGAAAAAGCTTGTTCAAGGGTTCAAGAATAATGAACATGCTTGGTAATCTTATAGCTGAACAGGCTTGGTAGATAAACAGGCTTAGTAGATAGATGTATCAACGGGATTGGTAGATAAATAAATGAAAAGGCTTGATAGATATATAGATAAATAAATAGCCTTGATAAGTAAATGAAGAAGCTTGAGATTATATATGTGTGTGTGTGTGTGTGTGTGAACAGGCTAGGTAGATTAATAGATGAAAAGACGTCGCTGCAAATGTATTAATGGGATCTGATTGCCAAATATATACACTTTACTCTGTTTTGAACATGGATTAATGTAGTAACAATGAATCAAACGTTTTATTTTAAAAGGTAGAATTATTTGCAACTATTTTACCTCATTTTTTTCTTTTTTTTAATATTTGCTCTATTTTTTTCTTAAGCTAGGAAGATTATTGAAATCCAAAGAGAAACGTATAATTAAATACAGAACACACTTTTTAATGTTTTTCTCTGACGCCGTCAGATTTGCATTTGCAAATACCTTAAGTCGCTGACAACCCCGAGTAAACGACAGTGGACGTTGAAACATTATCGTTTGTTTTGCCTGAATTTCTTTTGGTTGGTTGAAAATAAACTCGCTGCTTGGATGTCACCGACCAATAATAAATGAATCATCGGTAATTGCAATATGATGACCACCGCCAGTTTGAAGGGTTGTTGATAAGTTGATGAAGGTCGATAGGAGAAAAAGAAGTGAGATTTCAAGAAGGGAAGATGTCGATTACATTGATGTAATGTAAGGATTGGTTTAATGGCGGCGAAGCATTGCTGTCATGCCAAGTTGCACATTTTATTTTCCACTTATGATCATTGTGTAAGTTTTGGATAATTAAAGCTCAACCGCGTTATTCTTTGTTTCCCGGCGTCTTTTCTTCCCTTGTCTTCCGACATTACTTACTTCTGCTGTTTTCCGGCATTCGTTTTCTCAGTTTTTTTTACCCGGCATTCCTTCTTCCTTTGTTTTCCGACATTCCTTCCCTCTTTTGTTTTCCGACATTTCTTTCCTCCTTTTATTTCCAGCATTACTTCCTTCAATTTTTTCCGACATTCCTTTCTATCTTTGTTTTCCTTACCGACATTCGTTTCCTCCTTAGTTTTCTGACATTCGTTTCCTCCGCAGTTTTCCGGCATTCCCTTTCCTCCTTTGGTTTCCGGCATTCCCTTTCCTCCTTTGGTTTCCGGCATTCCCTTTCCTCCTTTGGTTTCCGGCATTCCCTTTCCTCCTTTGGTTTCTTCCTTTCCTCCTTTTTTCCGGCATTCCCTTTTCCTCCTTTGGTTTCCGGCATTCCCTTTCCTCCTTTGGTTTCCGGCATTCCTTTCCTCCTCCTTTCCGGTTTCCTCCTTAGTTTTCCCTTTCCTCCTTTGGTTTCCGGCATTCCCTTTCCTCCGCAGGTTTCCGGCATTCCCTTTTTCCTCCTTTGGTTTTCCGGCATTCCCTTTCCTCCTTTGGTTTCCGGCATTCCCTTTCCTCCTTTGGTTTCATTCCTTTCCTCCTTTGGTTTCCGGCATTCCTTTTCCTCCTTTGGTTTCTTTCCCTTTCCTCCTTTGGTTTTCCTCCTTTGGTTTCCCTTTCCTCCTTTGGTTTCCGGCATTCCCTTTCCTCCTTTGGTTTCCAGTTTTTCACTCCTTGGTTTCCTTTCCTTTCCTCCGTTTCCAGCATTTCCCTTTCCTCCTTTGGTTTCCGGCATTCCCTTTCCTCCTTTGGTTTCCGGCATTCCCTTTCCTCCTTTGGTTTCCGGCATTCCCTTTCCTTTGTTTTCCGGCATTCCCTTTCCTCCTTTGTTTTCCGGCATTCCCCTTCCTCCTTTGGTTTTCCGGAATTCCTTTTCCTTTTGGTTTCCGGCATTCCCTTTCCTCCTTTCCTTCCCTTTCCTCCTTTGGTTTCCGGCATTCCCTTTCCTCCTTTGGTTTCCGGCATTCCCTTTCCTCCTTTGGTTTCCTCCTTTGGTTTCTGGAATTCCTTTCCTCCTTTGGTTTCCGGCATTCCTTTTCCTCCTTTGGTTTCCGGCATTCCTTTCCTCCTTTGGTTTTCGACATTCCCTTTCCTCCTTTGGTTTCCGTTCCCTTTCCTCCTTTGGTTTCCGGCATTCCCTTTCCTCCTTTGGTTTCCGGCATTCCCTTTCCTCCTTTGGTTTCCGGCATTCCTTTCCTCCTTTGTTTTCCAGCATTCCCTTTCCTCCTTTGGTTTCCGGCATTCCCTTTCCTCCTTTGGTTTCCGGCATTTCCCTTTCCTCCTTTGGTTTCGGCATTCCCTTTCCTCCGCGGTTTCCGGCATTCCCTTTCCTCCTTTGGTTTCCGCATTCCTTTCCTCCTTTTGTTTCCGGCATTCCTTTCCTCCTTTGGTTTCCGGCATTTTCCTCTTTTCCTCCTTTGGTTTCCGGCATTCGTTCCTTTCCCTTCCTCCTTTTCCTCCTTTGGTTTCCGGCATTCCCTTTCCTCCTTTGGTTTCCGGCATTCCCTTTCCTCCTTTGGTTTCCGGCATTCCCTTTCCTCCTTTGGTTTCCGGCATTCCCTTTCCTCCGCAGTTTTCCGGCATTCCCTTTCCTCCTTTGGTTTCCGGCATTCCCTTTCCTCCTTTGGTTTCCGGCATTCCCTTTCCTCCTTTGGTTTTCCGGCATTTCTTTGGTTTCCGGCATTCCCTTTCCTCCTTTGTTTTCCGGCATTCCCTTTTCCTCCTTTGTTTTCTGCATTCCCTTTCCTCCTTTGGTTTCCGGCATTCCCTTTCCTCCTTTGGTTTCCGGCATTCCTTTCCTCCTTTGGTTTCCGGCATTCCCTTTCCTCCCTTTGGTTTCCGGCATTCCCTTTCCTCCTTTGGTTCCCTTTCCTCCTTTGGTTTCCAGCATTCCCTTTCCTCCTTTGGTTTCCGGCATTCCCTTTCCTCCACAGGTTTTTCGGCATTTCCTTTCCTCCGCAGTTTTCCGCATTCCCTTTCCTCCTTTGGTTTTCAGCATTCCCTTTCCTCCTTTGCTTTCCGGCATTCCTTTCCTCCTTTGTTTTCCGGCATTCCCTTTCCTCCGCCCAGTTTTCCGCATTCCCTTTCCTCCTTTGGTTTCCGCATTCCTTTTTCCTCCTTTGGTTTCCGGCATTCCCTTTTCCTTTTGTTTTCCTTTCCTTTCCTCCCTTTGTTTTCCGGCATTTCCTTTCCTCCTTTGGTTTTCGGCATTCCCTTTCCTCCTTTGTTTTCCGGCATTCCTTTCCTCCTTTGGTTTCGGCATTCCCTTTCCTCCTTTGGTTTCCATTCCCTTTCCTCCTTTGGGCATTCCTCCTTTGGTTCCCTTTCCTCCTTTGGTTTCCGGCATTCCCTTTCCTCCGCAGTTTTCGGCATTCCCTTTCCTCCTTTGGTTTTCGGCATTCCCTTTCCCTCCGGCAGTTTTTTCCGGCATTCCCTTTCCTCCTTTTTGTTTTCCGGCATTCCCTTTCCTCCTTTGGTTTCCCTCGCATCCCTTTCCTCCATGGTTTCCGGCGTTTTCCTCCTTTGGTTTCCGGCATTCCCTTTCCTCCGCAGGTTTCCGGCATTCCCTTTCCTCCTTTATTTCAGCATTCCCTTTCCTCCCTTGGTTTCCGCATTCCTTTCCTCCTTTTCCAGCATTCGCACCCTCCTTTGGTTTCCCATTCCCTTCCTCCTTTGGTTCATTCCCTTTCCTCCTTTGGTTTCCCGGCATTCCTTTCCTCCTTTGGTTTCGGCATTCCTTTCCTTTTGGTTTCCGGCATTTGGTTTTCCGGCATTCCCTTTCCTCCTTTTGGTTTCGGCATTCCCTTTCCTCCGCAGTTTTCCGGCATTCCCTTTCCTCCTTTGGTTTTCGGCATTCCTTTCCTCCTTTGGTTTCCGGCATTCCTTTCCTCCTTTGGTTTCCGGCATTCCCTTTCCTCCTTTGGTTTCCGGCATTTCCTTTCCTCCGCAGTTTCCGGCATTTCCCTTTCCTCCGCAGTTTTCCGGCATTCCCTTTCCTCCTTTGGTTTCCAGCATTCCCTTTCCTCCTTTGGTTTCCGGCATTCCTTTCCTCCTTTGGTTTTCTGACATTCCTTTCCTCCTTAGTTTTCTCCGGCATTCCCTTTCCTCCTTTGGTTTCCGGCATTCCTTTCCTCCTTTGGTTTCCGGCATTCCCTTTCCTCCTTTGGTTTCCGGCATTCCCTTTCCTCCTTTTTTCGGCATTCCATTTTCCTCCTTTGGTTTCCCGGCATTCCTTTTCTCCCTTTGGTTTTCCGGCATTTCCCTTTCCTCCTTTGGTTTCCGGCAGCCCTTTTCCTTTGGTTTCCTCCCTTTTCCTCCTTTGGTTTCCGGCATTCCCTTTCCTCCTTTGGTTTCGGCATTCCCTTTCCTCCTTTGGTTTCCGGCATTCCCTTTCCTCCTTTGGTTTCCGGCATTCCTTTCCTCCTTTCGGCATTTTCCTCCTTTGCTTTTCCGGCATTCCCTTTCCTCCTTTTGTTTCCGGCATTCCCTTCCTCCTCCTTGGTATTTCCGGCGGTTTCCTTTTTCCTTTCCCTTTGGTTTTCCGGCATTTTCCCTTTTTCCTCCGCTGGTTTTCCGGCATTCCCTTTCCTCCTTTGGTTTCCGGCATTTCCCTTTTCCTCCTTTGGTTTCCGGCATTCCCCTTTCCTCCTTTCCTCCGCTTTTCCGGCATTCCCTTTCCTCCGCCAGTTTTCCGGCATTCCCTTCCTCCGCGGTTTTCCGGCATTCCCTTTCCTCCTTTTGGTTTCCGGTATTTCCTCCTTTGGTTTTCCGCGGTTTTCCTTAGTTTTCGGCATTTTTCCTCCTTTTGGTTTTCCGGCATTCCCTTTCCTCCTTTGGTTTCCGGCATTCCCGCTTTTCCTCCTTTGGTTTCCGGCATTCCCTTTCCTCCACAGTTTTCCGGCATTCCCTTCCTCCGCAGTTTCCGGCATTCCCTTTTCCTCCTTTGGTTTCCGGCATTCCCTTTCCTCCCTTTTGGTTTCCGGCATTCCCTTTTCCTCCTTTGGTTTCCGGCATTCCCTTTCCTCCTTTTCCGGTTTCCTCCATTCCCTTTCCTCCTTTGGTTTCCGGCATTCCCTTTCCTCCTTTGGTTTCCAGCATTTCCCTTTCTCCTTTGGTTTCCATTTCCCTTTCCTCCTTTGGTTTCCGGTTTTCCTCCCTTTGGTTTCAGCATTTCCCTTTCCTCCTTTTTCCGCTTTCCTCCGCATTCCCTTTCCTCCTTTTTCATTTCCGGCTTTCCCTTTTCAGCGTTTTTCCTCCTTTGGTTTCGGCATTCCCTTTCCTCCTTTGGTTTCCGGCATTTCCTTTCTCCTTAGTTTTTCTGACATTCCGTTTCCTCCGCCAGTTTTCTGGCATTCCCTTTCCATCCTTTGGTTTCCGGCATTCCCTTTCCTTTGGTTTCCGGCATTCCCCTTTCCTCCTTTGGTTTCCGGCATTCCTTTCCTCCATTGGTTTCCGCATTCCTTTCCTCCACAGTTTCCGGCATTTCCTTTCCTCCTTTGGTTTCCGCATTCATTCCCTTTTCCTCCCTTTGTTTCCGGCATTCCCTTTCCTCCTTTGGTTTCCGACATTCCCTTTCCTCCTTTGGTTTCGGCATTCCTTTCCTCCGCGGTTTTCAGCATTTTTCCGGCGGCATTTCCTTTCCTCGCCAGTTTTCCGCATTCCCTTTCCTCCTTTGGTTTCCGGCATTCCCTTTCCTCCTTTGGTTTCCAGCATTCCTTTCCTCCTTTGGTTTCCGCATTCCCGCATTTCCCTTTTTCCTTTCCTTTCCTTGTTTTCCTTTCCTCCTTTGTTTTCATTCCCTTTTCCTCCTTTGGTTTCCGGCATTCCCTTTTCCTCCTTTGGTTTTCGGCATTCCCTTTCCTCCTTTGGTTTCCGGCATTCCCTTTCCTCCTTTGGTTTCCATCATTTTCCTTTCCTCCTTTGGTTTCAGCATTCCCTTTCCTCCGCAGTTTTTTCCTCCGCAGTTTTCCGGCATTCCCTTTCCTCCTTTGGTTTCCGCATTCCCTTTCCTCCTTTGGTTTCGGCATTCCCCGCTTTCCTCCTTTGGTTTCCGGCATTCCCTTTCCTCCTTTGGTTTCCGGCATTCCCTTTCCTCCGCAGTTTCCGGCATTCCTTTCCGCAGTTTTCCGGCATTCCCTTTCCTCCTTTGTTTTCCGGCATTCCTTTCCTCCTTTGGTTTCCGGCATTCCTTTCTCCTTTGGTTTTCCGGCATTCCCTTTCCTCCTTTGGTTTCCGGCATTCCCTTTCTCCTTTGGTTTTCGGCATTTCCCTTTCCTCCTTTGGTTTCCGGCATTCCCTTTCCTCCTTTTTCCTCCTTTTGCCAGCATTCCCTTTCCTCCTTTGGTTTCCGGCATTCCCTTTTCCTCCTTTGGTTTCCGGCATTCCTTTTCCTCCTTTGGTTTTCGGCATTCCCTTTCCTCCTTTTGTTTCCGGCATTCCCTTTCCTCCGTAGTTTTCAGCATTTTCCTTTGGTTTCATTCCCTTTCCTCCTTTGGTTTCAGCCGCATCCCTTTCCTCCTTGGTTTTCCGGCATCCCTTTTCCTCCATCCGCAGTTTTCAGCATTCCCTTTCCTCCGCCAGTTTTCCAGCATTCCCTTTTCCTCCTTCCTCCTTGTTTCCGGCATTCCCTTTCCTCCTTTGGTTTCCGGCATTTCCCTTTCCTCCTTTGGTTTTCCTTTGCTCCTTTAGTTTCCGGCATTCCTTTCCTCCTTTGGTTTTCGGCATTCCCTTTCCTCCTTTGGTTTCGGCGCATTTCCTCCAGTTTTCTCATTTCCTTTTCCTCCGCATTTTCCGGCATTCCTTTCCTCCGCATTCGTTTCCTCCTTTGTTCCCATTCGTTTCCTCCTTTGGTTTCAGCATTCCCTTTTCCTCCTTTGGTTTCCATTCCCTTTCCTCCTTTTGGTTTCCGGCATTCCCTTTCCTCCTTTGTTTTCCGCATTCCCTTTCCTCCGCAGTTTTCCGGCATTCCCTTTCCTCCTTTGGTTTCCGGCATTCCCTTTCCTCCTTTGGTTCCGGCATTTCCTTTCTCTTTGGTTTCCTTTGGTTTTGGTTTCCGGCACCTTTCCCTTTGGTCCTCCGCCTTTTTTCCGGCATTCCCTTTCCTCCGCAGTTTTCCGGCATTCCCTTTTCCTCTTTGGTTTTCGGCATTCCTTTCCTCCTTGGTTTTCTGCATTCTTCTCCCATTTTCTCCGCATTTTCCTTTGGTTTTTCGGCATTCCCTTTCCTCCTTTCTGCATTCCTTTCCTCCTTGGTTTCCGCATTCCCTTTCCTCCTTTGGTTTTCCCATTTCCTTTCCTCCTTTTTTTCCGGCATTCCCTTTCCTCCTTTGGTTTCCGGCATTTTCCCTTTTTCCTCCTTTGGTTTCCGGCATTCCTTTCCTCCTTTGTTTTCCGGCATTCCCTTTCCTCCTTTGGTTTTCGGCATTTTTCCCTTTCCTCCTTTGGTTTCCGGCATTCCCTTTCCTCCTTTGGTTTTCCGGCATTCCCTTTCCTCCTTTGGTTTCCGGTTTCCTTTCCTCCTTTGGTTTCCGGCATTCCCTTTTTTTCCTCCTTTCCATTCGGCATTCCCTTTCCTCCGCCTTGTTTTCCGGCATTCCCTTTCCTCCGCAGTTTTCCGGCATTCCCTTTCCTCCTTTGGTTTTCGGCATTCCCTTTCCTCCTTTTCCGCATTCCCTTTTCCTCCTTTGCCGGCATTCCCTTTCCTCCTTTGGTTTCCGGCATTCCCTTTTCCTCCTTTGTTTCCCATTCCCTTTCCTCCTTTGGTTTCCGGCATTCCCTTTCCTCCTTTGGTTTCGGCATTCCCAGCTTCCTCCGCAGTTTTTCCAGCATTCCTTTTCCTCCATGGTTTCCGGCATTCCCTTTCCTCCTTTGGTTTCCGGCATTCCCTTTCCTCCTTTGGTTTCCGTATTTCCCTTTCTCCTTTTTTCCGCATTCTTTCCTTTGGTTTCCGGCATTCCCTTTTTTCCTCCTTTGGTTTCCGGCATTCCCTTTCCTCCTTTGGTTTCCAGCATTCCCTTTCCTCCGCAGTTTTCCGGCATTTCCTTTCCTCCTTTGGTTTCCGGCATTTCCCTTTCCTCCTTTTGTTTCCGGCATTCCGTTTCCTCCTTGGTTTTTTGCATTCCATTCCCTCCTCCGCAGTTTTTCCTTCCCTTTGGTTTTCAGCATTCCTTTCCTCCGCAATTTTCCGGCATTCCCTTTCCTCCTTTGGTTTCCGGCATTCCCTTTCTCCTTTGGTTTCGGCATTCCGGCGGTTTCCCTTTCCTCCGGTCCCGGCATTCCTTTCCTCCGCAGTTTCCGGCATTCCCTTTCCTCCTTTGGTTTCCGGCATTCCCTTTCCTCCTTTGGTTTCCCATTTCCCTTTCCTCCGCTGGTTTCCGGCATTTCCCTTTCCTCCTTTGGTTTCCGGCATTCCCTTTCCCTCCGCGGTTTTCCGGCTTCCCTTTTCCTCGCATTTTTCCGGCATTCCTTTCCTCCTTTGGTTTCCGGCATTCCTTTTCCTCCGCAGTTTGGTTTCCGGCATTCCCTTTTCCTCCTTTCCCTTTGGTTTCCGGCATTCCTTTCCTCCTTTGGTTTCCGGCATTCCCTTTTCCTCCTTTGGTTCAGCATTCCCTTTCCTCCTTTGGTTTCCGGCATTCCTTTTCCTCCTTTGGTTTCCGGCATTCCCTTTCCTCCGCAGGTTTCCGGCATTCCTTTCCTCCTTTGTTTTCCAGCATTCCTTTCCTCCTTTGGTTTCCGGCATTCCCTTTCCTCCTTTGGTTTCCGGCATTCCCTTTCCTCCTTTGGTTTCCGGCATTTCCCTTTCCTCCGCAGTTTTCCAGCATTCCCTTTCCCTTTTTTCCGGCATTTCCCTTTCCTCCTTTGGTTTCCGGCATTCCCTTTCCTCCTTTGGTTTCCGCATTTCCCTTTCCTCCTTTGGTTTCCGGCATTCCCTTTCCTCCTTTGGTTTCGGCATTCCCTTTCCTCCTTTGGTTTCCGGCATTCCCTTTTCCTCCGCCAGTTTTCCGGCATTCCCTTTCCTCCTTGGTTTCGGCATTCCCTTTCCTCCCTTTGGTTTCCTGCATTTCCTTTCCTCCTTTGGTTTCCGGCATTTCCTTTTCCTCCGCGGTTTCAGCATTCCCTTTCCTCCTTTGGTTTCGGCATTCCCTTTCCTTTCCTCCTTTGGTTTCCGGCATTCCACTTTCCTCGCTTGGTTTTCCGGCATTCCTTTTCCTCCACGCAGGTTTCCGGCATTCCCTTTCCTCCTTTGGTTTCCAGCATTCCTTTTCCTCCTTTGGTTTCAGCATTCCCTTTCCTCCTTTGTTTTCCTGCATTCCCTTTTCTCCTTTGGTTTCTGGCATTCCCTTTCCTCCGCAGTTTTTCCGGCATTCCCTTTCCTCCGCAGTTTTCCGACATTCCCTTTCCTCCTTTGTTTTCCATTCCCTTTCCTCCTTTGGTTTCCGGCATTCCTTTCCTCCTTTGGTTTCCGGCATTCCCTTTCCTCCACCAGTTTTCCGGCATTCCCTTTCCTCCTTTGTTTCCGGCATTCCCTTTTCCTCCTTTGTTTTCTGACATTCCTTTTTTCCTCCTTTGTTTTCTGCATTTCGTTTCCTCCTTTGTTTTCCTGCATTCCCTTTCCTCCTTTGGTTTCCGGCATTCCCTTTCCTCCGCAGTTTTCCAGCATTTCCTTTCCTCCTTTGGTTTCCTCCCTTTTCCTCCTTTGGTTTCCGGCATTCCTTTCCTCCGCAGTTTCCTTCCCTTTCCTCCTTTGGTTTTCCGGCATTTTCCATTCCTCCTCAAGTTTTTCAGTTTTTCCTCCGCATTCCCTTTCCTCGTTTCGGTTTTCCGGCGTTCCCTTTTCCTCCTTTTAGTTTCCAGCATTCCTTTCCTCCTTTGGTTTCGGCATTCCCTTTATCACCAGTTTTCCAGCATTCCCTTTCCTCATAGTTTTCCATTCCCTTTCCTCCTTGGTTTCCAGCGTTCGTTTCCTCCTTTGGTTTCTGACATTCCTTTTCCTCCACCAGTTTTCTGACGTTCCCCGCGGTTTTCCATTCCCTCCATTTTCCAGCGTTCCTTTCCTCCGCAGTTTTCTGGCATTCCCTCCTCCTTTTCTGGTTTTCCTCGCAGTTTCCCTTTTTCCTCCTTTGGTTTCCGGCATTTCCTTTTCCTCCTTTGGTTTCCGGCTTCCTTTCCTCCGCAGTTTTCCGGCATTCCCTTTCCTCCTTTGGTTTTCCAGCGTTCCCTTTCCTCCTTTGGTTTCGGCGTTCGTTTCCTCCGCAGTTTCGGACCCTTTCCTCCATGGTTCATTTTCCTCCGCAGTTTTCTGACCGTTTCCTCCTTTGATTTCAGCATTCACTTTCTCCTTTGGTTTCGGCATTCCTTTCATCCTTTGGTTTCGGCATCCCCGCACCTCCTTACAGTTTTCCATTCCCTTTCCTCCTTTGTTTTCGGCATTCCCTTTCCTCCCTTAGTTTTCTGACATTTCATTTCCTCCACGGTTTCCGGCGATTCGTTTCCTCCGCAGTTTTCCGACATTCGTTTCCTCCGCGGTTTTCGTTTCGTTTCCTCCGCAGTTTTCCGGCATTCCCTTTTCCTCCTCCTTTGGTTTCCGGCATTCCCTTTTCCTCCTTTGGTTTCCGGCATTCCCTTTCCTCCGCCAGTTTTCGGTTTTTCCTCCTTAGTTTTTCCATTCCCCTTTCCTCCTTTGGTTTCCTCCGCATTCCCGTTTCCTCCTTTGTTTCCGGCATTCCCTTTCCTCCGCAGTTTTCAACATTCCCTTTCCTCCTTTGTTTCCTCCATGATTTTCCCACTTTCCTCCTGGTTTCCGGCATTTCCTTTCCTCCTTTGGTTTCCGGCATTTCCCTTTTCCTTTGGTTTCCGGCATTCCTTTCCTCCTTTGGTTTCCAGCATTCCTTTTCCTCCTTTGGTTTCCGGCATTTCCCTTTCCTCCTTTGGTTTCCGGCATTCCCTTTTCTCCTCCTTTTCCAGCATTCCTTTCCTCATTTCCCTTCCCTTTCCTCCTTTGGTTTTCGGCATTCCCCTTTCCTCCTTTGGTTTCCCGGCATTTCCTTTCCTCCGCAGTTTTCTGACGTTCCCTTTCCTCCGCAATTTTCGGCGTTTCCCGTTTCCTCGCTTTGGTTTCTGGCATTTCCTTTCCTCCATTGGTTTTCCGGCATTCCCTTTCCTCCGCGTTTCCGGCATTCCCTTTTCCTCCCTTTGGTTTCCGGCATTCCTTTCACTCCTTTGGTTTCCGGCATTTCCCTTTCCTCCTTTGGTTTTCCGGCATTCCCTTTTCCTCCTTTGGTTTCCGGCATTTCCTTTCACCTCCTTTGGTTTCGGCTTTGTTTTCCGGCATTCCCTTTCCTCCTTTGTTTCCGGCATTCCCTTTTCCTCCTTTGGTTTCAGCATTCCCTTTTCCTCCTTTGGTTTCAGCATTCCCTTTCCTCCTTTGGTTTCCGACATTCCTTTTCTCCCTTTCGGCCATTCCCTTTCCTCCTTTTGTTTTCGGCATTTCGTTTCTCCGCAGTTTTCCATTCCCTTTCCTCCTTTTTTCCGGCATTCCCTTTCCTCCGCAGTTTCCGGCATTTCCTTTCCTCCTTTGGTTTCAGCATTCCTTTCCTCCCTTTGGTTTCCGCATTCCCTCCCTTTCCTCCCGCATCCTTTTTTCCGGCATTCCTTTTCCTCCTTTGGTTTTGGCATTTCCCTTTCTCCTTTGGTTCCGGCATTTCCCTTTTCCTCCTTGGTATTCCGATCACTTTTCCTCCTTTGGTTTCCTTCACTTTCCTCCGCAGTTTTCCGGCATTTCCCTTTCCTCCTTTGGTTTCCGGCATTTGGTTTCCGCTCTCCTTTGGTTTCCGGCATTCCTTTCCTCCTTTGGTTTTCATTCCCTTTCCTCCCTTTGGTTTCCGGCATTTCCTTTCCTCCGCGGTTTTCCGGCATTTCCCTTTCCTCCATGAGTTTCCCCAACATTCATTTCCTCCTTTGATTTCTGACATTCCTTTCCTCCTTTGGTTTCCAGCATTCCCTTTCCTCCTTTGGTTTCCAGCATTCCCTTTTCCTCCTTTGGTTTCCGGCATTCCCCTTTCCTCCACCAGTTTTCCGGCATTCCCTTTTTTCCGGCATTCGATTTTGGTTTCCGGCACCTTTCCTCCTTTGGTTTCCGGCATTCCCGCCTTTCTCCTTTGTTTTCCGGCATTTCCCTTTCCTCCTTTGGTTTCCGGCATTTCCCTTTCCTCCTTTGGTTTCCGGCATTCCCTTTCCTCCGCGTTTCCGACATTCCCACTTTTCCTCCGCAGTTTTCCGGCATTCCCTTTCCTCCTTTGGTTTCCAGCATTCCCTTTTCCTCCCTTTGGTTTTCCGGCATTTCCCTTTCCTCCGCAGGTTTCCGGCATTCGCCTTTCCTCCTTAGTTTTTCCGGCATTTCCACCATCCGCAGTTTCGGCATTTCCTTTTCCTCCTTTGGTTTCCGTTTCATTTTCCTCCTTTGGTTTCCAGCATTTCCCTTCCTCCTTTGGTTCTGACGCATTTCCTTTCCTCCTTTGGTTTCCGGCATTCCCTTTCTCCTTTGGTTTCCGGCATTCCTTTTCGCGGATTTTGGTTTTCAAAACACCTTTTTCCTCTTGGTTTTCGCATTTCCCTTCCCTTTTTTTTCCTCCTTTCCTCCTTTGGTTTCCGACGTTTTCCTTTGGTTTCCGGCATTCCCTTTCCTCCTTTTTTCCGGCATTTCCCTTTCCTCCGCAGTTTTCCGGCATTCCCTTTCCTCCATGATTTTTCCTCCTTTGGTTTCAGCATTCCTTTCCTCCGCAGTTTTCCGACATTCCTTTTCCTTTGGTTTCCAGCATTTTTCCTCCTTTGGCATTCCCTTTTCCTCCTTTGGTTCCGGCATTTCCCACTTTTCCTCCTTTGGTTTTCCGCATTCCCCTTTCCTCCGCCGTTTTCCAGCATTCCTTTCCTCCTTGAATTTTCCGGCATTTCTTTTTCCTCCTTTGTTTCTGACATTCATTTCCTCCGGCATTTTTTCTCCGCAGTTTTCCGGCATTTTCCCTTTCCTCCTTTGGTTTTCGGCCTTTGTTTCCTCCCTTGCATTTTTTCCGCATTCGTTTCCTCCGCAGTTTTTCTGACATTCGTTTCTCGCTTTTTTCGGCATTCCCTTTCCTCCTTTAGTTTTCGGCATTCCCTTTTCCTCTTTGGTTTCCGGCATTTCCCTTTCCTCCTTTGGTTTCCGGTTCCCTTTTTTTTCCACTCCTTTGGTTTCCAGCATTCCCTTTCTCCGCAGTTTTCCGGCATTCCCTTTCCTCCTTTGGTTTCCGGCATTTCTTTCCTCCTTTGGTTTCCAGCATTCCCTTTCCTCACCAGTTTCCGGCATTCCCTTTCCTCCACCAATTTTTCCGGCATTCCCCTTTCCTCCTTTGGTTTTCCGGCATTCCCTTTCCTCCACAATTTCCGGCATTCCCTTTCCTCCTTTGGTTTCCGGCATTTCCCTTTCCTCCTTCCGTTTCCTTTTCCCTTTCTCCTTTGGTTTCCAGCATTTCCCTTTCCTCCTTAATTTCCGGCATTTCCCTTTCCTCGTAATTTTCCTGTGTTTCCTCATCCGCAGTTTTCCGGCATTCCCTTTCCTCCTTTGGTTTCGGCATTCCCTTTCCTCCTTTTTTCCGGCAACCCTCCTTTTGGTTTTCCAGCATTCCCTTTCCTCCTTTGGTTTCCGACATTCCCTTTCCTCCTTTGGTTTCCGACATTCCCGCTTTCCTCCTTTGGTTTCGGCATTCCCTTTCCTCCGCAGTTTTTCCAGCATTCCCTTTCCTCCGCAGTTTCCGGCATTCCCTTTCCTCCTTTGACATTTCCCTTTCCATTTGATTTCTTCATGAATCCATTTTTGGTTTCCGGCGTTTTTTTCCTCCTTTGGTTTCCGGCATTCCTTTCTCCATGGTTTCCGGCATTCCCTTTCCTCCTTTTGGTTTCCGGCATTTTTCCTCCTTTGGTTTCCGGCATTCCCTTTCCTCCTTTGGTTTCCGGCATTCCCTTTCCTCTTTTGGTTTCAGCATTCCCTTTCCTCCTTTGGTTTCCGGCATTCCCCTTTCCTCCTTTGGTTTCGGCATTCCCCTTTTCCTCCTTTGGTTTCCGGCATTCCCTTTCCTCCTTTGGTTTTCCGGCATTCCCTTTCCTCCGGTTTTTCTGACATTCGTTTCCTCCTTAGGGCATTTCCCTTTCCTCCTTTGTTTTCTGGCATTCCTTTCCTCCTTTCCGCTTCCACTTTCCTCCTTTGTTTTCAGCATTCGTTTCTCCGCAGTTTTCCGGCATTCCACCTTTCCTCCTTTGGTTTCCGGCATTTCTCTTCCTCCTTTGGTTTTCGGATTCCCTTTCCTCCGCAGTTTTCCACATTTCCTTTCCTCCGCAGTTTTCCGGCATTTCCCTTTTCCTCCTTTGGTTCCGGCATTCCCTTTCTCCTTTGTTTTCCGGCATTCCCTTTCCTCCTTTTCCGGCATTCCGGCATCCTTTGGTTTCCGGCATTTCCTTTCCTCCTTTGGTTTCCGGCATTCCCTTTCCTCCTTTGGTTTCCGGCATTCCCTTTTCCTCCTTTTTTCCGGCATTCCCCCTCCTTTGGTTTCCGGCATTTCCCTTTCCTCCGCGGTTTTCCGGCATTCCCCTTTCCTCCCGCAGTTTTTCTGACATTCCCTTTCCTCCTTAGTTTCTGACATTTCCCCTTTCCTCCTTTGGTTTCCATTTCCCTTTCCTCCTTTGGTTTCCGGCATTCCCTTTCCTCCTTTGGTTTCCGGCATTCCCTTTCCTCCTTTGGTTTCCGGCATTCCCTTTCCTTGGTTTCCATTTCCTTTCCTCCTTTGGTTTCAGCATTCCCTTTCCTCCTTTGGTTTCGGCGACCCTTTCCTCCTTTAGTTCCCGGCATTTCCCTTTTCCTCCACCAGTTTCGGCATTCCCTTTCCTCCGCAGTTTCCGGCATTCCCTTTCCTCCGCAGTTTTCCGGCATTCCCTTTCCTCCTTTGGTTCCAGCATTTCCCTTTCCTCTTTGTTTCCATTCCTTTCCTCCTTGAGTATTTCGAATCGCACCCCTCCTTCAGTTTCCGGCATTCCCTTTCCTCCTTTGGTTTCCGGCATTCCCTTTCCTCCTTTGGTTTCCAGCATCCCCTTTCCTCCTTTTGGTTTCAGCATTCCCTTTCCTCCTTGGTATTCCGGAATCCCCGCTTTCCTCTTGTTTCCGGCATTTCCCTTTCCTCCTTTGGTTTCGGCATTCCTTTCCTCCTTTGTTTCCGGCATTCCCTTTCCTCCTTTGGTTTCCGGCATTTCCTTTCCTCCTTTGGTTCCGGCATTTCCTTTTCCTCCTTTGGTTTCCGGCATTTCCCTTTCCTCCCTTTGGTTTCCGGCCTCCCTTTGGTTTCCCTTTTTCCTCCTTTGGTTTCCGGCATTCCCTTTCCTCCTTTGGTTTCAGCATTCCCTTTCCTCCTTTGGTTTTTCCCTTTCCTCCTTTGGTTTCCATTTCCCTTTCCTCCCTTTGTTTCCGGCATTCCCTTTCCTCCTTTGGTTCCGGCATTTCCCCTTTTCCGGCATCCTTTGGTTTTCCGGCATTCCCTTTCCTCCGCGGTTTCCGGCATTTCCCTTTCCTCCTTTGGTTTCCGGCATTCCCTTTCCTCCTTTGGTTTCCATTTCCTTTCCTCCGCGGTTTTCCGGCATTCCCTTCCTCGCAATTTTCGGCATTCCCTTTCTCCTTTGGTTTTCCGGCATTCCCTTTCCTCCTTTGGTTTCCGGCATTCCCTTTCCTTTGGTTTCCGGCATTCCTTTTTCCTCTTGGTATTCCGGCATTCCCTTTCTCCTTTGGTTCCCCCCTTTCCTCCGCAGTTTTCCGGCATTCCCTTTCTCCACCTTTTTCCCGGCATTTCCCTTTCCTCCTTTGGTTTCCGGCATTCCTTTCCTCCTTTGGTTTCCGCATTCCCTTTCCTCCTTTGTTTCCCGGCATTCACTTTCCTCCCTTTGGTTTCCGGCATTCCCTTTCCTCCGCAGTTTTCCGGCATTCCCTTTCTCCGCAATTTCGGCATTCCTTTCCTCCTTTGGTTTCCGGCATTTCCCTTTCCTCCTTTGGTTTCCGGCATTCCCTTTCCTCCTTTGGTATTCCGGCATTCCCTTTCCTCCTTTTAGTTTCCGGCATTCCCTTCTCCTTTTGGTATTCCCGCATTCCTTTCCTCCTTTGGTTTTCCGCATTTCCCTTCCTCCTTTGGTTTTCCGGCATTTCCTTTTTCCTCCTTTGGTTTCCGGCATTCCCTTTTCCTCCTTTGGTTTCCGGCATTCCCTTTCACTCCTTTGGTTTTCCGGCATTTCCCTTTCCTCCTTTGGTTCCGGCATTCCCTTTCCTCCTTTGGTTTCCGGCATTTCCCTTTCCTCCTTTGGTTTCCGGCATTCCCTTTCCTCCTTTGGTTTCCGGCATTCCTTTCACTCCTTTGGTTTCCGGCATTTCACTTTCCTCCTTTGGTATTCCAGGTCCCTTTCCTCCCTTTGGTTTCCCGCATTTTCCCTTTCCTCCTTTGGTTTCCAGCATTTCCCTTTCCTCCTTTTGGTTTCCGGCATTCCCTTTCCTCCTTTGGTTTCCGGCATTCCCCTTTCTCCTTGGTTTCCGGCATTCCCTTTCCTCCTTTGTTTTTCCAGCATTCCCTTTCCTCCCTTTAGTTTCCCGCATTTCCCTTTCCTCCTTTGGTTTCCGGCATTCCCTTTTCCTCCTTGGTATTCGATTCCCTTTCCTCCTTTGGTTTCCATTCCCTTTCCTCCTTTGGTTTCCAGCATTCCCTTTCTCACTTTAGTTTTTGGCATTCCCTTTCCTCCTTTGGTTTCCGGCATTTCCCTTTCCTCCTTTGGTTTTCCGGCATTTCCTTTCCTCCTTTGGTTTCCGGCATTCCTTTCCTCCTTGGTATTCGGCATTCCTTTCCTCCTTTGGTTTCCGAGATTTCCCTTTCCTCCTTTGGTTTCCGGCATTCCCTTTCCTCCTTTTGGTTTCCGGCATTCCCTTTCACTCCTTTGGTTTCCGGCATTCCCTTTCCTCCCTTTGGTTTCCGGCATTCCCCTTTCCTCCTTTGGTTTCCGGCATTCCCTTTCCTCCTTTGTATTCCGGCATTTCCCTTTCCTCCTTTGGTTTTCCCGCATTCCTTTCCTCCCTTGGTTTTCGGCATTCCCTTTTCCTCCTTTGGTTTTCCGGCATTCCCTTTCCTCCTTTCGGCATTTCCGGTTTCAGCATTCCCTTTCCTCCCTTTGGTTTCCGGCATTTCCTTTCCTCCTTTGGTTTCCGGCATTCCCACTTTCCTCCTTTGGTTTCCGGCATTTCCCTTTCCTCCTTTGGTATTCCGAATCCCTCCGCAATTTTCCTCCTTCCCTTTTCCGGCATTTTTCCCCTTTCTCCTTTGGTTTCGGCATTTCCCTTTCCTCCTTTGGTTTCCGGCATTCCCTTTCCTCCTTTGGTATTCCGCATTTCCCTTTTCCTCCTTTGGTTTCCATTTCCCTTTCCTCCTTTGGTTTTCATTCCCTTTCCTCCTTTGGTTTCCGGCATTCCCTTTCCTCCTTTGGTTTCCGGCATTCCCTTTCCTCCTTTTGGTTTCCGGCATTTGCCTTTCCTCCGCAGTTTGGTTTCCTCGCAATTTCCTTTCCCTTTCCTCCGTAATTTTCCGGATTCACTTTCCTCCCTTTGGTATTCCGGCATTCCCCTTTCCTCCTTTGGTTTCCGGCGTTTCCACTTTCTCCTTGGTGTTCCGGCATTCCTTTCCTCCTTTGGTTTCCGGCATTCCCTTTCCTCCTTTGGTTTCCGGCATTCCCTTTCCTCCTTTGGTTTCCGGCATTCCCTTTCCTCCTTTGGTTTCCGGCATTCCCTTTCCTCCTTGGTATTCCGGAATCCCTTTCCTCCTTTGGTTTCCGGCATTCCCTTTCCTCCGCAGTTTTCCGGCATTCCCTTTCCTCCTTTGGTATTCCGGCATTCCCTTTCCTCCTTTGGTTTCCGGCATTTCCCTTTCCTCCTTTGGTTTCCGGCATTCCCTTTCCTCCTTTGGTTTTCGGCATTTCCCTTTCCTCCTTTGTTTCCGGCATTTCCCTTTTCCTCCTTTGGTTTCCGGCATTCCCTTTCCTCCTTTGGTTTCCAGCATTCCCCTTTCCTCCTTTGGTTTCCGGCATTTCCCTTTCCTCCCTTTGGTTTCCGGCATTCCCTTTCTCCTTTGGTTTTCCTCCACATTTCCCCTTTCCTCCTTTTCAGTTTCCGGCATTTCCTTTCCTCCTTTGGTTTCCGGCATTCCTTTCCTCCTTTGTTTCCGGCATTCCCTTTTCCTCCTTGGTATTCCGGAATCCCTTTTCCTCCTTTGGTTTCGGCATTCCCTTTCCTCCTTTGGTTTTCGGCATTCCCCTTTCCTCCTTTGGTTTTCCGGCATTCCTTTCCTCCTCCCCTTCAGTTTCCGGCATTCCCTTTCACTCCTTTGGTTTCAGCATTCCCTTTCTCCTCTTTGGTTTCCGCATTCCCTTTCCTCCTTTAGTTTCCGGCATTCCTTTCCTCGCTTTGGTTTCCGGCATTCCCTTTTCCTCCTTATTCAGAGAATCACTTTCCTCCTTGGTTTTCCGGCATTCCCTTCCTCCTTTGGTTTTCCGGCATTCCCTTTCCTCCTTTGGTTTCCGGCATTTCCCTTTCCTCCTTTTTGGTTTCCGGCATTCCCTTTCCTCCTTTGGTTTCCGGCGTCCCTTTCCTCCTTTGGTTTCCCTTTTTTCCTCCTTTGGTTTCCGGCATTCCCTTTCCTCCTTTGGTTTCCGGCATTTCCCGCTTTCCTCCTTTGGTTTCCGGCATTTCCCTTTCCTCCTTTGGTTTCCGGCATTTCCCTTTCCTCCGCCCAGTTTTTCCGGCATTTCCTTTCCTCCTTTGGTTTTCGGCATTTCCCTTTCCTCCTTTGGTTTTTCAGCATTCCCTTTCCTCCTTTGGTTTCCGGCATTCCCTTTCCTCCTTGGTATTCGCATTCCCCTTTCCTCCTTGGTATTCCGGCATTTCCTTTCACTCCTTTAGTTTCCGCTTTTCCTTTCCTCCTTGGTTTCCGGCATTCCCTTTTCCCTCCTTTAGTTTCCGGCATTTCCTTTTCCTCCTTTGGTTTTCCGGCATTCCCTTTCCTCCCTTTGGTTTCCGCATTTCCCTTTCCTCCTTTGGTTTCCATTTCCCTTTTCCCTCCTTTGGTTTCCGGCATTCCTTTTCCTCCTTGGTATTCGTTTCCTCCTTGTTTGCATTCCCTTTCCTCCTTTGGTTTCCGGCATTTCCCTTTCCTCCTTTGGTTTTCAGCATTTCCTTTCCTCCTTTGGTTTCCGGCATTCCCTTTACTCCCTTTGGTTTCCGGCATTCCCTTTCCTCCTTTAGTTTTCCGCATTCCCTTTCCTCCTTTAGTTTCCAGCATTTCCCTTTCCTCCTTGGTTTCCAGATTCCCTTTTCCTTTGGTTCCGGCATTTTCCCTTTCTCCTTGGTATTCCGTTTCCTTTCCTCCTTTGGGTTCCAGCATTTCCCTTTCCTCCTTTGGTTTTTCGGCATTTCGCACCACTCCTTCCGGCATTCCTTTCCTCTTGGTTTCCGGCATTTCCCTTTCCTCCTTTGTATTCCGTTTCCTCTTTTTGCATTTCCCTTTCCCTCCTTTGGTTTCCAGCATTCCCTTTCCTCCCTTGGTATTCCGAATCCCTTTCCTCCTTTGGTATTCCGGCATTCCCTTTCCTCCTTTAGTTTCCGGCATTCCCGCACCTCCTTTAGTTTCCATTTCCTTTCCTCCTTTGTTTCCGGCATTTCCCCTTTCCTCCTTTAGGTTTTCCGGAATTTCCCTTTCCTCCTTTGGTTTCCAGCATTCCCTTTCCTCCTTTGGTTTCGGCTTCCCTTTCACTCCTTTGGTTTCCACCCCCCTTTCCTCCTTTGGTTTTCCAGCATTTCCCTTTCCTCCTTAGCAGTTTCCTCCTTTGGTTTCAGCATTCCTCCTTTGGTTTCCAGCATTCCTTTCCTCCTTTGGTTTCCAGCATTTCCCTTTCCTCCTTTGGTTTCCGGCATTCCCTTTCCTCCCTTTGGTTTCCGGCATTCCCTTTCCTCCTTTGGTTTCCAGCATTCCCTTTTCCTCCCCTTTGGTTTCCTTTATTCCCTTTCCTCCTTAGTATTCCGAGAATCCCCTACACTCTTTTGGTTTCGGCATTCCCTTTCCTCCTTTGGTTTCCAGCATTCCCTTTCCTCCTTTGGTTTCCGGCATTTCCCTTTCCTCCTTTGGTTTCCAGCATTTCCCTTTCCTCCTTTGGTTTCCGGCATTTCCCTTTCCTCCTTTGGTTTCCGGCATTCCCTTTCCTCCTTTGGTTCCGCATTTCCCTTTTCCTCCTTTGGTTTTCCGGCATTCCCTTTCCTCCTTTAGTATTCCGGCATTCCTTTCCTCCTTTGTTTCCGGCATTTCCTTTCCTTTGGTTTCAGCATTCCCTTTCCTCCTTTGTTTCCAGCCCTTTTTCCTCCTTTGGTTTCCGGCATTCCCTTTCCTCCTTTAGTTTCCGGCATTTCCCTTTCTCTCCTTGTGTTTCCGGCATTCCCTTTCCTCCTTTGGTTTTCCCAGCATTCCCTTTCCTCCTTTTGGTTTCGGCATTCCCTTTCCTCCTTTGGTTTCCGGCATTCCCTTTCCTCCTTGGTTTTCAGCATTCCCTTTCCTCCTTGTATTCAGGCATTCCCTTTCCTCCCTTTGGTTTCCAGCATTTCCCTTTCCTCCTTTGGTATTCCGGAATCCCTTTCCTCCTTTGGTTTCAGCATTCCTTTCCTCCTTTGGTTTCCCATTTCCCTTTCCTCCTCCTTTGGTTTCCGGCATTCCCTTTTCCTCCTTGGTATTCAGAATTCCTTTCCTCCCATTCCAGTCCCTTTTTCCTTTGGTTTCCGGCATTTCCCTTTCCTCCTTTGTATTCCGGCATTTCCTTTCCTCCTTTGTTTTCCAGCATTTCCCTTTCCTCCTTTGGTTTTCAGCATTCCCTTTCCTCCCTTTGTGTTTCCGGCATTTCCCTTTCCTCCTTTGTTTCCAGAATCCCTTTCCTCCTTTGGTTTCCGGCATTTCCCTTTCTCTCCTTTGGTTTCCGGCATTCCCTTTCCTCCTTTTCCTTCCCCATTCCCTTTCCTTTCCGGCATTCCCTTTCCTCCTTTGGTTTCCGGCATTCCCCTTTCCTCCTTTGGTTTTCATTCCCTTTCTCCTTTGTATTCCGGCATTCCTTTCCTCCTTGGTTTCCAGCATTCCCTTTTCCTCCTTTGTTTTCAGCATTCCCTTTCCTCCTTTGGTTTCCCTTTCATCAGCATTCCCCCTTTCCTCCTTTGGTTTCCGGCATTCCCTTTCCTCCTTTGGTTTCCGGCATTCCCCTTTCCTCCTTTGGTTTCCCGGCATTTCCCTTTCCTCCTTTGGTTTCCGGCATTTCCCTTTCCTCCTTTGTATTCCAGGCCCTTTCCTCCTTTGGTTTCCGGCATTCCCTTTCCTCTTGGCCTTCCGAGTCCCCTTTCCTCACTTTTAGTTTCCGGCATTTCCCTTTCCTCCTTTGGTTTTTCCATTCCCTTTCCTCCTTTGGTTTCCGGCATTCCCTTTTCCTCCTTTTGGTTTCCATTTCCCTTTTTCCTCCTTTGGTTTCCAGATTCCCTTTCCCTCCTTGGTTTCATTTCCCTTTCCTCCTTTGGTTTCCGGCATTCCCTTTCCTCCTTGGTATTCCGGCATTCCCTTTCCTCCTTGGTTTCCCGGAATCCCCGCACCACTCCTCACTTTAGTTTCCAGCATTCCCTTTCTCCTTTGGTTTCCGGCATTTCCCTTTCCTCCTTTGGTTTCCGGCATTTCCCTTTCCTCCTTTGTATTCGTCCCTTCAGCATTTCCCGACTTTTTCCTCCCCTTTGGTTTTCCAGCATTTCCTTTCCTCCTTGGTTTCCGGCATCCCTTTCCTCCTTTGGTTTTCGGCATTCCCTTTTCCTCCTTTTGGTTTCCGGCATTTCCCTTTCCTCCTTTGGTTTCGGCATTCCCTTTCCTCCTTGATATTCCAGCATCCCTTTCCTCCTTTGGTTTCCAGCATTCCCTTTCCTCCTTTGGTTTCCGGCATTCCCTTTCCTCCTTTGGTTTTCCGGCATTCCCTTTCCTCCTTTGTTTCCCGGCATTTCCCACTTTCCTCCTTTAGTTTCCGGCATTTCCCGCTTTCCTCCTTGGTATTCGAATCCCTTCCGGCATTCCCTTTCCTCCTTTGGTTTCCATTTCCTTTCCTCCTTAGTATTCCATTTCCCTTTCCTCCTTTGGTTTCCGGCATTCCCTTTCCTCCTTTGGTTTCGGCATTCCCTTTCCTCCTTTTGTTTTCATTTCCCTTTCCTCCTTTATTCCGGCATTCCCTTTCCTCCTTTGGTTTCCGGCATTCCCTTTCCTCCTTTGGTTTTCTCCATTTCCATTCCCTTTCCTCCTTTGGTTTCCGGCATTCCCTTTCCTCCTTTGGTTTCCGGCATTTCCCTTTCCTCTTTGGTTTCCAGCATTTCCCTTTCCTCCTTTGGTATTCAGCATTTTCCCTTTCCTCCTTGTTTCCGGCATTTCCTTTCCTCCTTTGGTTTCCGGCATTTCCCTTTTTCCTCCTTTTGGTTTCCGGCATTCCTTTCCTCCTTTGGTTTCCGGCATTCCCTTTCCTCCTTGGTTTTCGATTCCACTTTCCTCCTTTGGTTTCCGGCATTCCTTTCCTCCTTTGGTTTCAGCATTTCCTTTTCCTCCTTTGGTTTCCGGCATTTCCCGCACTCCTTTGGTTTCCGGCATTTCCCTTTCCTCCTTGGTATTCGAATCCCTTTCCTCCTTGGTTTTCCGGCATTCCCTTTTCCTCCTTTGGTTTTCGGCCTTTCCCCTTTGGTTTCCTCCCTTTCTCCTTTTCCGGCATTTCCCTTTCCTCCTTTGGTTTCGGCATTCCCTTTTCTCCTTTGGCATTCCTTTCCTCCTTTGGTTTCCGGCATTTCCCTTTCTCCTTTGGTTTCCGGCATCCGCTTTCTCCTTTCCGGCATTTCCCTTTTCCTCCTTTGTATTCGGCATTCCCTTTTCCTCCTTTGGTTTCCGGAATTTCCCTTTCCTCCTTTGGTTTCCGGCATTTCCTTTCCTCCTTTGGTTTCCGGCATTTCCCTTTCCTCCTTTGGTTTCAGCTTCCCTTTCCTCCTTTGGTTTTCCGGCATTTCCCTTTCCTCCTTTGGTTTCCGGCCTTTCCTCCTTGGTATTCAGATCCCTTTCCTCCTTTGGTTTCCGGCATTCCCTTTCCTCCTTTGGTTCCATTCCCTTTCCTCCTTTGGTTTCCGGCATTTCCCTTTCCTCCTTTGGTTTCCCGGCATTCCCTTTCCTCCTTTGGTTTCGGCATTCCTTTCCTCCTTGTGTTCAGGTCCCACTTCCTCCTTGGTTTCCGGCATTTCCCACTTTCCTCCCTTTGGTTTCCGGCATTCCCTTTCCTCCTTTGGTTTCCGGCATTTCCACTTTCTCCTTTGAATTTCCGGCATTCCTTTCTCTTTGGTTTCCGGCATTTCCTTTCTCCTTTGGTTTTCAGCATTCCCTTTCCTCCTTTGGTTTCCGGCATTCCCTTTCCTCCTTTGGTTTCCGGCATTCCCTTTCCTCCTTTGGTTTCGGCATTCCCTTTGGTTCCGGCCCCTCCGCGCGGTTTCCGGCATTCCCACTTTCCTCCTTTGGTTTTCCGGCGTTCCTTTTCCTCCGGCATTTTTCCTCCGCCAGTTTTCCGTCCCTTTCCTCCTTTGGTTTCCGGCGTTCCTTTTTCCTCCTTTGGTTTCGGCACATTCGCCTTTTCTCCGCAGTTTTCCGGCATTCCTTTTCCTCCTTTGGTTTCCGGCATTCCCTTTTCCTCCTTTGGTTTCCGGCATTCCCTTTCCTCCGGTTTTCGGCATTTCCACTTTCCTCCTTTGGTTTCGGCATTCCTTTCCTCCGGTTTTTCCGGCATTCCCTTTCCTCCTTTGGTTTCCGGCATTCCCTTTCCTCCCTTTGGTTTCCGGCATTCCCTTTCCTCCGCGGTTTTCCGGCATTCCTTTCCTCCGCTGGTTTCGGCTTCCCTTTGGTTTCCGGCATTCCCTTTTCCTCCTTGGTTTCCATTTCCTTTCCTCCGCGGTTTCCGGCATTCCCTTTTCCTCCTTTGGTTTCGGCATTCCCTTTCCTCCGCAGTTTTCCGGCATTCCCTTTCTCCTTTGGTTTCGCTGTTCCTTTCCTCCTTTGGTTTCCGGCATTCTCCTGATTTTCGGTTTTCCGGCATTCCTTTCACTCCTTTGGTTTCGGCATTCCCTTTTCCTCGCATTCCTGGTTTTCGGCCCTTTCCCCTTTCCTCCGCAGTATTCCGGCATTTCCTTTTCCTCCTTTGGTTCCGCATTCCTTTCCTCCGCAGTTTTCCGGCATTCCCGCTTTTCCTCCTTTGGTTTCCGGCATTCCCTTTCCTCCTTTGGTTTCCGGCCCTTTCCTCCTTTTCCAGCATTCACTCCTTTGTTTTCCGGCATTCCCTTTCCTCCTTTGGTTTCCGGCATTTTTCCTCCATTTTTCCGGCTTCCCTTTCCTCCTTTGGTTTTCCGGCATTCCCTTTCCTCCTTTGGTTTCCGGCATTTCCCTTTTCTCCGCAGTTTTCATTCCCTTTCCTCCTTTGGTTTCCGGCATTCCCTTTCCTCCTTTCCGGCATTTCCCTTTCCTCTCCTTTGGTTCCGGCATTCCCTTTCCTCCTTTGGTTTCTTCCCTTTCCTCCTTTGTTTTCGGCATTCCCTTTCCTCCTTTGGTTTCCGGCATTCCTTTTTCCTCCTTTGGTTTCCGGTTCCCTTTCCTCCTTTGGTTTCATTCCCTTTCCTCCTTTGGTTTCCGGCATTCCCCGCGGTTTTCCTCCTTTTTTCCGGTTTCCTTTCCTCCTTTGGTTTCCCATTCCCTTTCCTCCTTTGGTTTCCGGCATTCCCTTTCCTCCTTTTGGTTTCCGGCATTCCCTTTCCTCCTTTGGTTTCCGCATTCCTTTCCTCCTTTGTTTCCGGCATTCCCTTTCCTCCTTTGGTTTCGGCATTCCCTTTCCTCCTTTGTTTTCCGGCATTCCCTTTCCTCCACAGTTTTCCGGCATTCCCTTTCTCCTTTTTTTTTCCGACATTCCCCTCCTTTCCTTTCCGCAGTTTTCCGGCATTCCCTTTCCTCCTTTGGTTTCCGCATTCCTTTCCTCCTTTGGTTTCCGGCATTCCCTTTCCTCCTTTGGTTTCGCACCCACTTTCCGCATTTCCTCCTTGGCATTCCCTTTCCTCCGCAGTTTTTCTGGTTTTTTTGGCATTCCCTTTCCTCCTTTGGTTTCCGCATTCCCTTTTCCTCCTTTGGTTTCCGGCATTCCCTTTCCTCTTGGTATTCCAATCCCTTTCCTCCTTTCCCTTTCCTCCGCGGGTTTCCGGCATTCCCCGCTTTCCTCCGCAGTTTTCTCCTTTTGGTTTCCGGCATTCCCTTTCCTCCTTTGGTTTCCATTTCCCTTTCCTCCTTTGGTTTTCCGGCATTCCCTTTCCTCCTTAGTTTTCCGGCATTCCCTTTCCTCCTTTGGTTTCTGACATTCCCTTTCCTCCTTTGGTTTCCAGTTTTCCTCCTTTGGTTTCATTTCCGGCATTCCCTCCTTAGTTTTTTCGACATTCCCGCTTTCCTTTTGGTTTCTTCCTCCTTTGGTTTCTGACATTCCCTTTCCTCCGCAGTTTTCCTCCGCATTCCCTTTCCTCCTTGGTTTCCGGTATTCCTTTCTCCTTTGGTTTCCGGCATTTCCCCTCCGTTTTTCGGCTCCTTTCCTCCTTCGTTTTCCGGCATTCCCTTTCCTCCTTTGGTTTCCGGCACATTCCTCCTTTCCGGCATTTTCCTTTTCTGACATCCCTTTCCTCCTTTGGTTTCCGGCAGTTTTCCTCCTTTGGTTCCGACATTCCCTTTCCTCCGCAGTTTTCCGACATTCCCACTTTCCTCCGCCGGGCAGTTTTTTTTTCGACATTTCCGGCATTCCTTTCCTCCGCAGTTTTCCGGCATTCCCTTTCCTCCTTTGGTTTCGGCATTTCCGCATTTTCCGGCATTTTTTCTCCTTTTGGTTTCCGCATTCCCACTTTCCTCCTTTGGTTTTCCGGCATTTCCCTTTCCTCCTTTTCCTCATTTGGTTTCCTCCGGCATTCCCTTTCTCCTTAGTTTTCTGACATTCCCTTTCTCCGCAGGCATTTTTCCTCTGACATTCCCTTTCCTCCGCAGTTTCCGGCATCTGACATTTCCGGTTTCCTCCAGTTTTCTGACCGGCATTCCTTTCTCCGCAGTTTTCTTTGGTTTCCATTCGTTTCCTCCGCAGTTTTCTGACATTCCTTTTCCTCCTTTTTTCCGGCATTCCTTTTCTTTTGGTTTCGGCATTCCTTTCCTCCGCGGTTTTCCGGCATTCCCTTTCCTCCCTTTGGTTTCCTGACATTTCTTTCCTCCTTTGTTTTCGCATTCCTTTGGTTTCCGGCATTCCCTTTGACCGGCATTCCCTTTCTCCAGTTTTCCCGCTTTCCTCCTTTGACATTCCCTTTCCTCCTTTGGTTTCCGGACATTCCCTTTCCTCCGCAGTTTTCCAGCATTCCCTTTTCCTCCGCAGTTTTTCCTCCGCATTCCCTTTCCTCCTTTGTTTTCCGGCATTCCCTTTCCTCCTTTTTTTCCGGCATTCCTTTTCCTCCTTTGGTTTTGCATTCCTTTCCTCCTTTGGTTTCCGGCATTTCCCTTTCCTCCGCAGTTTCCGGTTTCCTCCTTTGGTTCCGGCATTTTCCTCCTTTGGTTTCAGCATTCCCTTTCCTCCGCGGTTTCCGGCATTCCCTTTCTCCTTTGGTTTCCGGCGTTCCCTTTCCTCCTTTGGTTTCCGGCATTCCCTTTCCTCCAGTTTTCCGGCATTTTCCCTTTCCTCCTTTGGTTTCCGGCATTCCCTTTCCTCCTCCGGCATTCCTCCCGCAGCATTCCCTTTCCTCCTTTGGTTTCCGGCATTCTGACATTCCCTTTCCTCCGCAGTTTTCCGGCATTCCCTTTCCTCCTTTGGTTTTCAGTTTTCCCTTTCCTCCGCATTCCCTTTCCCCGCACCCTCCCTTTGGTTTCCATTCCCGCCTCCTCCCTTTGGTTTTCATTCCCCTTTCCTCAGCTTTTCCGGTTCCGGCACTTTCCTCCTTTGGTTTCCGGCATTCCTTCTCCTTTGGTTTCATTCCCTTTCCTCCTTTGGTTTAGTTTTTCCTCCTTTGGTTTCGGCATTTCCCTTTCCTCCTTTGTTTTCCGGCATTTTTCCTCCTGCAGTTTTCCGGCATTCCCTTTCCTCCGCAGTTTTCCGGCATTCCCTTTCCTCCGCAGTTTTCCGGCATTCCCTTTCCTCCTTTGGTTTCCGGCATTCCCTTTCCTCCTTTGGTTTCCGGCATTCCCTTTCCTCCTTTTGGTTTCCGGCATTTCCCTTTCCTCCCCTTGGTTTCCGGCATTCCCTTTCCTCCTTTGGTTCCGGCATTTTCCTTTTTGTTTCCTTCCTTTCCTCCGTTTTCCGGCATTCCCTTTCCTCCTTTGTTTTCCGCGGTTTCCGACATTCCCTTTCCTCCTTGGTTTTCCGACATCCCTTTCCTCCTTTGGTTTCGGCATTCCCTTTTCCTCCTTTGGTTTCAGTTTTTCCTCCTTTGGTTTCCGGCATTCCCTTTCCTCCTTTGGTTTCCGGCATTTTCCTCCTTTGGTTTCCGGCATTCCCTTTCCTCCTTTGGTTTCCGGCATTCCCTTTCCTCCGCAGGTTTCCGACATTCCCTTTCCTTTTCCGGCATTTTTCCTCCATTCCGGCTTTTCCTCCTTTGGTTTCGGCATTTCCTTTTCCTCCTTTGGTTTCCGGCCCTTTTCCTCCTTTGGTTTCCGGCATTCCCTTTCCTCCGCAGGCATTTCCGGCATTCCCTTTCCTCCTTTAGTTTCCGGCATTCCCTTTCCTCCGCGGTTTTTCCGGCATTCCCTTTCCTCCTTTGGTTTTCCTCACATTTTCCTTTCCCTTTCCTCCTTTGGTTTCCGGCATTTCCCTTTCCTCCTTTGGTTTCCGGCATTCCCTTTCCTCCGCAGTTTTCCGCATTCCCTTTCCTTTTCCCTTTCCTCCTTTGGTTTCCGGCATTCCCTTTCCTCCTTTGGTGGTTCGGCCATTTCCTTTTCCTCCTTTGGTTTTCCGCATTTTCCGGCATCCCCTTTCCTCCTTTGGTTTCCGGCGTTTCCCTTTCCTCCTTTGGTTTCCGGCATTTCCTTTCCTCCGCAGTTTTCCGGCATTCCCTTTCCTCCTTTGGTTTCCGGCATTCCTTTTTCCTCCTTGGTTTTCCGCGCATTTCCGGCGTTTCCCTTTCCATCCTTTGGTTTCCGGCATTTTTTCCTCCCTTTTGGTTTCCGGCATTCCCTTTTCCTCCTTTGGTTTCGGCATTTTTCTGACATTCCCTTTCTCCTTTGTTTTCCGGCATTCCCTTTCCTCCTTTGGTTTCCGGCATTCCTTTCCTCCTTTGGTTTCCATTCCCTTTCCTCCTTTGGTTTCCGGCATTCCCTTTTCCTCCTTTGGTTTCGGCATTCCCTTTCTCCGCAGTTTTCCGGCATTCCCTTTCTCTTTGTTTCGGCATTCCTTTCCTCCTTTTCCGGCAGTTTTCCGACATTCCTTTCCTCCTTTGGTTTCCGGCATTCCCTTTCCTCCTTTTGCTCCGGAATCCCTTTCCTCGCATTTTCCGGCATTTCCCGCTTTCCTTTGGTTTCCGGCATTCCTTTTCCTCCTTTGGTTTCCGGCATTCCCTTTCCTCCGCAGGTTTCCGGCATTCCCTTTCCTCCTTTGGTTTCCGGCATTCCCTTTCCTCCTTTGGTTTCCGGCATTCCCTTTCCTCCTTTTTCCGGTTTCCTCCTTGGTTTCCGGCATTCCCTTTCTCCCTTTGGTTTCCGGCATTCCCTTTCCTCCGCATTTTCTTTCCCTTTTCCTCCTTTGGTTTCCCCGCATTCCCTGGTTTCCCGTTTCCAGCATTCCCTTTCCTCCTTGGTTTCCGAATCCCTTTCCTCCTGGTTTTCCGGCATTCCCTTTCCTCCTTAGTTTTCGGCATTCCCTTTTTTCCTCCTTTGGTTTCCGGCATTTCCCTTTCCTCCTTTGGTTTCCGGCATTCCCTTTCCTCCGCAGTTTCCGGCATTTCCCGTTTCCTCCTTTGGTTTCCGACATTTCCCTTTCCTCCTTTTTTCGGCATTCCCTTTCCTCCTTTGGTTTCCGGCATTCCCTTTCCTCCTTTGGTTTCCGGCATTCCCTTTTCCTCCTTTGGTTTCCGGCATTCCCTTTCCTCCTTTGTTTTCCATTCCCTTTCCTCCTTTTTCCGGCATTTCCTTTCCTCCTTTGGTTCCGGCATTCCCTTTCCTCCTTTTTTTCGGCATTTCCCTTTCCTCCTTTGGTTTTCCGGCATTCCTTTTCCTCCTTTGGTTCCGGCATTCCCTTTCCTCCTTTGGTTTCCGGCATTTCCCTTTTTCCTTTAGTTTCCGGCATTCCCTTTCCTCCTTTGGTTTCCGGCATTCCCTTTTCCTTGGACATTTTCCTCCTTTCCTTCCTTAGTTTTCCGACATTCCCTTTCCTCCCTTTGGTTTCCGGCATTCCCTTTTTCCTCCGCAGGTTTCCGGCATTCCCTTTCCTCCTTTGGTTTCCGGCATTCCCTTTTCCTCCTTTGGTTTCCGGCGTTCCCTTTCCTCCTTGGTTTCCGAATCGCACCCTTTCCTCCGGTTTTCCGGCATTCCCTTTCCTCCTTTGGTTTCCATTCCCTTTCCTCCTTTGGTTTCCGGCATTCCCTTTCCTCCTTTGGTTTCCGGCATTCCCTTTCCTCCGGTTTCATTCCCTTTCCTCCTTTGGTTTCCGGCATTCCCTTTCCTCCTTTGGTTTCCGCATTCCCTTCCTCCTCCTTTTTCCTTTTGGTTTCCGCATTCCCTTTCCTCCTTTGTTTTTCGGCATTCCCTTTTCCTCCTTTGGTTTCCGGCATTTCCCTTTCCTCCTTTGGTTTCGGCATTCCCTTTCCTCCTTTGGTTTCGGCGTTCCTTTCCTCCGCAGGCATTTTTCCTCCTTTGGTTTCCGGCATTTCCCTTTCCTCCTTTGGTTTCGGCATTCCCTTTCCTCCTTTGGTTCCGGCATTCCCTTTCCTCCTTTGGTTTCCGGCATTCCTTTCCTCCTTTGGTTTCCGGCATTTCCTTTCCTCCTTTGGTTTCCATTCCCTTTCCTCCTCGGTATTCCCGGTTTTCGGCGGCATTTTGGTTTCCGGCATTCCCTTTCCTCCTTTGGTTTCCGGCATTCCCTTTCCTCCGGTATTTCGGTTCCCTTTCCTCCTTTGGTTTCCGGCATTCCCACTTTCCTCCTTTGGTTTCCGGCATTCCTTTCCTCCTTTTTTCCGGCATTTCCCTTTCCTCCTTTGGTTTCCGGCATTCCCTTTCCTCCGCAGTTTTCCGGCATTCCCGCTTTCCTCCTTTGGTTTCCGGCATTCCCGCTTTCTCCTTTGGTTTCATTTCCCTTTTCATTCCCTTTCCCTTTCCTCCTTTGGTTTTCCGGCATTCCTTTCCTCCTTTGGTTTCCGGCATTCCCTTTCCTCCTTAGTTTTGCATTCCCTTCCGGCATTTTTCTCCTTTGGTTTCCGGCATTCCTTTCCTCCTTTGGTTTCCGGCGTTTCCCTTTTCCTCCTTTGGTTTCAGCATTTTCCTCCTTTGGCCGGCATTCCCTTTCCTCCTTTGGTTCCGGCATTCCCTTTCCTCCTTTGGTTTCCGGCATTTTCTCCTTTGGTTTCGGCATTCCCTTTCCTCCTTTACAGTTTCCGGCATTTCCTTTTCCTCCTTTGGTTTCCGGCATTCCCTTTCCTCCTTTGGTTTCCGGCATTCCCTTTCCTCCTTGGCATTCCGGAATTCGCTCCGCAGTTTTTCCATTTCACCTCCGGTTTTCCGGCATTCCCTTTCCTCCTTTGGTTTCCGGCATTCCCTTTCCTCCTTTGGTTTTCGGCATTCCCTTTCCTCCTTTTGGTTTTGGTTTTTCCCGCATTTTAAGCCTTCCTTTCCTCCTTTGGTTTCTCCTTGGTTTCCGCATTCCCTTTCCTCCTTGTTTCCGCATTCCGCGGTTTCCGGCATTCACTCCAACACAGTTTCCGGCATTCCTTTGGTTTCATCGGCATTCCTTTCTCCTTTTGTTTCTTTCTCCTTTGGCATTCCCTTTCTCCGTAGTTCGCTTTCTCCTCTTTGCATTCCCTTTCCTCCTTGTTTTCCGCATTCCCTTTCCTCCTTTGTTTTCGCATTTCCCTTTCCTCCTTTGGTTTCCGCATTCCCTTTCCTCCTTTTCCTCCGTTTTTTCCTCCTTTGGCATTCCCTTTCCTCCTTTGGTTTTCCGGCATTCCCTTTCCTCCTTTTGGTTTTTCCTCCTTTGGCATTCCCTTTCCTCCGCAGTTTTTCGGCATTCCTTTCCTCCGCAGTTTTCCGGCATTCCCTTTCCTCCTTTGGTTTCCGGCATTCCCTTTCCTCCTTTGGTTTCCGCATTTCCTTTCCTCCTTTGGTTTCGGCATTCCTTTCCTCGCAGTTTTCCGGCATTCCCTTTCCTCCGGTTTTCCGGCATTCCCTTTCCTCCGCAGTTTTCCGGCATTCCCTTTCCTCCTTTGGTTCCGCATTTTTCCTCCTTTGGTTTCCGCATTCCCTTTTCCTCCTTTGGTTTCCGGCATTCCCTTTCCTCCTTTGGTTTCCGGCATTCCCTTTCCTCCGCCGGTTTTCCGGTTTTTCCTCGCATTTTCCGGCATTCCCTTTCCTCTGCCCGGCATTTTTCCTCCTTTGGTTTCCGCATTTCCCTTTCCTCCTTTGGTTTCCGGCATTCCTTTCCTCCTTTGGTTTCCCATTTCCTTTCCTCCGCAGTTTTCCGGCATTCCCCTTTTCCTCCCTTTCAGTTTTTTCCGGCATTCCCTTTCCTCCTTTGCATTCCTTTCCTCCTTTGGTTTTCCGGCATTCCCTTTCCTCCTTGGTATTCCGGAATCCTTTCTCCGTTTTCGGCATTCCCTTTCCTCCGCAGTTTTCCGGACATTCCTTTTCCTCCGCAGTTTTCCAGCATTCCCTTTCTCCTTTTAGTTTTTCATTCCCTTTCCTCCTTTGTTTTCCGGCATTCCTTTTCTCCTTTTGGTTTCCGGAATCCCTTTCCTTTCCTCCTTTGGTTTTCCGGCATTCCCCTTTCCTCCGCCAGTTTTCCGCATTCCTTTCCTCCGCAGTTTCCGGCATTCCTTTCCTCCTTTGGTTTCCGCATTCCCTTTGGTTCCTCCTTTGCGGTTTCCGGCATTCCCACTTTCCTCCTTTAGTTTCCGGCATTCCTTTCTCCTTTGGTTTCCGGCATTCCCTTTCCTCCGCCAGTTTTCGACGTCCCTTTCCTCCTTTGGTTTCCGGCATTCCTTTCCTCTTTGGTTTCTGGCATTCCCTTTTCCTCCACCAGTTTTCCGGCGTTCCTTTCCTCCTTTGGTTTCCGGCGTCCCTTTCCTCCTTTGGTTTCCGGCATTCCCTTTCCTCTGGTTTCCGGCATTCCTTTCCTCCTTTGGTTTCCAGCATTCCTTTCCTCCGGTTTTCCGGCATTCCTTTTCCTCCTTTGGTTTCCGGCATTCCCTTTCCTCCCTTTGGTTTCCGGCGACCCTTTCCTCCTTTGATTTCCGGCGATTCCTTTCCTCCGCTGGTTTCGGCATTCCCTTTCGCAGATTTCCGGCGTTCCCTTTCCTCCATACGGTTTCCAGCATTTCCCTTTCCTCCGCAGTTTTCCGGCATTCCCTTTCCTCCTTTGGTTTCCCGGCATTCCCTTTCCTCCGCGGTTTTCCGGCATTCCCTTTCCGCCTTTTCCGGTTTCCGGCTTTCCTCCTTTGGTTTTTCATTTCCCTTTCCTCCTTTGGTTTCCATTCCCTTTCCTCCTTTGGTTTTCCGGTTTCGGCATTCCTTTCCTCCTTAGGTTTCCAGCATTCCCTTTCCTCCTTTGGTTTTCAGCATTCCCTTTCCCCTCCGCAGGTTTCCGACATTCCCTTTCCTCCGCAGTTTTCCTCCTTTGGCATTCCCCTTTCTCCGCAGTTTTCCGGCATTCCCTTTCCCTCCTTTGGTTTCCGCATTCCCTTTTCCCTTTCCTCTCCGCATTCCCTTTCCTCCTTTGGTTTCCGGCATTCCCTCCTTTTGGTCTCCTTTGGTTTCCGGTTCCCTTTCCTCCTTTTGGTTTCCGGACATTTCCTTTCCTCCTTTTTTCCGGCATTTCCCACTTTTCCCGCTTTGGTTTCCATCTTCCTTTCTCCGCAGTTTTCCGGCATTTCCCTTTCCTCCGCAGTTTTCCGGCATTCCCTTTCCTCCGCAGTTTTCCGGCATTCCCTTTCCTCCTTTTGGTTTCCCCTTTCTCCTTTGGCATTCCCCTTTTCTCCGGCAGTTTTCCGGCATTCCCTTTCCTCCTTTGGTTTTCCGGCATTCCCTTTCCTCCGCAGTTTTTCCTCACCATTTTCGTTTCCTCCGCAGTTTCCTGACATTCCCTTTCCTCCTTTAATTTTCCGACATTCCTTTCCTCCTTTGAAGTTTCCGACATTCCCTTTCCTCGGTGGTTTCAGCGACCCTTCCCGTTTCTTTCCGCAGTTTCCCGCATTTCCCTTTCCTCCTTTGGTTTCGGCATTCCTTTCCTCCTTTTGGTTCCGGCATTCCTTTCCTCCTTTGGTTTCCGCATTCCTTTCCTCCTTTTGGTTTCCGGCATTCCTTTTGGTTTCCTCCCTTTGGTTTTCCCGACATTTCCCTTTCTCCTTTGGTTTCCGGCATTCCCTTTCTCCTTTGGTTTCCATTTTTTCCTCCTTTGTTCCGGCATTCCCTTTTCCTCCTTTGTTTTTCTGACATTCCTTTCTCCTTTGGTTTTCTTGACATTCCCTTTCCTCCTGAAGGTTTTCCGACATTCCCTTTCCTCCTGCAGTTTTCCGGCATTCCCTTTCTCCTTTGGTTTCATTTCCCTTTTCCTTTTCTGACATTTCCATTTTCCTCCTTTGGTTTCGACATTCCTTTCCTCCGCAGTTTTCCGACATTTCCTTTCCTCCTTTGGTTTTCTGGCATTCCTTTCCTCCTTTTGTTTCAGCATTCCCTTTCCTCCTTTGGTTTCCGCATTCCCTTTTCCCTCCTTTTGTTTCGGCATTCACTTTCCTCCTTTGTTTTCCCAGCATTCCTTTCTCCACCCAATTTTCCGCATTCCTTTCCTCCACCAATCCTTGGTACCCTTTGGTTTCCAGCATTCCTTTTCCTCCTTTGTTTCCATCCGCATTCCTTTCCTCCTTGTTCCCTTTCCGCATTCCCTTTCTCTTTGCAGTTTCCTTTCTCCTTGGTTTCAGCATTTCCCTTTTTCTCCTTAGTTTTCCTCCTTTAATTTCCGCATTCCCTTTCTCCCCTTTGTTTTCCCGGCATTTCTTTCCTCCCTTTGCATTCCCTTTCCTCCTTTCCATTCCCTTTCCTCCTTTGGTTTCCGACATTCCCTTTCCTCCTTTTTTCGCATTTCCCTCCCTTTGATTTGCTTTTCCCTTTTCCTCCTTTGGTTTCCTCCTTTGTTTCGCATTCCCTTTCCTCCCTTTGGTTTCCGGCATTTCCCTTTGGTTTCCTCCTTTCCTCCGCAGTTTTTCCGGCATTCCCTTTCCTCCGCAGTTTCCGGTTTTTTCCTCCATGATTTCAGCATTCCCTTTCCTCCTTTGGTTTCCGCATTCCCTTTCTCCTTTGGTTTGCATTTCCCTTTCCTCCTTTTTCCGCATCCCTTTCCTTTGGTTTCCCGGCATTTCCTTTCCTCCTTTGTTTTCTGACATTCCCTTTCTCCTTAGTTTTCTGACATTCCTTTGGTTTTCCAGCATTCCCTTTCCTCCTTTGGTTTCCAGCATTCCTTTCCTCCTTTTGCTTCCGCAATTTTCCTCCTTTTGGTTTCCCATTTTCTCCGCATTTTTCCTCCTTAGTTCCCTTTTTCCTCCGCAGCGTTTCCGCATTCCCTTTCCTCCTTTGGTTTCCCTTTCTCCTTCCCTTTCCTCCTTTGGTTTCCGCATTTCCCTTTACTCCTTTGAGTTTCCAGCATTCCCTTTCCTCCTTTGTTTTCCATTTCCTTTTCCTCCCTTTGGTTTCCGGCATTTTTCCTCCTTTGGTTTCGCTTCCCTTTCCCTTTCCTCCTTTTTCCTTGGTTTCCGGCATTCCTTTCCTCTTTCGGCATTTTTCCTCCATGATTTTTCAGCATTTTCTCCTTTGGTTTCCCATTTTTCCTCCTTCCCATTTCCTCCCAGTTTTCCGGCATTCCCTTTCCTCCTTTGGTTTCCCTTTTCCTCCTTGGTTTCCGGCATTCCCTTTCCTCCTTTGTTTCCCGCATTTCCCTTTCTCTTTGGTTTCCATATTTCCTCCTTTCCTCCGCAGTTTTCCCGCATTCCTTTCCTCCTTTGTTTCCGCATTCCCTTTCCTCCTCCATTTCCCTTTCTCCGCAGTTTTCCCTTTCTCCTTTGTTTCCTTTCCTCCGTGTTTTCCGGCATTCCCTTTCCTCCTTTGTATTCGGGGTGCATTCCTCTTTCCTCCTTTTTTTCAGCATTCCCTTTCCTCTTTTTCCCACAGTTTTTCCTCCTTTGTTTCCCTTCCTCCTTTGGTTTGCTTTTTCCTCCTTTGTTTCCGGCATTCCTTTCTCCTTTGGTTTCAGCATTCCTTTCCTCCTTTGGTTTCCGGCATTCCCTTTCTCCTTTTGGTTTTCCGCATTCCTTTCCTCCTTTTGGTTTCCAGCATTCCCTTTCCTCCACCAGTTTCCAGCATTCCCTTTTCCTCCTTTGGTTTCCTTTCCTTTCCTCCTTTGGTTTCCTTCCCCTTTCCTCACAATTTTCAGCATTCCACTTTCTCCCGCAGTTTTCCATTCCTTTCCTCTTTGGTTCCAGCATTCCCTTTTCTCCCTCCTTGGTTCCTTGTTACTTTTCCTCCTTTGTTTTGTATTCCCTTTCCTCCTTTGGTTTCCAGCATTTCCCTTTCCTCCTTTGGTTTCCGGCATTTCCTTTCCTCCTTTGCTTTCCTTTCCTTTCCTCCTTTGGTTTCCGGCATTCCCTTTCCTCACCGGCATTTCCTTTCCCTTTCCCTTTCCTCCTTTGCTTTCCATTCCTTTTCCTTAGTTCAGAATCCTCCCCTTTCTCCTTTGGTTTCCGGCATTTCCCTTTCCCCGCAGTTTTCCGGCATTCCCCTTTTATCCTTTGGTTTCCTTTTCCTTTTGGTTCCGGCATTCCCTTTCCTCCTTTCCTTCCCTTTCCTCCTTTGGTTTCCAGCATTTTTTCCTCCTTTGGTTTTCAGCATTCCTTTCCTCCTTTGCTTCCTTTCCTCCTTTGGTTTCCCTTTCCTCCTTGTGTTCCCTTTCCTTTTGTTTCAGCCCTTTCCTCCTTTGGTTTCCACTCCACTCCTTTCAGCATTCCCTTTCCTCCTTTGGTTTCCGGCATTCCTTTTCCTCCTTTGCTTTGGTTTTCCTCCATTTCCTTTCCTCCTTTGGTTTCCGGCATTCCTTTCCTCCGCCATTTTCCCCTCCCTTTATTCCGGCATTCGTATTCGGCATTCCCTTTCCTCCTTTGCTTTCCGGCATTCCCTTTCCTCCTTGGTTTCCGGGAATCCTTTCCTCCTTTGTTTCGGCATTTTCCCTTTTTCCTCCTTTGGTTTCCGGCATTCCCTTTCCTCCTTTGGTTTCCGGCATTCCCTTTTCCTCCTTTGGTTTTTCCCTTTCCTCCTTGGTATTCCAGATCGCGCACCATAACTCCCTTTCCGGCATCCTTTCCTCCGCAGTTTTCCGGCATTCCTCCTTTGGTTCCGGCCCATCCTTTGGTTCCGGCATTCCCTTTCCTCCGGCGTTTCCACTATGTTTTCCGGCATTCCCTTTCCTCCTTTGCTTTCCGGCGTTCCTTTCCTCCTTTGGTTTCCGGAATCCCCTTTCCTCCGCAGGTTTCCGGCATTCCCTTTTCCTCCATTTCGGCATTTTTTCCTCCTGTTCCAGCATTCCCTTTCCTCCTTTTGGTTTCATTTCCCTTTCCTCCTTTGCTTTCCAGCATTTGCTCGGCATTCCCTTTCCTCCTTGGTTTCCAGCATTCCCTTTCCTCCTTTTCCGGCATTCCCTCCTCCCCTTTGGTTTCATTCCCTTTCCTTTCCGGCTTCCCTTTCCTCCTTTGCTTTCCGGCATTCCCTCCTTGGTATTCCTCCTTTCCTCAACGGTTTCCGGCATTTCCCTTTCCTCCGCGGTTTCGGCATTCCCTTTCCTCCTTTGGTATTCGGCATTCCTTTCTCCTTTCGGCATTTTTTCCTCCTTTGCTTTCCGGCATTCCCTTTCCTCCGCAGTTTCCCTTTTCCTCCTTTGGTTTCCAGCATTCCCTTTCCTCCTTTGGTTTTCATTCCCTTTCCTCCTTTGGTTTCCGGCATTCCCTTTCCTCCTTTGGTTTCCGGCATTTCCTTTCCTCCGCAATTTTCCAGCATTCCCTTTTCCTCCATGATTTTCCGGCATTCCCTTTCCTCCTTTGGTTTCGGCATTCCTTTTCCTCTTTGGTTTCGGCATTTCCCTTTCCTCCTTTGGTTTCCAGCATTCACTTTCTCCTTTGGTTTCAGCATTCCCTTTCCTCCTTTGGTTTTCAGCATTCCCTTTCCTCCGCAATTTTCCAGCATTCCCTTTCCTCCGCAGTTTTCAGCATTTCCCTTTCCTCCTTTGGTTCCATTTCCCTTTTCCTCCTTTGGTTCCATTTCCCCTTTCCTCCCTTTGGTTTCAGCATTTCCCTTTCCTCCTTTGGTTTTCGGCACCACTTTCCTCCTTGGCCTTCCAATCCCTTTCCTCTTGGTTTCCGGCATTCCCTTTCCTCCTTTGATTTTCCGGCATTTCCCTTTTCCTATTCCATTCCTTTCCTTTTGGTTTCCGGCATTTCCTCCTTTGCTTTCCGGCATTCCTTTCCTCCGCAGTTTTCCGGCATTTCCTTTTCCTCCTTTGGTTTTCCGGCATTTCCCTCCTCCTCCTTTGGTTTTCGGCATTCCCTTTCTCCTTTTCCGGCATTCCCTTTCCCCTTTCCCTTCCCCCTTTCCTCCTTTGCTTTCCGGCATTTCCCTTTTCCTCCAATTTTCCAGCATTCCCCTTTCCTCCCGCAATTTTCCAGCATTCCCTTTCCTCCTTTGGTTTCCAGCATTCCCTTTCCTCCTTTGGTTTCCGGCATTTCCCTTTCCTCCCTTTGGTTTCAGCTTCCCTTTCCTCCGCAGTTTTCCGGCATTCCCTTTCCTCCACCAGTTTTCCAGCATTCGCACCTCCTTTGGTTTCCAGCCTTTCCCTTTCTTCAGTTTCCCTTTCCCCTTTCACTTCCTTTTTTCCTCCTTTCCGGCCCTTTCCTCCACTTTGGTTTCCGGCATTGCCTTTCCTTTCCTTTCTTTCCCTTTCTCACATTTCCCATTTCCTTTCTCCACCAATTTTCCGGCATTTCCCTTTCCTCCTTTGCTTTCCGGCATTCCCTTTCCTCCTTTGTTTCCAGCATCCCTTTCCTCCTTTGGTTTCCGGCATTCCTTTCCTCCTTTGGTTTCAACATTTCCCTTTCCTCACTTTTTTTCCAGCATTTCCTTTCCTCCGCGGTTTCCGGCATTTCCTTTCTCTTTGGTTTCCAGCATTTCCTTTTTCCTCCTTTGGTTCCGGCATTTCCTTTCCTCCTTTGCTTTCCGGCATTCCCTTTTCCTCCTTTGCTTTCCGGCAATTTCCTCCTTGGTATTTCGAGAATCCCACCACTCCCTTTGGTTTCCGGCATTTCCCTTTCCTCCGCGGTTTTTCACATTCCCTTTCCTCCTTTGGTATTCCGGCATTCCCTTTCCTCCTTTGGTTTCCATTCCCTTTCCTGCAATTTTCCGGCATTCCCTTTCCTCCTTTGTTTTCCGGCATTCCCTTTCCTCCACCCAGTTTTCGGCTTTCCCTTCCTCCTTTGGTTTCCGGCATTTCCCTTTCCTCCGCATTCCGGCATCCCTTTCCTCCTTTGGTTTCCGGCATTCCCTTTTCCTCCACCAATTTTTCCTCCTTTGGTTTTTCCGGCATTTCCTTTCCTCCGCGGTTTTCCGGCATTCTTCCTCCTTTGGTATTCCGGCATTCCCTTTTCTCACTCCTTTGGTTTCCGGCATTCCCTTTCCTCCTTTGCTTTCCTCCTTTCCTCCGCAGTTTCCGGCATTCCTTTCCTCCGCAGTTTTCCGGTTTCCCTTTCTTGATGGTTTCCGGCATTTCCCTTTCCTCCTTTGGTTTCCGGCATTTCCCTTTTACCTCCCTTTGGTTTCCGGCATTTCCCTTTCCTCCCGCGGATTTTCCAGCATTCCCTTTCCTCCGCGTTTCCGGCATTCCCTTTCCTCCTTTGGTTCCGGCATTCCCTATCCTTTGGTTTCGGCATTCCCTTTCCTCCTTTGGTTTCCAGAATTCCCTTTCCCTCCTTTGGTTTCGGCATTCCCTTCCTCCTTTGGTTTCCGGCATTTCCCTTTCCTCCTTTTTCCTTTTTCCTCCTTTGTTTTCCGGCTTTCCCCTTTCCTCCGCAGTTTTCAGTTTCCTCCCGCAGTTTCCTTTCCCTCCTTTTGGTTTCCATTCCTTTCTCCTTTGGTTTCCATTCCCTTTCCTCCTTTGGTTTCCGGCATTTCCCTTTCCTTTTTCCGGCATTCACTTTCCTCCGGTTTTCCGGCATTCCCTTTCCTCCTTTGTTTCCGGCATTCCCTTTTCCTCCTTTGGTTTCCGGCATTCCCTTTTCCTCCTTTGGTTTCCGGCATTCCCTTTCCTCCTTTGGTTTCCGGCATTCCTTTCCTCCTTTGGTTTCCGGCATTCCCTTTCTCCTCCGCAGTTTTTCGGCATTCCTTTTCCTCCACCAATTTTTCAGCATTCCCTTTCCTCCCTTTGGTTTCCCGGCTTTCCCCTTTTCCTCCTTGGTTTCCGGCATTCCCTTTCCTCCCGCAGTTTCCGGCATTCCCTTTCCTCCTTTGGTTTCCGGCTTCCCTTTCCTCCCTTTCCGGTTCCCTTTCCTCCGCCAGTTTTCCATTCCCACCTTTGGTTTCCGGCATTCCCTTTCCTCCTTTGGTTTTCCAGCATTCCCTTCCTCCTTTGGTTTCAGCATTCCCTTTCATCCTTTTCCAGGCTCCCTTTCCTCCTTTGGTTCAGCATTCCCTTTTCCTCCACGCAATTTTCAGCATTCCCTTTTCCTCTTGGTTTTCCTTCCCTTTCCTCCTTGGTTCCTTCCCTTTCCTCCTTTGGTTTCCGGCATTCCCTTTCCTCCTTTGTTTTCCAGCATTTCCCTTTCCTCCATAGTTTTCCGGCATTTCCCTTTCCTCCTTTGTTTCCGGCATTCCCTTTTCCTCCTTTGTTTCCGGCATTTCCTTTCTCCTTTGGTATTCATTTCCCTTTTCTCCCTTTGGTTTCCGGCATTTCTTTTCCTCCCCTTTGGTTTCAGCATTCCCTTTTCCTCCTTTGGTTTTCGAATTTCCTTTCCTCCGCAGTTTCCGGCATTCCCTTTCCTCCATTCATTTCCGGCATTTCCCATTTTTCCTCCTTTGGTTTCAGCATTTCCCCTTTCCTCCTTTGGTTTCCGGCATTTCCCTTTCCCTCCTTTGAACCCGGCATTCCCTTTCCTCCTTTGGTTTCCGGCATTCCCTTTCCTCCTTTGGTTTCCTTTCTCCGCAGTTTTCCCCCTTCCTCCTTTGGTTTCCAGCATTCCCTTTCCTCCTTCAATTTCCAGCATTCCCACTTTCCTCCCAATTTTCCAGCATTTCCCTTTCCTTTGGTTTTTTCCAGCATTCCCTTTCCTCCTTTGGTTTCCTTTCCTTTCCTCCTTTGGTTTCCCCGCATTTCCCCTTTCCTCCTTTGGTTTCAGCATTCCCTTTTCTCCCTTTTTTTCCGGCATTCCTTTCCTCCACAATTTTCCCAGCATTCCTTTCCTCCACCAATTCAGCATTCCCTTTTCCTCCTTTGTTCCAGCATTCCCTTTCCTCCTTTTGGTTTCCGGCATTTCCCTTTCCTCCTTTGTTTCCGGCATTCCCTTTCCTCCTTTGGTTCCGGCATTCCCTTTCCTCCGCAATTTTCAGCATTCCCTTTCCTCCGCAATTTTCAGCCCTTTTTCCTCCTTTGGTTTTCCATTTCCCTTTCCTCCTTTTTTCCTCCTTTATTTGTTTCCAGCATTTCCTTTCCTCCTTTTTTTTCAGCATTCCCTTTCCTCCTTTGGTTTTGGCATTCCCTTTTCCTCCCTTTGGTTTCCTTTTCCCTTTTCCTCCTTTGGTTTTCCAGCATTCCCTTTCCTCCTTTGGTTTCCGGCATTCCTTTTCCTCCTTTGGTTTCGGCGTCCCTTTCCTCCTTTGGTTTCCGGCATTCCCTTTTCCTCCTTTGGTTTCCGGCATTCCCTTTCCTCCGCAGTTTTCCGGCATCCCTTTCCTCCGCAGTTTTCCAGCATTTCTTTCCTCCTTTGGTTTCCCCCTTTCCTCCTTTGGTTCAACATTTTCCCACTTTCCGGCATTCCCTTTCCTCCTTTGCTTTCCGGCATTCCCTTTCCTCCTTGGTATTCAGGAATGCCTCTTTGGTTTCCGGCATTCCTTTCCTCCGCCATTTTCCCTTTCCTTCCTTTCCTTTGGTTTCCGGCATTCCCTTTTTCCTCCCAGCATTTCTTTTCCCACAGTTTTCCGGCATTTTCCTCCCTTTGGTTTCCCGGCATTCCTTTCTCCTCCTTTACCGAGTTTTTCCTCCTTTGGTTCCGGCATTCCCTTTCCTCCTTTGCTTCCGGCATTCCTTTTCCTCCTTGGTATTCCGGAATCCCTTTCCCCTTTCCGGTTTTCCTTTCCCCATGATTTTCCAGTTTTCCTTTCCTCCTTTCCTTCAGCATTCCCTTTTTTCCAGCATTTCCCCTTTCCTCCTTTGTTTCCGGCGACCCTTTCCTCCTTTGGTTTCCGGCATTCCCTTTCTCCTTGGTTTTCCGGATCCTCCTTTCCTTTCGGCATTCCCTTTCCTCCTTCCTTTCCTCCTTTGGTTTCCGGCATTCCCTTTCCTCCTTTTTTCCAGCATTCCCTTTCCTCCTTTTTTCCAGCATTCCCTTTTCCTCCTTTGGTTTCCAGCATTCCCTTTCCTCCTTTGGTTTTTTTTTTTTTCCAGCATTCCCTTTCACTTTAGTTTCCGGCATTTCCTTTCCTCCTTTGTTTTCCATTTCACTTTCCTCCTTTGGTTTTCCGGCATTTCCCTTTTCCTCCTTTGGTTTCCGGCATTCCCTTTCCTCCTTTGGTTTCCAGCATTCCCTTTCCTCCCGCAATTTTCCATTCCCTTTCCTCCACCAGTTTTCCGGCATTCCCTTTCCTCCTTTGGTTTCCGGCATTCCTTTCCTCCTTTGGTTTCCGGCATTCCTTTTCCTCCTTTGGTTTCCATTCCTTTCCTCCACCTTTTCCGGCATTCCTTTCCTCCTTAGTTTTCAGCTCCTTTCCTCCCTTTAGTTTCCAGCATTCCTTTCCTCCTTTGGTTTCCCATTTCCTTTCCTCCTTTGGTTTCCAGCATTCCCTTTTTCCTCCTTTGGTTTCCAGCATTCCTTTCTCCTTTGGTTTCCAGCATTCCCTTTCCTCCGCCAGTTTTCAAGCCATTCCCTTTCCTCCGCAGTTTCCATTCCCTTTCCTCGAACGCATTTTTTAAACCCTTTCCTCTTTGGTTTCCAGCATTCCCTTTCCTCCTTTGCTTTCCTCCCTTTGGTTCATTCCTTTCCTCCGCCAGTTTTCCGGCATTTCCCTTTCCTCCGCAGTTTTCCGGCATTCCCTTTTCTCCTTTGGTTTCCGGCATTTCCCTTTCCTCCTTTGGTTTCCGGCATTCCCTTTCCTCCTTTGGTTTCCGGCTTTCCTTTCCTTCCTTTGGTTCCTTGGCATTCCCTTTCCTCCTTTCCTCCGTTTTCGGCATTCCCTTTTCCTCCGCAGTTTTCCGGCATTCCCTTTCCTCCACCGTTTCAGCATTCCCTTTCCCTCCTTTGGTTTCGGCATTCCCTTTCCTCCTTTGGTTTCCTTTAGTTTCCGGCATTCCCTTTCCTCCTTTGGTTTCCCTTTGGTTCCAGCATTCCCTTTTGTTCCTCCGCCTCCTTTTCCGGCATTTCCCTTTCCTCCGCGGTTTCGGCATTCCCTTTCCTCCTTTGGTTTCCGGCATTCCTTTTCCTCCCGCAATTTCCCGGCATTCCCTTTCCTCCGGCATTCCTTTTCCTCCTTTGGTTTCCGGCATTTCCCTTTTCCTCCTTTGGTTTCCTTCATTTCCCTTTCCTCCTTTTGGTTTCCGGCATTCCTTTCCTCCTTTGTTTCCCTTTCCTCCTTTGCTTTCCGGCATTCCTTTTCCTCCCGCAGTTTCCGGCATTCCCTTTCCTCCTTTGGTTTCCGGCGATTTCCCTTTCCTCCTTTCCGGTTTTCCTCCTTTGGTATTCAGCCCTTTCCTCCTTTGGTTCCAGCATTCCCTTTCCTCCTTTGGTTTCCGGCATTCCCTTTCCTCCTTGGTTTCAGCATCCCTTTCCTCCTTTGTTTCCGGCATTCCCTTTCCTCCACAGTTTTTCAGCATTCCCTTTTTTTGGTTTCCACTCCTTTGGTTTCGGCATTCCCTTTTCCTCCTTTTGTTTCCATTTCCCTTTCCTCCTTTGGTTTCCGGCATTCCCTTTCCTCCTTTGGTTTCCGGCATTCCTTTCCTCCTTTGGTTTCTTCCCTTTCCTCCTTTGGTTTCCGGCATTTCCCTTTCCTCCGCAGTTTTCCGGTTTCCCTTTCCTCCCTTTGTTTTCCCTTTCCCTTTTCCATCCTCCTTTGGTTTCCGGCATTCCCTTTCCTCCTTTTTTCCGGCATTTTCCTTTTCCCTTTCTCTTTGGTTTCCGGCATTCCCTTTCCTCCTTTGGTTTCCAGCATTTCCCTTTCCTCCGCAGTTTTCCCCTTTCCTTTCTTTCCTCCTTTTTCGGCATTCCCTTTCCTCCTTTGGTTTCCCTTTCACTCCTTGTTCAGAATTCCCTTTCCTCCTTTGGTTTCCGGCATTCCCCTCCGCAATTTTCAGCATTCCCTTTGGTTTCCATTTCCCTTTCCTCCTTTGGCATTTCCCTTTCCTCCGCCCAGTTTTTTCCTCCTTTATTCCAGAATCGCCCTCCTTTGGTTTCCAGCATTCCCTTTCCTCCTTTGGTTCGGCATTCCCTTTCCTCCTTTGGTTTCCGGCATTCCTTTCCTCCTTTGGTTTCCATTTCCCTTTCCTCCTTTGGTTTCCGGCATTTCCCACCCTCCGCAGTTTCGGCATTCCCTTTCCTCCTTTGGTTTCCGGCATTCCTTTTCTCCTTTTCCTTTGGTTTCCTCGGCATTCCCTTTCCTCCGCCCAGTTTTCCTTTCACTCCTTTGCTTTCCATTCCCTTTCCTCCGATTTCCAGCATTCCTTTTCCTCCTTTGGTTTCGGCATTCCCTTTCCTCCGCAGTTTTCGGCATTCCTTTCCTCCTTTGGTTTCCGGCATTTCCTTTCCTCCTTTGGTTTCCGGCATTCCCTTTCCTCCTTTGGTTTCCCGGTTTCCAGCATTCCCTTTCCTCCGCAGTTTTCCGGCATTCCGTTCCAGCATTTCCCTTTCCTCCTTTGGTTTCCAGCATTCCCTTTCCTCGCAGTTTTCCGGCATTTCCCACTTTCCTCCGCAGTTTTCCGGCATTCCCTTTCCTCCTTTGGTTTTCATTCCCTTTTCCTCCTTTGGTTTTCAGCATTTCCCTTTCCTTTCCCCCTTTCCTCCTTTGGTTTCCTTTTTCCCTTTCCTCCTTTGGTTTCCAGCATTCCCTTTTTCCTCCTTTGGTTTCCGGCATTTCCTCCGCAATTTCCTCCTTTCCTCCGCATTCCCATTCCTCCTCCTTTTTTCCTCCCTTTTCCTCCTTTGGTTTCCGGCATTCCCCTTTCCTCCTTTGGTTTCCGGCATTCCCTTTCCTCCTTTGTTTCCATTCCTTTCCTCCTTTTCCGGCATTTCCTTTCCTCCGCATTTTCCCATTCCCTTTCCTCCTTTGGTTTCCGGCATTCCCTTTCCTCCTTTGGTTTCCGGCATTTCCCTTTTCCTCCTTTGGTTTCCGGCATTCCCTTTCCTCCTTTGGTTTCCGGCATTCCCTTTCCTCCCCCTTTGGTTTTCCGGCGTTTCCTTTCCTCCTTTGGTTTTTCCGGCATTTCCCTTTCCTCCTTTGGTTTCCAGCATTTCCTCCCGCAATTTTCAGCATCCCCTTTCCTCCGCATTTTCCGGCATTCCCTTTTCCTCCTTTGGTTTCCGGCATTTCCCTTTTCCTCCTTTTGGGCATTTCTCCTTTGGTTTCCAGCATTCCCTTTCCTCCCGGCATTCATTTTCCCTTCCTTTTGGTACCTCCGCAGTTTTCCGGCATTCCCTTTCCCTTTGGTTTCCGGCATTTCCTTTTCCTCCTTTGGTTTCCGGCATTCCTTTTCTCCTTTGGTTTCCGGCATTCCCTTTCCTCCCTTTTCCGGTTTCCCTTTCCTCCGCATTTTCCCTTTCCTCCTTTGGTTCCGGCATTTCCTTTTCCTCCTTTGGTTTCCAGCATTCCTTTCCTCCGCAGTTTTCCGGCATTCCCTTTCCTCCACCAGTTTTCCAGCATTTCCCTTTCCTCCTTTGGTTTCAGCATTCCCTTTCCTCCTTTTCCAGTTTTTTCCTCCTTTGTTTTCCATTCCCTTTCCTTTGGTTTTCGGTTCATTCCCTTTCCTCCTTTGGTTTCCGGCATTCCCTTTTCTCCTTTGGTTTCCAGCATTCCCTTTCCTCCTTGGTATTCCAGCCATTCCTTTCCTCCTTTTGGTTTCAGCATTCCCTTTCCTCCCTTTTCCTTTCCTTTTCCTTGGTTTTTCCGCATTCCCTTTCTCCCCTTGGTTTCCGGCATTCCCTTTTCCTCCTTTGGTTTCCGGCATTCCCTTTTCCTCCTTTGGTTTCCAGCTTCCCCTTTTCCTCCTTTGGTTTCCGGCATTCCCTTTTCCTCCTTTAGTTTCCGGCATTCCTTTCCTCCTTTGGTTTCAGCATTTCCTGCCACTCCTTTGGTTTCCAGCGTCCCTTTCCTCCTTGGTTTTCCGGCATTCCTTTCCTCCTTTGGTTTCCGGCATTCCCTTTCCTCCGCAGTTTTCCATTCCACTTTCCTCCTTTGATTTCCAGCATTCCCTTTCCTCCCTTGTTTCCATGATTCCCTTTCCTCCTTTGGTTTCCGGCATTCCCTTTTCCTCCTTTGGTTTCCGGCATTTCCCTTTCACTCCTTTGGTTCCGGCATTCCACTTTCCTCCATGATTTTCCGGCATTCCCTTTCCTCCGCAGTTTCCATTCCCTTTCTCCTTTGGTTTCGGCGTCCTTTTCCTCCTTTGTTTCCGGCATTCCCTTTCCTCCGCAGTTTTCCGGCATTTCCTTTCTCCGCGGTTTTCGGCATTCCCTTTTCCTCCACAGTTTTCCCATTCCCTTTCCTCCTTTGGTTTCCGGCATTCCCTTTCCTCCTTTGGTTTCCGGCATTCCCTTTCCTCCTTTGGTTTCCGGCATTTCCTTTCCTCCGCAATTTTCCAGCATTCCCTTTTCCTCCCTTTTCCGGCATTCCCTTTCCTCCTTTGGCATTCCCTTTCCTCTTTTTCCGGCATTTCCTTTCCCTTTGGTTTCCAGCATTCACTTTCCTCCTTTGGTTTCCGGCATTCCCTTTCCTCCTTTGGTTTCAGCATTTCCTTTCCTCCTTTTCCGGCATTCCCTTTCCTCCGCAGTTTTCAGCATTCCCTTTCCTCCTTTGGTTTCCCTTTTCCTCCTTTGGTTCATTCCCTTTCCTCCTTTGGTTTCCAGCATTCCCTTTCCTCCTTTGGTTTTCCTCCTTTGGTCCCTTCCTCCCTTTGGTTCCGGCATTCCTTTCCTCCGCAGTTTTCCGGTTTCCCTTTCCTCGCAGTTTTTCATTCCTTTCCTCCTTTGGTTTCCGGCATTCCCTTTTCCTCCTTTGCTTTAAGCATTCCCTTTCCTCCTTTTCAGGAATCCCTTTCCTCCTTTGGTTCCCATTCCTTTCCTCCGCAGTTTCCGGCATTCCCTTTCCTCCATGTTTTCCGGCATTCCCTTTCCTCCTTTGGTTTTCCGGCATTTCCCTTTTCCTCCTTTGGTTTCCGGCATTCCCTTTCCTCCGCAGGTTTCTCCAGCATTCCCTTTCCTCCTTTAGTTTCCCGGCATTTCCCGCGCTTTCCTCCTTTGGTTTCGGCATTTCCTTTCCTCCTTTGGTTTCCGGCATTTCCCTTTCCTCCTTTTTTCGGCATCCCCTTTCCTCCTTTGGTTTCCGGCATTCCCTTTCCTCCTTTGGTTTCCGGCATTCCCTTTCCTCCTTTGGTTTCCGGCATTCCTTTTCCTCCTTTGGTTCCGGCGTTCCACTTTCCTCCTTGGCATTCGAATCCCTTTCTCTTTGGTTTCATTTCCCACTTTCCTCCTTTGGTTCAGCATTCCCTTTCCTCCTTTGGTTTCCGGCATTCCTTTCCTCACTTACAGTTTCCCGGCTTCCCTTTTCCTCCTTTGGTTTCCAGCATTCCTTTCCTCCCTTGGTATTCGAATCCTTTCCTCCTTGGTTTCCGCATTCCCTTTCCTCCTTTGGTTTCCGGCATTCCCTTTCCTCCTTTGGTTTTCCGGCATTCCTTTTCCTCCTTTGGTTTCGGCATTCCCCTTTCCTCCTTTGGTTTCCGGCATTCCCTTTACTCCTTTGGTTTCCGGCATTCCCTTTCTCCTCCCTTTGGTTTCCATTCCCTTTCCTCCTTTGGTTTCCGGCATTTCCCTTTCCTCCTTTGGTTTCCGGCATTTCCCTTTCCTCCTTTGGTTTCCGGCATTCCCTTTCCTCCGCCCAGTTTTCCCGGCATTCCCTTTTCCTTCCCTTTCCTCCTTTGCTTTCCGGCATTTCCCTTTTCCCTCCTCCTTTGGTTTCCGGTTTCCGGCATTTCCCTTTCCTTTTCCGGCATTCCCCTTTTATCCTTTGGTTTCCGGTTCATTTTTCCTCCTTTCCTCCTTTCCCTTTCCTCCTTTGGTTTCCGACATTTCCTCCTTTGGTTTTCAGCATTTCCTCCTTTGCAGTATTCCTCCTTTGCTCGGCATTCCCTTTCCCTTTCCTCCTCCTTTGGTTTCCCCTTTCCTCCTTTGGTTTCCTCCTTTGTTTCAGCATTCCCTTTCCTCCTTTGGTTTCCGCATTCCCTTTTCACTCCTTTGTTTCCGGCATTCCCTTTCCTCCAGTATTCCAGAATCCCTTTCCTCCTTTGGTTTCCGGCATTCCCTTTTTCCTTCCTTTCCTCCCTTTGGTATTCCGGCATTCGCCTTTCCTCCTTTGGTTTCGGCATTCCCTTTCCTTCCCTCCTCCTTGGTATTCCCTTTCCTCCTTTGGTTTCCGGCATTCCCTTTCCTCCTTTGGTTCCCTTTTCCTCCTTTGGCATTCCCTTTTTCCTCCTTTGGTTTTCCAGCATTTTCCGGCATTCCTTTCCTCCTTTGTTTTCCGGCATTCCGCACCACTCCTTTGGTTCCGGCCCATTTCCGGCATTTTTCCTCCTTTGGTTTCCGGCGATGTGCCCTTCCCTTTCCTCCTTTGCTTTCCGGCGTTCCCCGCTTTCCTCCTTGGTATTCCGGAATCCCACTTTCCTCCGCTTTTTCCGGCATTCACTTTTCCTCCGGTTCCTTTTCCTCCTGAATTCCCTTTCCTCCTTTTGGTTTCCCTTTCCTCCCTTTGCTTTCCAGCATTTGCTCCCGGGTCTTTCCTCCTTTGGTTTCCGGCATTCCCTTTCCTCCACCAGTTTTCCGGCATTCCCTTTCCTCCCCTTTGGTTTCCGGCATTCCCTTTCACTCCTTTGGTTTCCGGCATTCCCTTTCCTCCTTTGCTTTCCGGCATTCCTTTCCTCCTTGGTATTCCGGAATCCTTTCCGGCATTTCCCTTTCCTCCGCGGTTTGGCATTCCCTTTCCTCCTTTGGTATTCGGCATTCCTCTCCTTTGCTTTCGGCATTTCCCTTTCCTCCTTTGCTTTCCGGCATTCCCTTTCCTCCGCAGTTTCCGGTTTTTCCTCCTTTGGTTTCCAGCGGTTTTCAGCATTTCCCTTTCCTCCTTTGTTTTCCGGCATTTCCTTTCCTCCTTTGGTTTCGGCATTCCCTTTCTCCTTTGCTTTCCGGCATTCCCTTTCCTCCGCAGTTTTCCGGCATTCCCTTTCCTCCGCAGTTTCCGGCATTCCCTTTCCTCCCTTTGGTTTCCTTTCCTCCCTTTGGTTTCATTTCCCTTTCCTCGCGCTTTCCGGCATTCCCTTTCCTCCTTTTCCGGAATCCCTTTTCCTCCTTTGGTTTCCGTTTTCCGGCATTTCCCTTTCCTCCTTTGGCATTTTTCCTCCTTTGGTTTCCATTCCCTTTCCTCCTTTGCTTTCCGGCATTCCCTTTCAGCATTCCTTTCCTCCTTTGGTTTTTCACTTTCTCCGCAGTTTCCATTTTTCCTCCTTTGGTATTCCGGCATTCCCTTTTCCCTTTCCAGCATTCCTTTTCCTCCTTTGCTTTCGGTTTCCTCCTTAGTATTCGGAATCCCTTTCCTCTTGGTTTCCGGCATTCCCTTTCCTCCGGGTTTCCGGCATTTCCCTTTTTGGTATTCAGCATTCCTTTCCTCTTTGGTTTCCGGCATTTTTCCTCCTTTGCTTTCCGGCATTCCTTTCCTCCGCAGTTTTCCGGCATTTCCCTTTCCTCCTTTGGTTTTCCGGCATTTCCCTTTCCACCTTTTCCGGCATTCCCTTTCCTCAAGTTTTCCGGCATTCCCTTTCCTCCTTTGGTTTCGGCATTCCCTTTCCTCCTTTGCTTTCCGGCATTTCCCTTTCCTCCTTGGCATTCCCCTTTCCTCCGAATTTTCCCATTCCCTTTCCTCCTTTGGTTTCCGCATTCCCTTTCCTCCTTTGCATTTCCCTTTCCTCCCTTTGGTTTCAGCATTCCCTTTCCTCCGCAGTTTTCCGGTTCCCTTTCCTCCACCAGTTTTCCAGCATTCCACCTCCTTCAGCATCCTTTGGTTTCAGCATTTTCCTCCTTTGGTTTCCTTTGGTTTTCCATTTCCCTTTTTTCCTCCCTTTGGTTTTCCGGCATTTCCCTTTTTCCTCCTTTTCCTTTCTCCGCAGTTTTCCGGCGACACTTTCCTCCGCAGTTTTCCGGCATTCCTTTTTCCTCCTTTGGTTTCCGGCATTTCCCTTTCCTCCTTTGGTTTCCGGCATTCCCTTTCCTTTCCTCCTTTGGTTTTCCGGCATTCCCTTTCCTCCTCCTTTTTCCTCCTTTGGTTTCCAGCATTCCCTTTCCTCCTTTGGTTTCAGCATTTCCCTTCCTCCTTTGGTTTCCGGCATTCCTTTCCTCCTTTGCTCTCCTTTGGTGTTCAGAATCCCTTTCCTCCTTTGGTTCCGGCATTCCTCCGCGGTTTTCCGGCATTCCTTTCCTCCTTTGTTATTCAGCTTCCCTTTCCTCCTTTGGTTTCGGCATTCCCTTTCCTCTTTTGCTTTCCGGCATTCCCTTTCCTCCGCAGTTTTCCGGCATTCCCTTTCCTCCACCCAGTTTTCGGCTTCCCTTTCCTCCTTTGGTTTCCGGCATTTCCCTTTCCTCCTTTGGTATTCCGGCATTCCCTTTCCTCCTTTGGTTTCCGGCATTCCCTTTTCCTCCTTTGCTCGGCACCCTTTCCTCCCTTGGTATTCGAGATCCCTTTCCTCCTTTGGTTTTTCCGGCATTTCCTTTCCTCCGCGGTTTTCCGGCATTCCCTTCCTCCTTTGGTATTCCGGCATTCCCTTTTCTCACTCCTTTGGTTTCCGGCATTCCCTTTCCTCCTTTGCTTTCCGGCTTCCCTTTCCTCCGCAGTTTCCGGCATTCCTTTCCTCCGCAGTTTTCCGGTATTCCCTTTCCTCCTTTGGTTTCCGGCATTTCCCTTTCCTCCTTTGGTTTCCGGCATTTCCCTTTTACCGCCCTTTGGTTTCCGGCATTTCCCTTTCCTCCGCGGATTTTCAGCATTCCCTTTCCTCCGCGTTTCCGGCATTCCCTTTCCTCCTTTGGTTCCGGCATTCCCTATCCTTTGGTTTCGGCATTCCCTTTCCTCCTTTGGTTTCCGGCATTCCCTTTTCCTCCTTTGGTTCCGGCATTCCCTTTCTCCTTTGGTTTCCGGCATTTCCCTTTCCTCCTTTGGTTCCGGCGTTCCCTTTCCTCCTTTGGTTTCCAGCATTCCTTTCCTCCTTTGGTTTCCGGCATTCCCTTTCCTCCTTTGGTTTCCGGCATTCCTTTCCTCCTTTGGTTTCCCATTTCCCTTTCCTCCTTTGGTTTCCGAATTCCCCTTTTTCCTCCTTTGGTTTCCGGCATTTCCCTTTCCTCCTTTGGTTTCCAGCATTCCCATTTCCTCCTCCGTTTTCCGGCATTCCCTTTCCTCCGCAGTTTTCAGCATTTCCTTTTCCTCCGCGGTTTCCCTTCCCTTTTCCTCCTTTGGTTTCCCATTCCCTTTCCTCCTTTGGTTTCCGGCATTCCTTTTCCTCCTTTGGAATCCTTTCCTCCATTTTCCCTTTTCCTCCTTTGGTTTCCAGCATTCCCTTTCCTCCTTTGGTTTTCGGCATTCCCCTTTCCTCCTTTCCGGTTTTTTCAGCATTCCCTTTCCTCCTTTGTATTCAGTTTTTTCACTCCTTTGGTTTCCGGCATTTTTCCTCCTCCTTTGGTTTCCGGCATTCCCTTTCCTCCTTTGGTTCCGGCATTCCTTTCCTCCTTCCAGTTCCGGCATTCCTTTCCTCACCAGTTTTCCGGCATTTCCTTTCCTCCGCAGTTTTTCCGGCATTTCCCTTTCCTTTGGTTTCCGGCATTCCCTTTCCTCCTTTGGTTTCCAGCATTCCACCCTCCTTTGGTTTCCGGCATTTCCCCTTTCCTCCTTTGGTTTCCGGCATTCCCTTTCCTCCTTTGGTTTCCGGCATTCCCTTTCACCCACCAGTTTTCCGGCATTCCTTTCCTCCCGCAGTTTCCGGCATTCCCTTTCCTCCTTTGGTTTCCGGCATTCCCTTTCCTCCTTTGGTTTCGGCATTCCTTTTTTCCTCCCCTTTGGTTTCCGGCGACCCTTTTCCTCCTTTGGTTTCCGGTATTCCCCCTTTCCTCCTTTGGTTTCCGGCTTTCCCTTTTTCCTCCTTTGGTTTCCGGCATTCCCACTTTTCCTCTCCTTTGGTTTCCGGCATCCCCTTTCCTCCGCCCAGTTTTCCGGCATTCCCGCTTTCCTCCTTTGGTTTTCCGGCATTCCTTTCCTCCGCAGTTTTCAGGTTTTTCCGGCATTCCTTTCCTCCTTTGGTTCCGGCATTTCCCTTTCCTCCTTTGCTTTCCGGCATTCCCTTTCCTCCGCAGTTTTCCGGCATTCACTTTTTTCCTCCACGTTTTCCAGCATTCCCTTTCCTCCTTTGGTTTCCGGCATTCCTTTCCTCCTTTGGTTTCCGGCATTCCCCCTCCTTTGGTTTTCCGGCATTCCTTTCTCCAGGTTTCCGGCATTCCCTTTCCTCCTTTGGTTTCCGGCATTCCCTTTCCTCCTTTGGTTTCCTTTCCTCGCATTTTCCTTTTCCTCCTTTGGTTTCCGGCATTCCCTTTCCTCCTTTGGTTTCGGCATTCCCTTTCTCCTTTGGTTTCATTCCCTTTCCTCCTTTGGTTTCAGCATTCCCCGCTTTCCTCCGCAGTTTTTCCATTCCCTTTCCTCCGCAGTTTTCGGCATTCCTTTCCTCCTTTGGTTTCGGCATTCCCTTTCCTCCTTTGGTTTCCGTCCCTTTCTCCTTTGGTTTCCGACATTCCCTTTTCCTCCTTTGGTTTCCGGCATTTCCCTTTCCTCCTTTGGTTTCCGGCATTCCCTTTCCTCCGCAGTTTTCCGGCATTTTCCTCCTTTGTTTTCCGGCATTCCCTTTCCTCCTTTGGTTTCCGGCATTCCCTTTCCTCCTTTGGTTTCCGGCATTCCCTTTCCTCCTTTATTCAGGTTTCGGCATTCCTTTCCTCCGCCAGTTTTCGGTTTTCCGCATTCCGGCGTTCCTCCTTGGTTTCCGGCATTCCCTTTTTCCTCCTTTGAACCAGCATTCCCTTTCCTCCGGTTTTCCGGCATTCCCTTTCCTCCTTTGGTTTCCGGCATTCCCTTTCCTCCTTTGGTTTCCGGCATTCCCTTTCCTCCTTTGGTTTCCGGCATTCCCTTTCCTCCTTGGTATTCCGGCATTCCCTTTCCTCCTTGGTATTCCGGAATCCCTTTCCTCCTTTGGTTTCCGGCATTCCCTTTCCTCCTTTGGTTTTCCGGCATTCCTTTCACTCCTTTTGGTTTCCGGCATTCCCGCATCCCTTTGGTTTCCAGCATTTCCCTTTCCTCCTTTGGTTTCCGGCATTCCCTTTCCTCCACCAGTTTTCCGGCATTCCCTTTCCTCCGCAGTTTTCGGCATTTCCCTTTCCTCCTTTGGTTTCCGGCATTCCCGCTTTCTCCCTTTGGTTTTCGGCATTTCCTTTCCTCCTTTGGTTTCCGGCATTCCCCTTTCCTCCGCAGGTTTCCGGCATTCCCTTTCCTCCTTTGGTTTCCGGCATTCCCTTTCCTCCTTTGGTTCCGGCATTCCCTTTCCTCCTTTGGTTTCCGGCATTCCCTTTCCTCCATTGGTTTCCGGCATTCCCTTTCCTCCTTTGGTTTCCGGCATTCCCTTTCCTCCTTTGGTTTCCGGCATTCCCTTTCCTCCTTTGGTTTCCGGCATTTCCCTTTCCTCCTTTGGTTTCCGGCATTTCCTTTCCTCCGCAGTTTTCGTGCATTCCCTTTCCTCCCGCAGTTTTCCGGCATTCCTTTCCTCCTTTGGTTTCCGGCATTCCTTTCCTCCTTTGGTTTCCGGCATTCCTTTTCCTCCTTTGGTTTCCTTTCCTTTCCTCCACCAGTTTTCCGGCATTCCCTTTCCTCCGCAGTTTTCCTCGCTGGTTTCCCTTTTCCTCCTTTGGTTTCCGGCATTTCCCTTTCCTCCTTTGGTTTCCAGCATTTCCTTTCCTCCTTTGGTTTCCAGCATTTCCCTTTCCTCCGCCAGTTTTCCCATTCCCTTTCCTCCGCAGTTTCCGGCATTCCTTTCCTCCTTTGGTTTCCGGCCAGCATTCCCTTTCCTCCTTTGGTTTCCTTTCCCTTTCCTCCCTTTGGTTCATTTCCTCCGCCAGTTTTCCGGCATTTCCTTTCCTCCGGTTTTCCGGCATTCCCTTTCCTCCCTTTGGTTTCCGGCATTCCTTTCCTCCTTTGGTTTCCGGCATTTCCCTTTCCTCCGCAGTTTTCCGGCATTCCTTTCCTCCTTTGGTTTCAGCATTCCTTTCCTCCTTTGGTTCCGGCATTTCCCTTTTCCTCCCTTTTCCGGTTTCCTCCACCGGCATTCCCTTTCCCTCCTTTGGTTTCCGGCATTCCCTTTCCTCCTTTGGTTTCCGGCATTTCCCCTTTCCTCCCTTTGGTTTCCGGCATTCCCTTTTCCGCGGTTTTCCGGCATTCCCCTTTCCTCCGCAGTTTCGGCATTCCCTTTCCTCCTTTGGTTTCCGGCATTCCCTTTCCTCCTTTGGTTTCCGGCATTCCCTTTCCTCCTTTGGTTTCCGGCATTTCCCTTTCCTCCTTTGGTTTCATTTCCTTTCCTCCCTTTGGTTTCCGGCATTCCTTTCCTCCGCAGTTTCCGGCATTCCTTTTCCTCCCGCAGTTTCCGGCATTCCCTTTCCTCCTTTGGTTCCGGCGATTTCCCTTTCCTCCTTTGGTTTCCGGTTCATTCCCTTTCCTCCTTTGTTTTCCGGCATTTCCCTTTCCTCCTTTGGTTTCCAGCATTCCCTTTCCTCCTTTGTTTTCGGCATTCCCTTTCCTCCACAGTTTTGGCATTCCCTTTTTCACTCCTTTGGTTCCGGCATTCCCTTTTCCTCCTTTGGTTTCCGGCATTCCCTTTCCTCCTTTGGTTTCCGGCATTCCCTTTCCTCCTTTGGTTTCCGGCATTCCCTTTCCTCCTTTGGTTTCCGGCATTCCCTTTCCTCCTTTGGTTTCCGGCATTCCCTTTCCTCCGCAGTTTTCCGGCATTCCCTTTCCTCCGCAGTTTTCCGGCATTCCCTTTCCTCCTTTGGTTTCCGGCATTCCCTTTCCTCCATTGGTTTCCGGCATTCCCTTTCCTCCTTTGGTTTCCGGCATTCCCTTTCCTCCTTTGGTTTCCGGCATTTCCCTTTTCCTCCGCAGTTTTCCGCATTTTTCCCTCCCGCAGTTTTCCAGCATTCCTTTCCTCCTTTGGTTTCCATTCCCTTTCCTCCTTTGGTTTCCGGCATTCCCGCCTCATTTGGTTTCCGGCATTTCCTTTGGTTTTCGGCATTCCTTTCCTCCTTTGGTTTCCAGCATTCCCTTTCCTCCTTTGGTTCCGGCATTTCCTTTCCTCCTTTGGTTCCGGCATTTCCTTTCCTCCTTTGGTTTCCATTCCCTTTCTCCGCCCAGTTTTCCGGCATTCCCTTTCCTCCTTTGGTTTCCGGCATTCCTTTTTCCTCCTTTGGTTTTCCATTCCCTTTCCTCCGCCCAGTTTTCCGGCATTCCCTTTCCTCCTTTTCCAGCATTCCCTTTCCTCCTTTGGTTTCCGGCATTTCCTTTCCTCCTTTGGTTTCCGGCATTTCTGCAGGTTTTCACATTCCCTTTCCTCCTTTGGTTTCCGGCGACCCTTTCCTCCGCATTCCCTTTCCTCCTTTGTTTTCTGACATTCCCTTTCCTCGCATTTTCCCCTTTCCTCTGACATTTCCGGCATTTTTCCTCCTTTGGTTTTCTTCCATTTGGTTTTCACATTCCTCCAGGTTTCCGGCATTCCCTTTCCTCCTTTGGTTTCCGGCATTTCCCTTTCCTCCTTTGGTTTCCGGCATTCCCTTTCCTCCTTTGGTTTCCGGCATTTCCTTTCTCCTTTCCTTCCGCATTTCCCTTTTCCTCCTTTGGTTTCCGGCATTCCCCTTTCCTCCTTTGGTTTCCGGCATTCCCTTTCCTCCTTTATTCCAGTTTTCCCACTTTCCTCCTTTGGCATTTCCTTTCCTCCTTTGGTTTCCGGCATTTCCCTTTCCTCCTTTGGTTTCCGGCATTCCCTTTCCTCCTTTGGTTTCCGGAATTCCCTTTCCTCTTTGGTTTCCGGCATTCCCTTTCCTCCCGCAGTTTCCGGCATTTCCCTTTCCTCCTTTGTTTTCCAGCATTCCTTTCCTCCCCTTATTTTCCGGCATTCCCTTTTCCTCCTTTGGTTTCCGGCATTCCCCTTTCCTCCTTTGGTTTCCGGCATTCCCTTTCCTCCGCAGTTTTTCGGCATTTCCCTTTCCTCCGCAGTTTTCCGGCATTCCCTTTCCTCCACAGGTTTCCGGCATTTCCTTTTCCTCCTTTGGTTTCCGGCATTCCCTTTTCTCCTTTGGTTTCCGGCATTCCCACTTTCCTCCCTTTGGTTTCGGCATTCCCTTTCCTCCTTTGGTTTCCGGCATTCCGCTTTTCCTCCTTTCCTCCGGTTTCCAGCATTCCCTTTCCTCCGCAGTTTTCCGGCATTCCCTTTCCTCCTTTGGTTTTCCGGCATTTCTTTCCTCCTTTGGTTTCGGCATTCCCCTTTCCTCCTTTGTTTTCCGGCATTCCTTTTCCTCGCAGTTTTCGGCATTTCCCTTTCCTCCACCCAGTTTTCGGCATTCCCTTTCCTCCTTTGGTTTCGGCATTTCCTTTTCCTCCTTTGGTTTCCGGCGTCCCTTTCCTCCTTGGTATTCGGCATCCCTTTTCCTCCTTTTGGTTTCGGCATTCCCTTTCCTCCGCAGTTTTCCGGCATTTCCTTTCCTCCGCGATTTCCGGCATTCCCTTTCCTCCTTTTTGGTTTCCATTCCCCCTTTGGTTTCCGGCATTTCCTTTCCTCCTTTGGTTTCCGGCATTCCCTTTCCTCCTTTTGGTTTCGGCATTTCCTTCCTCCTTTGGTTTTCGGCATTCCCTTTCCTCCTTTCCTCCTTTGGTTTTCCGGCATTCCCTTTCCTCCTTTGGTTTCCGGCATTCCCTTTTCCTCCTTTGGTTTCCGGCATTTTCCCCCTTTCCTCCACAGTTTCCGGTTTCCTTTCCTCCTTCCCTTTCCTCCTTTGGTTTCCGGCATTCCCTTTCCTCCTTTGGTTTCCGGCATTTCCCTTTCCTTTCCCTTTCCTCGGTTTCCGGCATTCCCTTTCCTTTTCCTTTGGTTTCGGCATTCCCTTTCCTCCTTTGGTTTCCCAGTTTTCCGGCATTTCCTTTCCTCCGCGGTTTCGGCATTTCCTCCACAGTTTTCCTCCTTTGGTTTCCGGCATTCCCTTTTCCTCCTTTGGTTCCGGCATTCCCTTTCCTCCTTTGGTTTCCGGCATTTCCCTTTCCTCCTTTTTTCCGGCATTCCCTTTCCTCCGCGGTTTTCCGGCATTCCCTTTCCTCCAGTTTTCCGGTTTCCCTTTGGCATTTCCTTTCCTCCTTTGGTTTCCGGCATTTCCCTTTCCTCCTTTGGTTTCGAGCATTTCCCCTTTCCTTTCCTTTCCTCCACAGTTTTCCAGCATTTCCGGTTTCATTCCCTTTCCTCCTTTGGTTTCCATTCCCTTTCCTCCTTTGGTCCTTTCCTCCCTTCCAGGTTCCGGCATTCCTTTCCTCCTTTGGTTTCCGGCATTCCCTTTCCTCCTTTGGTTTCCGGCATTCCCTTTTCCTCCTTTGGTTTCCGGCATTTTCCTCCTTTCCTTTCCTCCGCAGTTTCCGTTTTTCCTCCGCATTTTCCGGCATTTCCTCCTTTGGTTTTCCGCATTCCCTTTCCTCCTTTGGTTTCCGGCATTCCCTTTCCTCCTTTGGTTTATTCCCTTTCCTCCTTCAGTTTCCGGCATTCCCTTTCCTCCTTTGGTTTCGGCATTCCCTTTCTCCTTTGTTTTCCGGCATTTCCCTTTCCTCCTTTGGTTTCGGCATTCCCTTTCCTCCTTTGGTTTCCGGCATTTCCCTTTCCTCCTTTGGTTTCCGGCATTCCCTTTCCTCCTTTGTTCCGGCATTTCCCTTTCCTCCTTTGGTTTCCGGCATTTCCTCCGCAGTTTTCCGGCATCCTTTCCTCCGCCAGTTTCCGGCATTTCCTTTCCTCCTTTGGTTTCGACATTCCCTTTCACTCCTTTGGTTCCATTCCCTTTCCTCCTTGGTTTCCGGAATTCCTTTCCTCCTTTGGTTTCCGGCATTCCCTTTCCTCCTTTGGTTTCCGGCATTCCCTTTCCTCCTTTGGTTTCCTTCCCTTTCCTCTTTGGTTTCCGGCATTTTTCCTTTCCTCCTTTGGTTTTCGGCATTCCCTTTCCTCCGCCGGCATTCCCTTTCCTCCTTTGGTTTTCCGGCATTCCCTTTTCCTCCTTTGGTTTCCGGCATTTCCTTTCCTCCTTTGGTTTCCGGCATTCCCTTTCCTCCTTTTCCGGCATTTCCCTTTCCTCCTTTTTCCGGCATTTCCTTTTCCTCCTTTGGTTTCAGCATTCACTTTTCCTCCTTTGGTTTCCGGCATTTCCCTTTTCCTCTGCATTCCAGGTCCATTTCCTCCTTTAGTTTTCCGGCATTCCCTTTCCTCCTTTGGTTTCCGACATTCCTTTCCTCCTTTGGTTTCCGGGTTTCCATTCCCTTTCCTCCTTTGGTTTCCGGCATTTCCTTTCCTCCTTTTGGTTCCGGCATTTCCTTTCCTCCCTTTGGTTTCTGACATTCCCTTTCCTCCTTTGGTTTCCGCATTTTTCCGGCATTCCTTTCCTCCTTTGGTTTTTTCCGGCATTTCCCTTTCCTCCTTTGGTTTCCGCATTCCCTTTCCTCCCTTTTCCTCCTTTGGTTTCCGGTTTCATTCCCTTTCCTCCCTTTCCTCCGGTTTCCGGAATCCTCCACCAGTTTTCCTTCCTTTCCTCCTTTGGTTTTCCGGCATTCCCTTTCCTCCTTTTGGTTTCCGGCATTTCCCTTTCCTCCTTTTGGTTTTCCGGTTTTCATTTCCTTTTCCTCCTTTGGTTTCCGGCATTCCCCTTTCCTCCTTTGGTTTCCGGCATTTCCCTTTCCTCCGCAGTTTTCTGGTTCCCTTTCCTCCTTGCAGTTTCCAGCATTCCCTTTTCCTCCTTTGGTTTCCGGCATTCCCTTTCCTCCTTTGGTTTCCGCATTCCCTTTCCTCCTTTGGTTTCCGGAATCCCTTTTCCTCCTTTGGTTTCCGGCATTTCCCTTTCCTCCTTTGGTTTCCGGCATTTCCCTTTCCTCCTTTGGTTTCCGGCATTTCCCTTTCCTCCCTTTGGTTTCGGCATTCCTTTCCTCCTTTGGTTTCCAGCATTTCCCTTTCCTCCTTTGGTTTCCAGCATTCCCTTTCCTCCTTTGGTTTTCCGGCATTTCCCTTTCTCCGCAGTTTTTCCGGCATTTCCCTTTCCTCCTTTGGTTTCGGCATTTCCCTTTCCTCCGCCCGGTTTTCGGCATTCCCTTTCCTCCTTTGGTTTCCGGCGACCCCTTTCCTCCTTTGGTTTCCAGCATTCCCTTTCTCCTTTGGTTTCCGGCATTCCCTTTCCTCCTTTGGTTTCAAAAGCCATTCCCTTTCCTCCTTTGGTTTCGGCATTTCCCTTTCCTCCTTTGGTTTCCAGCATCCCTTTCCTCCGCAGTTTTCCGGCATTCCCTTTCCTCCCAGTGGTTTCCGGCGTTTCCCTTTCCTCCTTTGTTTTCCGGAATTCCCTTTCTCCTTTGGTTTCCGGCATTTCCCTTTCTCCCTTTGGTTTCCGGCTTCCCTTTTGGTTTCCTCCCTTTCTCCTTCTGGTTTCCGGAATCCGCTTTCCTCCTTTGGTTTCCGGCATTCCCTTTCCTCCTTTGGTTTCCGGCATTCCCTTTCTCCGCAGTTTTCCGGTTCACTCCGCATTTTCCCTTTCCCTCCGCAGGTTTCCGGCATTCCCTTTCCTCCTTTGGTTTCCATTTCCCTTTCCTCATGCGGTTTCGGCATTCCCTTTCCTCCTTTGGTTTCCGGCATTCCTTTCCTCCTTTGGTTTCCGGCATTCCCTTTCCTCCTTTTTGGTTTCCGGCATTTCCCTTTCCTCCTTTGGTTTCCGGCATTTCCCTTTCCTCCTTTGGTTTCCGGCATTCCCTTTCCTCCTTTGGTTTCCGGCATTCCCTTTCCTCTTTGGTTTCCGGCATTTCCTTTCCTCCTTTGGTTTCGGCATTCCCTTTCCTCCTTTGGTTTCGGCATTCCCTTTCCTCCTTTGGTTTCCGGCATTCCCTTTCCTCCTTTGGTTTCCGGCATTCCCTTTCCTCGCTGGTTTCCAGCATTCCCTTTCCTCCTTTGTTTTCCGGCATTTCCCTTTCCTCCTTTGGTTTCCGGCATTCCTTTCCTCCTTTGGTTTCCGGCATTTCCTTTCCTCCTTTGGTTTCCGGCATTCCCTTTCCTCCTTTGGTTTCCGGCATTTCCCTTTCCTCCTTTGGTTTCCGGCATTCCCTTTCCTTTGGTTTCCGGCATTCCCTTTCCTCCGCAGTTTTCGGCATTTCCTTTCCTCCTTGGTTTCCAGATTCCCTTTCCTCCCTTTGGTTTCGGCATTCCTTTCCTCCTTTGGTTTCCGGCATTCCCTTTCCTCCTTGGTTATTCGGAATTCCCTTTCCTCCTTTGGTTTCCGGCTCCCTTTCCTCCTTTGGTTTCCGGCATTTCCCTTTCCTCCTTGGTATTCCAGAATCCCTTTCCTCCTTGGTTTCCGGTTTTTCCCGCTTTGGTTCCATTCCCTTTCCTCCTTTGGTTTCCGGCATTCCCTTTCCTCCTTTCCTTCCCTTTTGGTTTCCGGCATTCCCTTTCCTCCTTTGGTTTCCGGCATTCCCTTTCCTCCTTGGTATTCCGGAATCCCTTTCCTCCTTTGGTTTCCGGCATTCCCTTTCCTCCTTTGGTTTCCGGCATTCCCTTTCCTCCTTTGGTTTCCGGCATTCCCTTTCCTCCTTTGGTTTCCGGCATTCCCTTTCCTCCTTTGGTTTCCGGCATTCCCTTTCCTCCTTTGGTTTCCCGCATTCCTTTCCTCCAGTTTTTCGGCATTCCCCTTTCCTCCAGGTTTCCGGCATTCCCTTTCCTCCTTTGGTTTCCGGCATTCCTTTCCTCCTTTGACATTCCCTTTTCCTCCTTTCCATTTTTCCTCAATCCCTTTCCTCCTTTGGTTTCCGGCATTCCCCTTTTCCTCCTTTGGTTTTCCGGCATTCCCTTTCCTCCTTTGGTTTCGGCATCCCCTTTCCTCCTTTGTTTCCGGCATTCCCTTTCCTCCTTTGGTTTCCGGCATTCCCTTTCCTCCTTTGGTTTCCATTCCCTTTCCTCCTTTGGTTTCCGGCATTCCTTTCCTCCTTTGGTTTCGGCATTCCCTTTCCTCCCTTTGGTTTCGGCATTCCCTTTCCTCCTTTGGTTTCCGGCATCACTTTCCTCCTTTGGTTTCCGGCATTCCCTTTCCTCCTTTGGTTTCCGGCGTTTGCCCTCCTTTGGTTTCCATTCCCTTTCCCTCCTTTGGTTTCCGGCATTCCCTTTCCTCCTTTGGTTTCCGGCATTCCCTTTCCTCCTTGGCCCTTTCATTCCCCCCTTTCCTCCTTTGGTTTCCCCCTTTCCTCCTTTGGCATTCCCCGCCTTTCCTCCTTTGGTTTCCGGCATTTCCCTTTCCTCCTTTGGTTTCCGGCATTTCCCTTTCCTCCCTTTGGTTTCCGGCATTCCCTTTCCTCCTTTGGTTTCCGGCATTCCCTTCCTCCTTTGGTTTCCGGCATTTCCCCTTTCCTCCTTTGGTTTCCGGCATTCCCTTTTCCTCCGTTTTCCAGCATTCCCCTTTCCTCCGCAGTTTTCGGCATTCCCTTTCCTCCTTTGGTTTCCATTCCCTTTCCTCCTTTGGTTCCGGCATTCCCTTTCCTCCTTTGGTTTCCGGCATTCCCTTTCCTCCTTTGGTTTCATTCCCTTTCCTTCCTTTGGTTCCGGCATTCACTTTTCCTCGCTTTGGTTCCATTCCCTTTCCTCCCGCAGTTTCCGGCATTCCTTTCCTCCGCAGTTTTCGGCATTTCCCTTTCCTCCTTTGGTTTCCAGCATTCCCTTTCTCCTTTGGTTTCCATTTCACTTTCCTCACCATTTCAGATCACTGCTCTTAGTTCCGGCATTCCCTTTTCACTCCTTTGGTTTCCGGCATTCCCTTTTCCTCCTTTGGTTTCCGGCATTTCCTTTCCTCCTTTGGTTTCCAGCATTTCCCTTTCCTCCCTTTGGTTTCCGGCATTCCCTTTCCTCCTTTGGTTTCCGGCATTCCCTTTTTCCTCCTTGGTTTCGGCATTTCCCTTTCCTCCTTTGGTTTCCGGCATTCCCTTTCCTCCTTTTTCCGGTTTCCTCCTTTGGTTTCATTCCCCTTTCCTCCTTTGGTTTCCGGCATTTCCCTTTTCCTCCTTTTCCGGCTTTTCCCCTTTCCTCCCGCAGTTTTCCGGCATTCCTTTCCTCCTTTGGTTTCCAGCATTCCCTTTCCTCCTTTGGTTTCCGGCATTCCTTTCCTCCTTTGTTTCCAGCATTCCTTTCCTCCGCAGGTTTTCAGCATTCCCTTTTCCTCCTTAGTTTTTCTGACATTCGTTTCCTCCGCAGTTTTTCGGCATTCGTTTTCCTCCACCAGTTTTCTGACATTCGTTTCCTCCCAGTTTTCCGGCATTTTTTCTCCTTTGGTTTCCGGCATTTCCCTTTCCTTTGGTTTTCCATTCCCTTTCCTCCTTTGGTTCCAGCATTCCTTTTCCTCCTTTACAGTTTCCATTCCCTTTCCTCCTTTGGTTTCCGGCATTTCCCTTTCCTCCACTTTGGTTTCAGCATTTCTTTCCTCCTTTGGTTTCCGGCATTCCTTTCCTCCTTTGGTTTCCGGCATTCCCTTTCTCCTTTGGTTTTCAGCATTCCCTTTCCTCCACAGTTTTCCAAAATTTCCCTTTCCTCCACCAGTTTTCGACATTCATTTCCTCCACCAGTTTTCTGACATTCGTTTCCTCCGCAGTTTTCTGGGCCGTTTCCTCCGGTTTCCGGCATTCCTTTCCTCCTTTGGTTTCCGGCATTTCCTTTCCTCCTTTTTCGGTTTTCCTCCTTAGTTTTCCTTTCCTCCACCCAGTTTTTCCGGCATTCCCTTTTCCTCCTTTGGTTTCCGGCATTTCCCTTTCCTCCTTTGGTTTCCGGCGATTCCCTTTCCTCCTTTTGGTTTCCGGCATTTCCTTTCCTCCTTTGGTTTCGGCATTTCCTTTCCTCCTTTGGTTTCCGGCATTCCCTTTCCTCCTTTGGTTTCCGTACATTCCTTTCTCCTTTGGTTTCCGGCATTTCCCTTTCCTCCCTTTGGTTTCCGGCATTCCCTTTCCTCCCGCAGTTTTCGGCATTCCCTTTCTCCTTTGTTTTCCGGCTTTTCCTTTCCTCCGCGGTTTCAGCATTTCCCTTTCCTCCTTTGGTTTCCGGCATTCCCCTTTCCTCAGTTTTCCGGCGTTCCCTTTCCTCCTTGAATTTCGGCATTTCCCTTTCCTCCGCAGTTTTCCGGCATTCCCTTTCCTCCTTTGGTTTCCGGCATTCCCTTTCCTCCTTTGGTTTCCGGCATTCCCTTTCCTCTCGCGGTTTCCGGCATTCCTTTTCCTCGCTTTGGTTTCGGCATTCCCTTTCCTCCTTTGGTTTCCGGCATTCCCTTTCTCCGCAGTTTTTCCGGCATTCCCTTTCCTCCGCAGTTTTCGGCATTCCCTTTCCTCCTGCAGTTTTCGGCATTCCCTTTCCTCATTTGGTTTTCCGACATTTCTTTCCTCCTTTGGTTTTTCGCAGCATTCACTTTTCCTCCTTTGTTTTCCGACATTCCTTTCCCGCAGTTTCCGGCATTTCCCTTTCCTCCACCCAGGTTTCCGGCATTTCCTTTTCCTCCTTTGGTTTCCGGCATTTCCCTTTCCTCCTTTGGTTTCCGGCATTCCCTTTCCTCCTTGGTTTCCCGGCATTTCCCTTTCCTCCTTTGGTTTCCAAGCATTCCCTTTCCTCCTTGGTTTCGGCATTCCCTTTCCTCCGCAGTTTTCCGGCATTCCCTTTCCTCCGCGTTTTTTCCGGCATTCCCTTTCCTCCTTTTTTCTTTCCGTTTCCTCCCTTTGTTTTCCGACATTCCCTTTCCTCCGCAGTTTTCCGACATTCGTTTCCTCCGCAGTTTTCTTCGGCATTTCGTTTCCTCCGCAGTTTCCGGCATTCCCTTTCCTCCTTTGGTTTCCGGCATTCCCTTTCCTCCTTTGGTTTGGTTTCCGGCATTTCCCTTTTCCTCCTTTGGTTTCCGGCATTCCCTTTCCTCCTTTGGTTTCCGGCATTCCCTTTCCTCCTTTGGTTTCCGGCATTCCCTTTCCTCCTTTGGTTTCCGGCATTCCCTTTCCTCCTTTGGTTTCCGGCATTCCCTTTCCTCCTTTGGTTTCCGGCATTCCCTTTCCTCCTTTGGTTTCCCTCCGCATTTTCCAGCCTTTCCTCCTTTGGTTTCCGGCATTCCCCTGCAGTTTCCTCCCTCCGCAGTTTTCCGGCATTCCCTTTCTCCTTTTTTTTCCGGCATTTTTCCCTTTCCTCCGCAGTTTTCCGGCATTCCCTTTCCTCCGCGGTTTCTGACATTCCCTTTCCTCCTTTGTTTTTCCGGCATTCCCTTTCCTCCTTTGTTTCCGGCATTCCCTTTCCTCCGGCTTGGTTTCCAGCATTTCCCTTTCCTCCCTTTGGTTTCCGGCATTCCCTTTTCTCCTTTGGTTTCGGCATTCCCTTTCCTCCTTTGGTTTCCAGCATTTCCTTTCCTCCTTTGGTTTCCGGCATTCCCTTTTCCTCCTTTGGTTTCCGGCATTCCCTTTCCTCCTTTGGTTTCCGGCATTCCCCTTTCTCCTTTTTTTCCGGTCCCTTTCCTCCGCAGTTTTTCGGCATTCCCTTTCCTCCTTTGGTTTCCGGCATTTCCTTTCCTCCTTTGGTTCCGGCCCTCCTTTCCTCCTTTGGTTTCCGGCATTCCTTTCCTCCTTTGGTTTCCGGCATTCCTTTCCTCCTTTTTTCCGGCATTCCTTTCCTCCGCGTTTTCCGGCGTTCCCTTTCCTCCTTTTTTTCGGTTTCCTCCTTTGTTTTTCGGCATTTCCCTTTCCTCCTTTGGTTTTCTGACATTCCCTTTTCCTCCGCAGTTTTCCGGCATTCCCTTTCCTCCTTTGGTTTCCGGCATTCCCTTTCCTCCTTTGGTTTTGCGGCATTTCCCTTTCCTCCTTTGGTTTCCGATTCCCTTTCCTCCTTTGGTTTCCGGCATTCCTTTCCTCCTTTGGTTTCCGGCATTCCCTTTCCTCCTTTGGTTTCCGGCATTCCCTTTCCTCCTTTGGTTTCGGCATTCCCTTTCCTCCTTTGGTTTCCGGCATTTCCTTTCCTCCTTTGGTTTCCGGCATTCCCTTTCCTCCTTTGGTTTCCGGCATTCCCTTTCCTCCTTTTTTCCGGCATTTTTCCTCCGCATTTTTCTTTTCCTCCTTTGGTTTCCGGCATTTCCTTTCCTCCTTTGGTTTTTCCGGCATTCCCTTTTCCTCCTTTGGTTTCCGGCATTCCCTTTCCTCCTTTGGTTTCCAGCATTCCCTTTCCTCCTTTGGTTTCCGGCATTCGCCTTTCCTCCTTTGGTTTCGGCATTCCTTTTCCTCCATGGTTTTCCGGCATTCCGCTTTCCTCCTCCGGTTTTTCCGGCATTCCCTTTCCTCCTTTGGTTTCCGGCATTTCCCTTTCCTCCTTTGGTTTCCGACATTCCTTTTCCTCCTTTGGTTTCCAGCATTCCCTTTCCTCCTTTGGTTTCAGCATTCCCCTTTCCTCCCTTTGTTTTCGGCATTCCCTTTCCTCCTTTGGTTTCCGGCATTCCCTTTCCTCCTTTGGTTTCCGGCATTCCCTTTTCTCCTTTGGTTTCCGGCATTTCCCTTTCCTCCTCGGCATTTCCCTTTCTTTGGTTTCCGGCATTCCCTTTCCTCTCCCTTTGGTTTCCGGCATTCCCTTTCCTCCTTTGGTTTTCGCATTCCGGTTTTCGCATTCCCTTTCCTCCCTTCCGGTTTCCCGGCATTCCCTTTCTCCTTTGGTTTCTTTCCCTTTCCTCCTTTTTTCGGTTTTCCGGCATTTCCTTTCCTCCTTTTCCGGTTTCCGGCATTTCCTTTCCTCCTTTGGTTTCCGGCATTCGTTTCCCTTTCTCCTTTGGTTTCCGGCATTCCCTTTCCTCCTTTGGTTTCCGGCATTCCCTTTCCTCCTTTGGTTTCCGGCATTCCCTTTCCTCCTTTGGTTTCGGCATTCCCACTTCCTCCTTTGGTTTCCGGCATTCCTTTCCTCCTTTTTTCCGGCATTTTTCCTCCTTTGGTTTTCCTCCTTTCCTCCGGTTTTCGGCATTCCCTTTCCTCCACGCAGTTTTCGGCATTCCCTTTTCCTCCGCAGTTTCGGCATTCCTTTCCTCCTTAGGTTTCATTTTTCCTCCTTTTTTCCCCCTTTCGTTTCCTCCGCATTTCCATTTCCTTTCAGTTTTCCGGCATTCCCTTTCCTCTCCGGCATTCCTTCCGGTTTCCTGACATTCCCTTTTCCTCCTTTTGGTTTCGGCATTTCCCTTTCCTCCTTTCCGGCATTCCCTTTCTCCTTTGGTTTCCGGCATTCCCTTTCCTCCTTTGGTTTCCAGCATTCCCTTTTCTTTCTCCTTTGGTTTCCGGCATTCCCTTTCCTCCTTTGGTTTCCGGCATTCCCTTTCCTCCTTTGGTTTCATTCCCTTTTCCTCCTTTGGTTTCCGGCATTCCTTTTCCTCCGCAGTTTTCCGGCATTCCCTTTCCTCCTTAGTTTTTTGACATTCGTTTCCTCCTTAGTTTTTCTGACATTCCCTTCCTCCTTTGTTTTCTGACATTCGTTTCCTTTCTTTTCCGCATTCCTTTCCTCCTTTGGTTTCCCGGCGTTCCCTTTTCCTCCTTTGGTTTTCGGCATCCCTTTCCTCCCTTTTTTCCGGCATTCCCTTTCCTCCTTTGGTTTCCGGCATTCCCTTTCCTCCTTTGGTTTTCCGGCATTTCCTTTCCTCCGCAGTTTCCGGCATTCCTTTGGTTTCCGGCATTCCCTTTCCTCCTTTGTTTTCCGGCATTCCTTTCCTCCTTTGGTTTTCTGACATTCCCTTTCCTCCTTTGGTTTCCGGCATTCCCTTTCCTCCTTTATTTTCCGGCATTTCCCTTTCCTCCTTTGTTTTCGGCATTCCTTTCCTCCTTTGGTTTCCGGCATTCCCTTTTCCTCCTTTGGTTTCCTCCATTCCTTTCTCCTTTGGTTTCCGGCATTCCCTTTCCTTTTTGGTTTCCGGCATTCCCTTTCTCCTTTGGTTTCGGCATTCCCTTTCCTCCTTTGGTTTCCGGCATTCCCTTTCCTCCTTTGGTTTTCCGACATTCCCTTTCCTCCATGGTTTCCGGCATTCCCTTTCCTCCGCAGTTTTCTGACATTTCCTTTCCTCCGCAGTTTTCCGGCTTTTTTCCATTCCCTTCCTCCGCGGTTTTCCGGCATTCCCTTTCCCTGGTTTTCCTTCGTTTCCTCCGGTTTTCCGGCATTTCGTTTTCTCCGCGGTTTTCTGACATTCGTTTCCTCCGCATTTTCCGGCATTCCTTTCCTTTCCTTTGGTTTCCGGCATTTCCCTTTCACTCCTTTGGTTTTCCGGCATTCCTTTCCTCCTTTGGTTTCCGGCATTCCCTTTCCTCCTTTGGTTTCGGCATTCCTTTCCTCCTTTGGTTTTCGGCATTCCTTTCCTCCGCGGTTTTCGGCGATTCCCTTTCTCCGCCAGTTTTCCGGCATTCCCTTTCCTCCTTTGTTTCCGGCATTCCCTTTCCTCCTTTTGGTTTTTCCACGTTCCCTTTCCTCCTTTTTTCGGTTTCCTCCGCAGTTTTTCTGACATTCATTTCCTCCTTGGTTTTCTGGTTCCTTTTCCTCCCTTTGGTTTTCGGCATTCCTTTCCTCCGCAGTTTTCTGTTCCATTCCGGCATTCCTTTCCTCCGTTTCCTCAGGTTCCGGCATTCCCTTTCCTCCTTTGGTTTCCGGCATTCCCTTTCCTCCTTTGGTTTCCGGCATTCCTTTCCTCCTTTGGTTTCCGGCATTCCCTTTCCTCCTTTGGTTTCCGGCATTTCCCTTTCCTCGCTGGTTTTCGGCATTCCCTTTCCTCCTTTGGTTTCCGGCATTCCCTTTCCTCCTTTGGTTTCCGGCATTTCCCTTTCCTCCGCGATTTCCGGCATTCCCGCTTTCCTCCGCAGTTTTCCGGCATTCCTTTCCTCCTTGGTTTTCGGCATTCCCTTTCCTCCTTTGGTTTCCGGACATTCGTTTCCTCCCACAGTTTCTGACATTTCCTTTCTTCATTTCTTTTTTCCGTTTTCCTTCCCTCCGCAGTTTTCCGGCATTCCTTTCCTCCTTTGGTTTCCGGCATTCCCTTTCCTCCTTTGGTTTTCCGGCATTCCCTTTGGTTTCCGGCTCCTTTGGTTTCCGGCATTCCCTTTCCTCCTTTGGTTTCCGGCATTCCTTTCCTCCTTTGGTTTCCGGCATTCCTTTTCCTCCTTTGGTTTCCATTTTCCCTTTCCTCCTTCCTCCGTTTCCGGCATTCCTTTCCTCCGCGGTTTCCGGCATTCCCTTTCCTCCTTTGGTTTTCCGGCATTCCCTTTCCTCCTTTGGTTTCAGGCATTCCCTTTTCCTCCTTTGGTTTCCGGCATTCGGCATTTCCTTTCCTCCGCATTTTCCGGCATTCCCTTTCCTCCGCGTTTTCCGGTCCCTTTCCCCTTAGTTTCTGACATTTCCTCTCCTAGTTTTCTGACATTCATTTCCTCCTTTTTTCTGGTTTCCGGCATTCCCTTTCCTCCTTTGGTTTTCGGCATTCCGGCACCTTTTGGTTTCCCGGTTTCCCTTTCCTCCTTTGGTTTTCGGCATTTCCCTTTCCTCCTTGGTTTCCGGCATTCCTTTTCCTCCTTTGGTTTCCGGCATTCCCTTTCCTCCTTTGGTTTCCGGCATTTCCCTTTCCCTCCTTTGGTTTCCGGCATTCCTTTTCCTCCTTTGGTTTCCGGCATTCCCTTTCCTCCTTTGGTTTCCGGCATTCCTTTCCTCCTTTGGTTTCCGGCATTCGTTTCTCAACGCTTTTTCCTTTGGTTTCCGGCATTCCCTTTCCTCCTTTGGTTTCTGACATTCCTTTCTCCTTTCCTTCCTTTCCTCCGGTTTTCGGCATTCCTTTCCTCCGCAGTTTCCGGCCTTTCACCCACCAGTTTTCTGACATTTCGTTTCCTCCGCAGTTTTCTGACATTCGTTTCCTCAACAGTTTCTGACATTCGTTTCCTCCGCAGCAGTTTCCGGCATTCGCACTTTTCTCCTTTGGTTTCAGCATTCCTGCTCCTTTGGTTTCCGGCATTCCGCTTTCCTCCCTTTGGTTTCCGGCATTCCTTTCCTCCCTTTGGTTTCCGGCATTCCTTTCCTCCTTTGGTTCCATTCCTTTCTCCTTTGGTTTCCATTCCTTTTCCTCCTTTGGTTTCCGCATTCCCCTTTCCTCCTTTGGTTTTCGGCATTTCTTTCCTCCTTTGGTTTCCATTCCCTTTTCCTCCTTTGGTTTCCAGCATTCCCTTTTCCTCCTTTGGTTTCGGCATTCCCTTTCCTCCTTTGGTTTTTCCGGCATTTCCCTTTCCTCCACCATTTCCATTCCCTTTTCCTCCTGCCGTTTTCCGGACATTCCCTTTTCCTCCTTAGTTTTTCTGACATTCATTTTCCTCCGCAGTTTTCTGCATTCCTTTCCTCCGCCGTTTCCGGCATTCCCTTTCCTCCTTTGTTTTCCGGCGACCCTTTCCTCCTTTGGTTTTCCGGCATTTCCTTTCCTCTTTGGTTTCCGGCATTCCTTTCCTCCTTTGGTTTCCGGCATTCCCTTTCCTCCTTTGTGTTTCCGGCATTCCCGCTTTCCTCCCTTTGGTTTCCGGCATTTCCTTTCCTCCTTTGGTTTCCGGCATTCCCTTTTCCTCCGCAGGTTCCGGCCATTCCCTTTCCTCCTTTGGTTTCCGGCATTCCCTTTTTCCTCCTTTGGTTTCCGGCATTCCCTTTCCTCCTTTGGTTTTCCGGCATTCCCTTTCCTCCGCAGTTTTCGATTCGTTTTTCCTCCACGCTGGTTTCCTCCGCATTTCCCTTTCCTCCGCAGTTTCCGGCATTCCCTTTTCCTCATAGTTTTTCTGACATTCGTTTTCCTCCAGTTTTTCCAACATTCGTTTCCTCCTTAGTTTTCTGACATTCGTTTCCTCCGCAGTTTTCATTTCCTTTCCTCCTTTTGGTTTCCGGCATTTTCCCTTTCCTCCTTTGGTTTCCATTCCCTTTTCCCTTTGGTTTCCAGCATTCCCTTTCCTCCTTTGGTTTCCAGCATTCCCTTTTCTCCTTTGGTTTCCGGCATTTCCCTTTCCTCCTTTGGTTTCCAGCATTCCCTTTCCTCCTTTGGTTTCCGGCATTTCCCTTTTCCTCCTTTGGTTTCCGGCATTTCCCTTTCTCCTTTGGTTTTCCAGCATTTCCTTTTCCTTTGGTTCCGGCATTCCTTTCCTCCGCAGTTTCCCGGCATTCCCTTTCCTCCTTAGTTTTCGGCATTCGTTTCCTCCGCCAGTTTTCGACATTCATTTTCCTCCTTAGTTTTCTGACATTCGTTTCCTCCGCAGTTTTCCGGCATTTCCTCCTTTGGTTTTCCGGCATTCCTTTCCTCCTTTGGTTTCCACATTCCCTTTCCTCCTTTGGTTTTCGCTTGTTCCCTTTCTCCCTTTGGTTTCCGGCATTCCCTTTCCTCCTTTGGTTTCGGCTTCCCTTTTCCTCCCGCAGTTTCCGGCATTCCCTTTCCTCCGCCCATTTTCCGGCATTTCCTTTCCTCCGCAGTTTTCCGGCATTCCCTTTCCTCCTTAGTTTTCCGGCATTCCCTTCCTCCTTAGTTTTTCACATTCGTTTCCTCCTTAGTTTTTCTGACATTCGTTTCCTCCTTAGTTTTCTGACATTCCCCTTCCTCCTTTGTTTTCGGCATTCCCTTTCCTCCTTTGGTTTCCGGCATTTCCCTTTCCTCCTTTGGTTTCCGGCATTCTTTCCTCCTTTGGTTTCCAGCATTCCCTTTCCTCCTTTTTGTTTTCCGGCATTCCCTTTCCTCCTTTGGTTTCCGGCATTCCCTTTCCTCCGCAGTTTTCCGGCATTCCCTTTCCTCCGCAGTTTTCCGGCATTCCCTTTCCTCCTTAGTTTTCTGACATTCGTTTCCTCCGCAGTTTTCTGACATTCGTTTCCTCCTTAGTTTTTCCCATTCCCTTTTCCTCCGCAGTTTTCCATTCCTTTCCTCCTTTGGTTTCCGGCATTTCCCTTTCCCCTTTGGTTTCAGCATTTCCCTTTTTTCCTCCTTTGGTTTTCAGCATTCCCTTTTCCTCCCTTTGGTTTCCGGCATTCCCTTTCCTCTTTGGTTTTCACATTCCCTTTCCTCCTTTGGTTTTCTGGCATTTTCCTTTTCCTCCCTTTGGTTTCCGGCATTTCCTTTCCTCCGCAGTTTTCGGCATTCCTTTCCTCCTTTGGTTTCCGGCATTCCTTTTCCTCCTTTGGTTCCATTCGCTTTCCTCCCTTTGGTTTTCGGCATTCCTTTCACTCCACCAGTTTTCCGGCATTTCCTTTCCTCCGCAGTTTTCCGGCATTCCCTTTTTCCTCCGCGGTTTTCCGGCATTCCTTTCCTCCTTAGTTTTTTCTGACATTTCGTTTCCTCCTTAGTTTTCTGACATTCGTTTCCTCCGCAGTTTTTCTGACATTCCCTTTCCTCCTTTGGTTTCCGGCGTTCCCTTTCCCTCCCTTTGGTTTCGGCATTCCCACTTCCTCCTTTGGTTTCCGGCATTCCCTTTTCCTCCTTTGGTTCAGCGTTCCCTTTCCTCCTTTGGTTCCGCATTCCCTTTCCTCCTTTGGTTTCCGGCATTCCCTTTCCTCCTTTGGTTTCCAGCATTTCCCTTTCCTCCCTTTGGTTTCCGGCATTCCCTTTCCACCGCAGTTTCCATTCCCTTTGGTTTCCGGCATTCCCTTTTCCTCCTTTGGTTCCGGCATTCCCTTTTCCTCGCGCTTGGTTTCCGGCATTTCCCTTTCCTCCGCGATTTTTCCGGCATTTCCCTTTCCTCCGCAGTTTTCCGGCATTCACTTTCTCCTTGAGTTTCCGGCATTCCCTTTTCCTCCTTAGTTTTCTGACATTCGTTTCCTCCTTAGTTTTCTGACATTCGTTTCCTCCTTAGTTTCTGACATTCATTTCCTCGCGGTTTTCGGCATTTCCTTTCACTCCTTTGTTTTCAGCATTCCCTTTCCTCCTTTGGTTTCCGGCATTTTTCCTCCTTTGGTTTCCGGCATTCCCTTTCCTCCTTTGGTTTCCGGCATTCCCTTTCATCCTTTGGTTTCGGCATTCCCTTTCCTCCTTTGGTTTCCGGCATTCCTTTCCTCTCCTTTGGTTTCCGGCATTCCCGCTTCCTCCTTTGGTTTCGGCGTTCCCTTTTTCCTCCTTTTCGGGTTTCCGGCAGTTTTCGGCATTCCTTTCCTCCTTAGTTTTCTGACGTCCCTTTCTCCGCAGTTTCGGCATTTCGTTTCCTCCTTAGTTTTCTGACATTCGTTTCCGGCGTTTCCCCTTTTCCTCCTTTGGTTTTCAACGACCTTTTCCTCCTTTGGTTTCCTCCGCTCCTTTGGTTTCCGGCATTCCTTTCCTCCTTTTGGTTCCGGCATTTTTCCTCCACCAGTTTTTCATTTTTCCTCCGCAGTTTTCCGGCATTCCCTTTCCTCCTTTGGTTTCAGCATTCCCTTTCCTCCCTTTTGTTTTCCGACATTTCGTTTTCCTCCCCTTTTCTGGTTTCCTCCTTATTTTCTGACATTCGTTTCCTCCGCAGTTTTCCGGCATTCCTTTTCCTCCGCTTTGGTTTCCGGCATTCCCTTTCCTCCTTTGGTTCGGCATTCCTGTTCATTTCCTCTCCTTTGGTTTCCAATTTTTCTGTTTCCGACATTCATTTTCCTCCTTTGGTTTTCATTTCGCGTTTTCCTCCATGGTTTTCCGGCATTCCCTTTCCTCTCTGGTTTTCGGCATTCCCGTTTCCTCCTTTGGTTTCGACATTCCCTTTCCTCCTTTGGTTTCCGACATTCCTTTCCTCCGCAGTTTTCCGGCATTTCCCTTTTCCTCCTTTGGTTTCCGGCATTTCCCTTTTCTCCTTTCCGGCATTCCCTTTCCTCCATGGCAGCATTCCCTTTCCTCCTTAGTTTTCTTTCATTTCCGGCAGTTTTCTGACATTCGTTTCCTCCTTTGGTTTCTGACATTCCCTTTCCTCCGCAGGTTTTCGGCATTCCCTTTCCTCCTTTGGTTTCCGGTTTCCATTTCCTTTCCTCCTTTGGTTTCCGGCATTCCCTTTCTCAACCTTTGGTTTCCGGCATTTCCTTTCCTCCGCAGTTTTCGGCATTCCCTTTCCTCCTTCAGTTTTCGACATTCCCTTTCCTCCACCAGTTTTCTTCCGCCTCCTTAGTTTTCTGACATTCGTTTCCTCCTTAGTTTTCTGACATTCGTTTCCTCCCCTTTTTTTCGCATTCGTTTCCTCCACAGTTTCGGCATTCATTTCTCCTTTGGTTTTCCGGCTTCCCTTTCCTCCTTTGGTTTCGGCATTCCCTTTTCCTCCTTTGGTTTCCGGCATTCCCTTTCCTCCTTTGGTTTTCCGGCATTCCCTTTTCCTCCTTTGGTTTCCGCATTCCCTTTCCTCCTTTGGTTTCGGCATTCCTTTTCCTCCTTTGGTTTCCGGCATTCCCTTTCCTCCTTTGGTTCCGGCATTCCCTTTCCTCCTTTGGTTCCGGCATTCCTTTTCCTCCTTTGGTTTCCCCCTTTCCGCAGTTTTTCCTCCCTTTGGTTTTTCGGCATTCCCTTTTCCTCCTTAGTTTTCTGACATTCCTTTCCTCCTTAGTTTTCCGGCATTCCCTTTCCTCCTTAGTTTCTGGCATTCCCCTTCCTCCGCAGTTTTCTGACATTTCGTTTCCTCTGCAGTTTTTTCCTCCTTAGTTTCTGACATTCATTTCCTCGCAGTTTTCCGGCATTCCTTTCCTCCTTTTTTTCCGGCATTTCCTCCCTTTTCCTCCGCAGGTTTCCGGCATTCCTTTCTCCTCCTTTGGTTCCGGCATTCCTTTCCTCCTTTGGTTTCCGGCATTTCCCTTTCCTCCTTTGGTTTCAGCATTCCCTTTCCTCCTTTGGTTTCCGGCATTCCCTTTCCTCCTTTTCCGGTTTCTCCTTTGGTTTCCGGCATTCCCTTTCCTCCTTTTCTCACAGTTTCCATTCGTTTCCCCCTTTTTTCCTTCCTTTTCCTCCGCGGTTTCCGGCATTCCCTTTCCTCCTTTGGTTTCCGGCATTCCCTTTCCTCCTTTGGTTTCCAAGCATTCCCTTTCCTCCCTTTGGTTTCCGGCATTCCTTTCCTCCTTTGGTTTTCCGGCATTCCCTTTCCTCCTTTGGTTTCTGACATTCCTTTCCTCCTTAGTTTTCTGACATTCATTTCCTCCTTAGTTTTCTGACATTCCTTTTCCTCCGCAGTTTTCCGACATTCGTTTCCTCCTTAGTTTTCCAGCATTCGTTTCCTCCTTTTCTTTCGTTTCCTCCGCTTTTTTCCTGACATTCATTTCCTCCATAGTTTTCGGCATTCCCTTTTCCTCCTTTGGTTTCCGGCTTCCCTTTCCTCCTTTGGTTTCCGGCATTTCCTTTCCTCCTTTGGTTTCGGCATTCCCTTTCCTCCTTTGGTTTCCATTCCCTTTTCCTCCTTTGGTTTCCGGCATTTCCTTTCCTCCTTTAGTTTTGGCATTCCCTTTCCTCCTTTGGTTTCCGGCATTTCCCTTTCCTCCTTTGGTTTTCCGGCATTTCCCTTTCCTCCTTTGGTTTTCCATTCCCTTTCCTCCTTTGTTTTTCCGGACATTTCCCTTTCCTCCTTAGTTTTCGACATTCCTTTTTTCCTCCGCAGGTTTTCTGACATTCCCTTTCCTCCTTTGGTTTCCGGCATTCATTTCCTCCGCAGTTTCGACATTCGTTTCCTCCGCAGTTTTCTGACATTCGTTTCCTCCATGTTTTCTGACATTTTTCCTCATGATTTCCGGCATTTCCGCCCTTTCCACCTTTGGTTTCCGGCATTCCCTTTTCTCCTTTGGTTTCCGGCATTTCCCTTTCCTCCTTTGGTTTCCGGCCCTTTCCTCCTTGGTTTCCGGCATTTCCCTTTCCTCCTTTGGTTTCCTTTTGGTTCCGCCTTTCCTCCTTTGGTTTCCAGCATTTCCCTTTCCTCCTTTGGTTTTCGGCATTCCCTTTCCTCCGCCAGTTTCCGGCATTCCTTTTCCTCCTTTGGTTTCCGGCATTCCTTTCCTCCTTTGTTTTCTGACATTCCCTTTCCTCCGCGTTTTCCGGCATTCGTTTCCTCCTTAGTTTTCTGACATTCGTTTCCTCCGCAGTTTTCCTTGTTCCTTTCCTCCACGGTTTTCTGACATTCCCTTTCCTCCTTTTTTCCAGCGTTTCCTTTCCTCCTTTTTCCGACGCATTCCTTTCCTCCTTCAGTTCGGCATTTCATTTTGGTTTCAGCACCTCCTCCTTTGGTTTTCCAGCATTCCCTTTTCCTCCTTTGGTTTCCAGCATTCCTTTCCTTTACCAGTTCCAATTCCCTTTCCTCCTTTGGTTTCCGGCATTCCCTTTCCTCCTTTGGTTTTCGGCATTCGTTTCTCCTTTAGTTTTCGGCATTCCCTTTCCTCCTTTGGTTTTTCTGCATTCCCTTTCCTCCGCAGTTTTTCTGACATTCGTTTTCCTCCTTAGTTTTTCGTCCCATCCGCTGGTTTGCCAGCATTTCCTCCTTTGGTTTCTGACATTCCTTTCCTCTTAGTTTTCCGGCATTTCCTTTCTCCTTAGTTTCCAGCATTCCCTTTCCTCCTTAGTTTTCCGGCATTCCCTTTCCTCCGCAGGTTTTTCTGACATTCGTTTCCTCACCAGTTTTCAGCATTCCCTTTCCTCCTTTGGTTTTCAGCATTCCCTTTCCTCCTTTGGTTTCCGGCATTCCCTTTTCCTCCTTTGGTTTCCGGCATTCCTTTCCTCCTTTGGTTTCCGGCATTTCCTTTCTCCTTTTCCGTTTTTTTTCCGGCATTTCCTTTCCTCCTTTTCTGTTTTTCACCGCAATTTTCCCTTTCCTCCCGCGGGTTTTGACATTCGTTTCCTCCGCGGTTTTCTGACATTCCTTTTCTCCTTTGGTTTCTGACATTCCCTTTCCTCCGCAGTTTCCGGCATTTCATTTCCTCCGCGTTTTCCCTTTCCTCCGCGTTTTCCGGCATTCCCTTTCTCCGCGGTTTTCTTTCATTTCCTTTCCTCCTTTGTTTTCCAGCATTCCCTTTTCCTCCGCAGTTTTCCGGCGTCCCTTTCCTCCTTAGTTTTCGGCATTTCCCTTTCCTCCTTTGGTTTTCCGACATTCATTTCCTCCGCAGGTTTCTGACATTCCCTTTTCCTCCTTTGGTTTTCTGCGATTTCTCTCCGCAGGTTTCCGGCGTTCCCTTTCCTCCACGGTTTCGGCGTTGTTTCCTCCTTTGGTTTCGGCATTCCCTTTCCTCCGCAGTTTTCCGACATTCCCTTCCTCCGCTTTTTCCGGCATTCCCTTTCCTCCGCAGTTTTTCCGGCATTTCCTTTCCTCCTTAATTTCCGGCATTTCTTTCCTCCTTGGTTTTTTCTGACATTCCTTTCCTCCGCAGTTTTTTCGGCATTCGTTTCCTCCGCCAGTTTTCTGACATTCATTTCCTCCGCAGTTTTTTCGGCATTCATTTTCCTCCGCGGTTTTCCGCATTCCTTTCATATCCTTTGGTTTTCGGCATTCGTTTCCTCCTTTGGTTTCCGGCATTCCCTTTCCTCCGCCAGTTCTGACATTCCATTTCCTCCTTTGGTTTCCTGCATTCGTTTCCTCCTTAGTTTTTCTGCATTCATTTCCTCGCAGTTTTGACATTCATTTTCCTCCGCGGTTTCTGACATTTCGTTTCCTCCGCAGTTTCCGGCATTCCGCACCTCCGCAGTTTTCCGGCATTCCCTTTCCTCCTTTGTTTTCCGGCATTCCCTTTTCCTCCACCATTCCATTCCTTTCCTCCTTTGGTTTCCGGCATTCCTTTTCCTTTGGTTTTCGGCATTCCCTTTCCTCCGCGGTTTTCTGACATTCCCTTTCCTCCACCAGTTTCGGCATTCGTTTTCAGTTTTCTGACTTTCCTTTCCTCCATTTTCCGGCATTCCTTTCCTCCTTTGGTTTCCGGCATTCCCTTTCCTCCTTTGGTTCCGGCATTCCCTTTTCTCGCGGTTTTCCGGCGTTTTTTTCCTCCCCTTGGTTTCTGACATTCATTTTCCTCCGCGGTTTTCCTGCATTCCATTCCTCCTCCGCATTTTTCCTCGCGTTTTGACATTCGTTTCCCCGTTTCGACATTTCGTTTCCTCCGCAGTTTCCGGCATTCCCTTTCCTCCTTTTTTCAATTTCCCCTTTGGTTCCCTTTCCTCCTTTGGTTTTCCGGCATTCCCTTTCCTCCTTTGGTTTCGGCATTGCCTTTCCTCAGTTTTCGGCTTTCACTCCGCCGAGTTTTCGGCATTCATTCCTTTCCTCCTTAGTTTTCTGACATTCGTTTTCCTCCGCAGTTTTCTGACATTCCCCTTTCCGCAGTTTTCACGGCATTCATTTCCTCCGGTTTTTCGACACATTTCCACAGTTTTCTGACGCAGTTTCTCCGACATTCCCTTTCCTCTTTGGTTTTCCTGCATTTCCCTTTCCTCCTTTGGTTTCCGGCATTCCCTTTCTCCGCATTTTCTGCATTCCCTTTCCTCCTTAGTTTTCCGGCATTCCCTTTCCTCCTTTGTTTTCCGGCATTCCCTTTCCTCCTTTGGTTTCGGCGTTCCCTTTCCTCCGCAGGTTTCTGACATTCCCTTTTCCTCCACCTTTGGTTCGCGGCATTCCACTTTCCTCCACCAGTTTTCCGGCATTCCCTTTCCTCCTTTGGTTTCCGGCATTCCCTTTCCTCCTTTGGTTTCCGGCATTTCCTTTCCTCCGCAGGTTTCGGCATTTCCTTTTCTCCTTAGTTTCCGGCATTTCCCTTTTTCCTCCTTAGTTTTTTCGGCGTTTTCCCAGCATTCGTTTCCTCCGCAGTTTTCATTCGTTTCCTCCGCAGTTTCCGACATTCCCTTTCCTCCTTTGTTTTCCGGCATTCCCTTTCCTCCTTTGGTTCCGGCATTCCCTTTCCTCCTTTGGTTTCGGCATTCCCTTTCCTCCGCGGTTTTTCCGGTTTTCCTTGGTTTTCTGCATTCCCTTTCCTCCTTAGTTTCCGGCATTCGTTTTCCTCCGCTTTTTTCTCCGTTTGGTTTCCTGCATTCCCTTTTCCTCCTTTTCTGACATTTCGTTTCCTCCGCAGTTTTCTGACATTCGTTTGCCTCCGCGGTTTTCCGGCATTCCCTTTCCTCCTTTGGTTTCCGGCATTCCCTTTCCTCCTTTGGTTCCGGTTTCCCTTTTTCCTCCTTTGGTTTCCGGCATTCCTTTCCTCCTTTGGTTTCCCCTTTCCTTTGGTTTTCGGCATTCCTTTCCTCCGCGGTTTTTCCGGCATTCCTTTCCTCCTTAGTTTTCTGGCATTCCCTTTCCTCCTTAGTTTTCCTGACATTCCCTTTCCTCCTTTGTTTTCGGCATTCCCCTTTCCTCCTTTGGTTTCCGGCATTCCCTTTCCTCCTTTGTTTTCCGACATTTCGCCTCCGCAGTTTCCGACATTCCCCCTTTCCTTCGCAGTTTTCCGGCATTCCTCCGCGGTTTCCTCCCTTTTCCTCCGCAGTTTTCCGGCATTCCCTTTCCTCCTTTGGTTTCCGGCATTCCTTTCCTCCGCTGGTTTCCGGCATTCCCTTTCCTCCTTTGGTTTCCGGCATTCCCCTTTCCTCCTCCTTTGGTTTCCGGCATTCCCTTTCACTCCCTTTGGTTTCCGGCATTCCCTTTCCTCCTTTGGTTTCCGGCATTCCCTTTCCTCCATTGGTTTTCAGCATTCCCTTTCCTCCTTTGGTTTCCGGCATTCCCTTTCCTCCGCAGTTTCCGGCGTTCCCTTTCCTCCGCAGTTTTCCGGCATTCCCTTTCCTCCTTAGTTTTCTGACTTGGTTTCCGGCATTCCCTTTTTTTCTCCTTTCCTCGGTTTCCGGCATTTCCTTTCCTCCTTTCGTTTCCGGCATTTCCCTTTCCTCCCTTTGGTTTCCGGCATTTCCCTTTTCCTCCTTTGGTTTCGGCATTCCCTTTCCTCCTTTGTTTTCCGGCGTTTCCCTTTCTCCGCGGTTTTCGGCATTCCCTTTCTCCTTTGGTTTCCGGCATTCCCTTTCCTCCTTTGGTTTCCGGTTTCATTTCCCTTTCCTCCTTTGGTTTCCGGCATTCCCTTTCCTCCGCCAGTTTCCGGCATTCCCTTTCCTCCGCAGTTTTCTGGCATTCCTTTCCTCCTTTGGTTTCCGACGTTCCCTTTCCTCCGCAGTTTTCCGGCATTCCCTTTCCTCCTTTGGTTTCCGGCATTCCCTTTCCTCCTTTGGTTTCCAGCATTCCCTTTCCTCCTTTGGTTTCCGGCATTCCCTTTCCTCCGCATTTTCCGGCGTCCCTCCTTTGGTTTTCCGGCATTCCCTTTCCTCCTTTGGTTTCCGGCATTTTTCACTCCTTTGGTTTCCTTTCCTTTCCTCCGTTTTCCGGCATTCCCTTTCCTCCTTTGGTTTCCGGCATTCCCTTTCCTCCTTTGGTTCCGGCATTCCCTTTCCTCCTTTGGTTTTCAGGTTCCTTTTCTCCTTTGGTTTCCGGCATTTCCCTTTTCCTCCTTTGGGCATTTCCGCAGTTTCATTCCCTTTCCTCCTTTGGTTTCCCTCCGGATTTTCATTTCCCTTTCCTCCTTTGGTTTCCCGGCATTCCCTTTCCTCCTTTGGTTTTCCGGCATTCCCTTTCCTCCTTTGGTTTCCGGCATTCCCTTTCCTCCTTTGCTTTCCGGCATTCCCTTTCCTCCTTTGGTTTCGGCATTCCCTTTCCTCCTTTGGTTTCCGGCATTCCTTTTCCTCCTTTGGTTTCCAAGATTCCCTTTCCTCCTTTGGTTTCCTTTTCCTCCTTGGTATTCCGGAATCCCTTTCCTCCTTTGGTTTCCGGCATTCCCTTTCCTCCTTTGGTTTCCGGCATTCCCTTTCCTCCTTTGGTTTCCCCTTTCCTCCGCCGTATTCCCTTTCCTCCTTTGGTTTCCGGCATTTCCCTTTCCTCCTTTGGTTTCCGGCATCCCTTTCCCCTTTGGTTTCCGGCATTCCCTTTCCTCCTTTGGTTTCCGGCATTTCCCTTTCCTCCGCGGTTTCCGGCATTCCCTTTCCCTCCTTTGGTTTCCATTTCCTTTCCTCCTTTGGTTTCCCGGCATTCCCTTTCCTCCTTTGGTATTCCGGAATCCCTTTCCTCCTTTGGTTTCCGGCATTCCTTTCCTCCTTTGGTTTCCGGCATTCCCTTTCCTCCTTCCCCTTTCCTCCACCCCAGTTTTCGGCATTCCCCTCCTCCTTTGGTTTGGTTTTTCCTCCTTTTGGCATTCCCTTTCCTCCTTTGGTTTCCGGCATTCCTTTCCTCCGTTGGTTTCCGGCATTCCTTTCCTCCTTTGGTTTCCGGCATTCCCTTTCCTCCACCAGTTTTCCGGCATTCCCTTTCCTCCTTTGGTTTTCGGCATTTCCTTTCCTCCTTTGGTTTCCGGCATTCCTTTCCTCCGCAGTTTCCGGCATTCCCTTTCCTCCTTTGGTTTCCGGCATTCCCTTTCCTCCTTTGGTTTTCCGGCATTCCTTTCCTCCTTTGGTTTCCGGCCCTTTCCCTTTGGTTTCCTCCTTTGGTTTCCGGAATCCTTTCCTCCTTTGGTTTCGGCATTCCCTTTCCTCCGCGGTTTCCGGCATTCCCTTTCCTCCTTTGGTTTCCGGCATTCCCTTTCCTCCTTTGGTTTCCGGCATTCCCTTTCCTCCTTTGGTATTCCGGTTCCCTTTCCTCCGCGTTTTCCGGCATTCCTTTCCTCCTTTGGTTTCCGCATTTCCTTTCCTCCTTGGTTTCCGATTCCCCTTTCCTCCTTTGGTTTCCGGCATTCCCTTTCCTCCTTTGGTTTCCGCATTCCCTTTCCTCCCTTTGGTTTCCGGCATTTCCCTTTCCTCCTTTGGTTTCCGGCATTCCTTTCCCTTTCCGGAATCCCTCCTTTTCCAGCGTTTTTCCTCCTTTGGTTTCCGGCATTCCCTTTCCTCCTTTGGTTTCCTCCGCATTTTCCCTTTCCTCCTTTGGTTTCCGGCATTCCCTTTCCTCCTTTGGTTTTCCGGCATTCCCTTTCCTCCTTTGGTTTCGGCATTCCCTTTCCTCCGCAATTTCCACTCCTTTGGTTTTCCGGCATTTCCCTTTCCTCCTTTGGTTTCCGCATTCATTCCTTTGGTTCCATTCCCTTTCCTCCGCCAGTTTTCGGCATTCCTTTCCTCCTTTGGTTTCCGGCATTCCCCTTTCCTCCGGTTTCCGCGACCGCCTTTCCTCCTTTGTTTTCCGGCATTCCCTTTCCTCCTTTGGTTTCCGGCATTCCCTTTCCTCCCTTTGGTTTCCCCATTCCCTTTCCTCTTTGGTTTTTCGGCATTTCCCTTTCCTCCTTTTCCCGGTTTCCCTTTCCTCCTTTGGTTTCCGGCATTCCCTTTCCTCCTTTGGTTTCCGGCATTCACTTTCCTCCTTGGTTTCCGGCATTCCTTTCCTCCTTTGGTTTTCCGGCATTCCCTTTCCTCCTTTGGTTTCCGGCATTCCCTTTTTCCTCCTTCAGTTTTTTCCGGCATTCCTTTTCCTCCTTTGGTTTCCGGCATTCCCTTTCCTCCTTTGGTTTCGGTTTCCGATTCCCTTTCCTCCTTTGGTTTCCGGCATTTCCCTTTCCTCCTTTGGTTTCAAGCATTCCTCCTTTGGTTTCCGGCATTCCCTTTCCTCCTTTGGTTTCCGGCATTCCCTTTCCTCCTTTGGTTTCATTTCCCTTTCCTCCTTTGGTTTCCGGCATTCCCTTTCCTCCTTTGGTTTTCGGCATTCCCTTTCCTCCTTTGGTTTCGGCATTCCCTTTCCCCTCCTTTGGTTTCCCGACATTCCTTTCCTTTCTCCGCAGTTTTCCGGCATTCCCTTTCCTCCTTTGGTTTCCGGCATTCCCTTTCCTCCTTTGGTTTCCGGCATTCCCTTTTCCTCCTTTGGTTTTCCGGCATTCCTTTCCTCCTTTGGTTTCCGGCATTCCCTTTCCTCCTTTGGTTTTCCGGCATTCCCTTTCCTCCTTTGGTTTCCGGCATTCCCTTTCCTCCTTTGGTTTCGGCATTTCCCCTTTCCTCCTTTGGTTTCCGGCATTCCCTTTCCTCCTTTGGTTTCCGGCATTCCTTTCCTCTTTGGTTTCCGGCATTTCCCTTTCCTCCTTTGGTTTCGGCATTCCCTTTCCTCCTTTGGTTTCGGCATTCCCTTTCCTCCGGTTTTCATTCCCTTTCCTCCTTTGGTTCCGGCATTCCCTTTCCTCCTTTTTTTCGGCATTCCCTTTCCTCCTTTGGTTTCCGGCATTCCCTTTCCTCCTTTGGTTTCCGGCATTCCCTTTCCTCCTTTGTTTCCGGCATTTCCCTTTCCTCCTTTGGTTTCCGGCATTCCCTTTCCTCCTTTGGTTTCCGGCATTTCCTTCCTCCGGTTTCCGGCATTCCCTTTTTCCTCCTTTGGTTTCCGGCATTCCTTTCCTCCTTTGGTTTTCCATTCCCTTTCCTCCTTTGGTTTCCGGCATTCCCTTTCCTCCTCCTTTGGTTTCCTTTCACTCCTTGCATTCCCTTTCCTCCGCGGTTTCCGGCATTCCCCTTTCCTCCTTTGGTTTCGGCATTCCCTTTCCTCCTTTGGTTTTCCGGCATTCCTTTCCTCCTTTGGTTTCCGGCATTCCCTTTCCTCCTTTGGTTCCGGCATTCCCTTTCCTCCTTTGGTTTCCGGCATTCCCACTCCTTTGGTTTTCGGCATTCCCCTTTCCTCCTTTCCGGCATTCCTTTCCTCCTTTGGTTTCCGGCATTCCCTTTCCTCCTTTGGTTTCCGGCATTCGCTTTCCTCCTTTGGTTTCCGGCATTTCCCTTTCCTCCTTTGGTTTCCGGCCCTTTCCTCCTTTGGTTTCCGGCATTCCCTTTCCTCCTTTGGTTTCCGGCATTCCCTTTCCTCCTTTGGTTTCCGGCATTCCCTTTCCTCCTTTAGTTTTCCAGCATTCCTTTCCTCCTTTGGTTTCCGGCATTCCCCTTTCCTCCGCGGTTTCCGGCATTCCCTTTCCTCCTTTGGTTTCCGGCATTCCCTTTGGTTTCTCCTTTGGTTTCCGGCATTCCCTTTCCTCCTTTGGTTTCCGGCATTCCCTTTCCTCCGCAGGTTTCCTCCCTTTCCTCCCTTTGGTTTCCGGCATTCCCCTTTCCTCCTTTGGTTTCCGGCATTCCTTTCACTCCGCAGTTTGGTTTCATTCCTTTTCCTCCTTTGGTTTCGGCATTTCCTTTCCTCCTTTGGTTTCCGGCATTCCCTTTCCTCCTTTGGTTTCCGGCATTCCCTTTCCTCCTTTTTCCGGCATTCCCTTTCCTCCTTTGGTTCCGGCATTCCCTTTCCTTTGGTTTCGGCGACCCTTTCCTCCTTTGGTTTCCGGCATTCCCTTTCCTCCTTTGGTTTCGGCATTCCCTTTCCCTTTTCCCGGCATTCGCTTTCTCCTCTTTGGTTTCCGGCATTCCCTTTCCTCCTTTGGTTTCCGGCATTCCCTTTCCTCCTTTGGTTTCCGGCATTCCCTTTCCTCCATTTGGTTTCCTCCTTTGGTTTCATTCCCTTTCCTCCGCCCAGTTTTCGGCATTCCTTTCCTCCTTTGGTTTCCGGCATTCCCTTTCCTCCTTTGGTTTTCCGGCATTCCCCTTCCTCCTTTGGTTTCCGGTTTCCATTTCCTTTCCTCCTTTGGTTTTCGGCATTCCCTTTCCTCCTTTTGGTTTCCGGCATTCCCTTTCCTCCACCAGTTTTCGGCATTCCCTTTCCTCCTTTGGTTTCCGGCATTCCTTTTCCTCCTTTGGTTTTCCGGCATTCCCTTTCCTCCTTTGGTTTCCGGCATTCCCTTTTCCTCCTTTGGTTTCCGGCATTCCTTTCCTCCTTTGGTTTCCCATTCCCCTTTCCTCCTTGGTTTTCCGGTCCCTTTCCTCCTTTGGTTTCCGGCATTCCCTTTCCTCCTTTGGTTTCCGGCATTCCCTTTCCTCCCGGCATTTCCCTTTCCTCCTTTGGTTTCCGGCATTCCCTTTCCTCCTTTCCGGTTTCCGGCATTCCTTTCCTCCTTTGGTTTCCGGCATTCCCTTTCCTCCTTTGGTTTCCGGCATTTTTCCCTTTGGTTTCGGAATCCTTTCCTCCTTTGGTTTCCGGCATTTCCCTTTCCTCCTTTGGTTTCGGCATTTCCCTCCTTTGGTTTCCGGCATTCCCTTTCCTCCGCCAGTTTTCCGGCATTCCCGTTTCCTCCTTTGGTTTCCGGCATTCCCTTTCCTCCTTTGGTTTCCCGGCATTCCCTTTCCTCCCTTTGGTTTCCGGCTTCCCTTTCCTCCTTTTTCCGGCATTCCCGCTTTCCTCCTTTGGTTTCCGGCATTCCCTTTCCTCCTTTGGTTTCCGGCATTCCTTTCCTCCTTTGGTTTCCGGCATTCCCCTTTCCTCCTTTGGTTTCCGGCATTCCTTTCCTCCTTTGGTTTCCGGCATTCCCTTTCCTCCGCGGTTTCCGGCATTCCCTTTCCTCCTTTGGTTTCCGGCATTCCCTTTCCCTTTGGTTTCCGGCATTTCCCTTTCCTCCGCATTTTCATTCCCTTTCCTCCTTTGGTTTCCGGCATTCCCTTTCCTCCTTTGGTTTTCCGGCATTCCCTTTCCTCCTTGGTATTTCGGAATTCCCTTTCCTCCTTGGTTTCCGGCATTTCCCTTTCCTCCTTTGGTTTCAGCATTCCCTTTCCTCCTTTGGTTTCGGCATTCCCTTTCCTCCTTTGGTTTTCCGGCATTCCCTTTCCTCCTTTGGTTTCCGGCATTCCTTTTCCTCCTTTGGTTTCCGGCATTCCTTTCCTCCTTTGGTTTCCGGCATTCCGGGCATTCCCTTTCCTCCTTTGGTTTCCGGCATTCCCTTTCCTCCGCAGTTTTCCGGCATTCCCTTTCCTCCTTTGGTTTCCGGCATTCCCTTTCCTCCTTTGGTTTCCGGCATTCCCTTTCCTCCTTTGGTTTCCGGCATTCCCTTTCCTCCTTTGGTTTCCGGCATTCCCTTTCCTCCTTTGGTTTCCGGCATTCCCTTTCCTCCTTTGGTTTCCGGCATTCCCTTTCCTCCTTTGGTTTCCGGCATTCCCTTTCCTCCTTGGTATTCCGGAATCCCTTTCCTCCTTTGGTTTCCGGCATTCCCTTTCCTCCTTTGGTTTCCGGCATTCCCTTTCCTCCGCAGTTTTCCTTTGGTTTCTCCTTTGGTTTCCGGCATTCCCTTTCCTCCTTTGGTTTCCGGCATTCCCTTTCCTCCTTTGGTTTTCCGGCATTTTCCTCCTTTGGTTTCCGGCATTCCTTTCCTCCTTTGGCCGGAATCCCTTTCCTCCTTTGGTTTCCGGCATTCCCTTCCTCCTTTGGTTTCCGGCATTCCCGCTTTCCTCCTTTGGTTTCCGGCATTCCCTTTCCTCCTTTGGTTTCCGGCATTCCCTTTCCTCCTTTGGTTTCCGGCATTTTCCTTTCCTCCTTTGGTTTCCGGCATTCCCTTTCCTCCTTTGGTTCCGGCATTTCCTTTCTCCGCAGTTTTCCGGCATTCCCTTTCCTCCTTTGGTTTCCGGCATTCCCTTTCCTCCTTTGGTTTCCGGCATTCCCTTTCCTCCTCCCTTTTTCCGGCATTCCCTTTCCTCCTTTGGTTTCCGGCATTCCCTTTCCTCCTTTGGTTTTCCGGCATTCCCTTTCCTCCTTTGGTTTCCGGCATTCCCTTTCCTCCTTTGGTTTCCGGCATTTTCCCTTTCCTCCTTTGGTTTCCGGCATTCCCTTTCCTCCTTTGGTTTTCCTCCTTTGGCATTCCCTTTCCTCCTTTGGTTTCCGGCATTTCCATCCTCCTTTGGTTTCGGCATTCCCTTTCCTCCTTTGGTTTCCGGCATTCCCTTTCCTCCTTTGGTTTCCGGCATTCCCTTTCCTCCCTTTGGTTTCCGGCATTCCCTTTCCTCATTTGGTTTCCGGCATTTCCTTTCCTCCGCAGTTTTCCGGCATTCCCTTTCTCCTCCTTTGGTTTCCGGCATTCCCTTTCTCCTTTGGTTTCCCACATTCCTTTTCCTCCTTTGGTTTCCGGCATTCCCTTTCCTCCTTTGGTTTCCGGCATTCCCTTTCCTCCTTTGGTTTCGGCATTTCGGCATTCCCCTTTCCTCCTTTGGTTTCCGGCATTTCCCTTTCCTCCGCAGTTTTTCCGGCATTTCCCTTTCCTCCTTTGGTTTCCGGCATTCCCTTTCCTCCTTTGGTTTCCGGCATTCCTTTCCTTTTTTCCCCTTTTCCTCCTTTGGTTTCCGGCATTCCCTTTCCTCCTTTGGTTTCCGGCATTCCCTTTCCTCCTTTGGTTTCCGGCATTCCCTTTCCTCCTTTGGTTTCGGCATTCCCTTTCCTCCTTTGGTTTCCGGCATTCCTTTCCTCCTTTGGTTTCCGGCATTCCCTTTCCTCCTTTGGTTTCAGCATTCCCTTTCCTCCTTTGGTTCCGGCATTCCTTTCCTCCTTTGGTTTCGGCATTCCCTTTCCTCCTTTGGTTTCCGGCATTTCCCTTTCCTCCTTTGGTTTCCGGCATTCCCTTTTCCTCCTTTGGTTTCCGGCATTCCCTTTCCTCCTTTGGTTTCCGGCATTCCCTTTCCTCCTTTGGTTTCCGGCATTCCCTTTTCCTCCTTTAGTTTTCCGGCATTTCCCTTTCCTCCTTTGGTTTCCGGCATTCCCTTTCCTCCTTTGGTTTCCGGCATTTCCCTTTTCCTCCGCGGTTTCAAAACCCCTTTCCTCCTTTGGTTTCGGCATTCCCTTTCCTCCGCAGTTTTCCGGCATTCCCTTTCCTCCTTTGGTTTCCGGCATTCCCTTTCCTCCTTTGGTTTCCGCCATTTCCCTTTCCTCTTTATTCGGTTTTTCCTCGGCATTCCCCTTTCCTCCTTTTGGTTTCCGGCATTCCCTTTCCTCCTGGACTTTCCTCCTTTGGTTTCCGGCATTCCCTTTCCTCCTTTGGTTTCCGGCATTCCCCTTTCCTCCTTTGGTTTCCGGCATTCCTTTCCTCCTTTGGTTTCCGGCATTCCCTTTCCTCCTCGGTTTTCGGCATCCTTTCCTCCTTTGGTTTCCGGCGTTTTCCTCCTTTGGTTTTCCGGCATTCCCTTTCCTCCTTTGGTTTCCGGCATTCCTTTCCCTTTCCGGCTCCGCCAGTTTTCCGGCATTCCCTTTCCTCCTTTGGTTCCGGCATTCCTCCTTTGGTTTCCGGCATTCTTTTCCTCCTTTGGTTTCCGGCGTTTCCCTTTCCTCCGCAGTTTTCCGGCATTTCCCTTTCCTCCTGGTTTCCGGCATTCCCTTTCCTCCTTTGGTTTCCGGCATTCCCCTCCGCAGTTTCCGGCATTTCCCGCTTTCTCCTTTTGGTTTCCGGCATTCCCTTTGGTGGTTTCGGCTTTCCCTTTCCTTTGGTTTCCGGCATTTCCCTTTCCCTCCTTTGGTTTCCGGCATTCCCTTTCCTCCTTTTTCCGGCATTTCCTTTTCCTCCTTTGGTTTCCGGCATTTCCCTTTCCTCCTTTGGTTTTCGGCTCTTTTCCTGCTTTTCCGTCATTTTTCCTTGGTATTCCCCTTTTCCTCCTTTGGTTTCGGCATTCCCTTTCCTCCTTTAGGTTTCCGGCATTCCCTTTCCTCCTTTGGTTTCCGGCATTCCCTTTCCTCCTTTGGTTTCCGGCATTCCTTTCCTCCGCAGTTTTCGGCATTCCCTTTCCTCCTTTGGTTTCGGCATTCCCTTTCCTCCTTTGGTTTCCGGCATTCCCTTTCCTCCTTTGGTTTTCCGGCATTCCCTTTCCCTTTGGTTTCCGGCGTTTTTCCTCCTTTGGTTTCCGGCATTTCCTTTCCTCCGCAGGTTTCCCCTTTCCTCCCTTTGGCATTCCCTTTCCTCCTTTGGTTTCCGGCATTTCCCTTTCCTCCACGGTTTTCCGGCATTCCCTTTCCTCCTTTTGGTTTCCGGCATTCCCTTTCCTCCTTTGGTTTCCGGCATTTCCTTCCGTCTTTTTTCCGGCATTTCCTTTCCTCCGCTTTGGTTTTCCGCATTCCTTTCCTCCTTGGTTTTCCGCATTCCCTTTTTGGTTTCTTCCTTTGTTTTCCAGCATTGCATTCCCTTTCTCCTTTGTTTTCCGGCATTTCCTTTTCCTCCGCCTCTTTTTCGGCATTCCTTTCTTTTTTTTCCTTTTCTTCCTTTGGTTTCTGGCATTCCCTTTCCTCCCTTTGTTTTCCGGCATTCCTTTCCTCCTTTGGTTTTCGGCATTTCCTTTCTTCCTTTTTCTGGTTTTTCCGGCATTCCCTTTCTCCACCCAGTTTCCGGCATTCCTTTCCTCCTTTGGTTTCTAGCATTCCCTTTCTTCCTTTGGTTTCTGGCATTTCCTTTCCTCTTTGTTTTCTAGCATTCCTTTTCTTCCTTTGTTTCCTTTGGTTTCTGATATTCCCTTTCTTCCTTTTTTTCTTTTTTCCTTTTTTCAGCATTTTTTTTTTTCAAATTCCTTTCTTCATTCCTTTCTTCCTTTGTTTTCTGGCATTCCTTTCTTCCTTTGTTTTCTGGCATTCCTTTCTTCCTTTGTTTTCTGGCATTCCTTTCCTTCATGTTTTTTCAGACATTCCTTCAATGTTCTCTTGTTTTCTTATTCATAATTCTCCTCCTCTTTTCTATCTCCCTCCTCAGTCTCTTTGAAAAATTCAAATTTCAGAATATTTCTTCTGCATCTCTATGAGAAGCAACTATGCCTGTGTCCATCTTTTTTGTTCTGCAGACAACAGGACGTGCCACACTTATAAAATAAGAAATATAATAACTGATATTATTTAATTAGAAAAGCTTCTGAATTGCATTTATGAACAAGTTACCTTGTGAACATTCAAGAAAAACGTTTTTTTTTGATGAAGAATGAATTTTTACAAAAATTGTTTTCATTTTGTTTAGAATAATTCATAAAATATTTAAGCAACTTGAGAAGTAATGGTTGCACAAAAATTAAACAACCAGTATATTGGTTGATAATCCTAATTGGATTATAAAAAAAAAATAAATATTGTGTATTTTTCTTTGTTAAATAGATTGGCACTGATCACTCATGAATTGGTTAGTGTCGTATGTACTCGTGTATAAACCGACTTCCCGTATAGTGCAACCCCTGAATGTTTTTGTATAAATTTTAACACCCACCAGGAAAAAAATTACCTGTGCATAGTGCGTCTCCTTATCATAAAAAAACTCACACTATACTCGAGCATATGCTGTCTTACTATCAGGCCATTTTAAAACTGATTTTCTTTATTAGTATTAAGTTTGTAATAGAATAAATTATTAATTTTAATTTTTGAATAAGCGTCGGGTGGGGAATGGTGCCAGTGCTAACTTCTGCGTTCCTTTCACTTAATGTTCGGCCAATTATAAATTGGGTTTTCAACGGGTTTTTCGGCTGTCACAAAACTAGATGGGTGCCTACCGTAGGGCGTTGGTTAGCAAAGTCTTCAATGACTACAGTAATTTGATTCTTACTGGGTACCCAACTAATGTAGCCTTGTGCCAGGCAAACCGACATGAGTAAATATATTCATAACACATTTACTAAGCTTACCTTAGTCTGTTACAAATCTGCAAGTTTAGAATAGTGACGATCGAAAAAAATACTGTAGTGATATGTGAGCAGTCTAAAGGTTATCGGCGCGGAAAGTGGAGTCGGAGTGCCGAGTTCAAATTCTGACCGATGCTCTTTCGTTGACTACCCACTATTTCTCTTGGGAAAAGGCATGAATCTATCTCCCTCTCGTTATGGCAGATTTTATTCTCTTACCTTGCGTAGCAGAAAGTCTACGAGAACTTTAAATTACAGTTGAGTGGATCTTTGAGAAGGCAACCAGACCAAGAAAAGGAACAATCTTAATTCAAAATCAACTTTCCGACCTGAATTGGGTGATCTGTCTAAATCGCAGTATATTTTCTTTTCTTTTTTATTCGAGGATAGATTTTTTTCCTTTCTTTTTCCCTAATCATTTCAACCCAGGCAAGACAATAAAGCCACTAGGACGCAAGGGGTTACTGACTCTTAGTGAATATGAGAAAAAATACTATTAGCGAGAAAGGACATTAAAAGAACAAGAATTTTGAAGATCAAAGTTGGCTTGAAAGCAAGAAGCCGAAAGAAATTTCCACAAGCCAGAAGTGCGATAGAAGAAACTGTTAGCATAGGACTTACGGTTATATCTAGCCATTTCAACTGTAAAATGATAAGACTTTACCGCCAGTCTAATACTGTACTTGAATTCATAAAGTCTAGGTACTATTGCGGAAAGTTCATCAATTACCATGGAAGTATTCATAGAAAAAAGTTCAGGGAAACTACGTTACAGTTGTGGAAAGGAAAATTAAGCCGAGGTGTCCGGTGAGACTAATAACATTGCAGATTCTTCTTCGGATTTTATCAAAAATCTCTCTCTCTCTCATATATATATATATATATATATATATATATATATATATATATATATATCATATAGCAGAAGGACCAGACGTGTCAGAAATAGCAAGAACGAATAGTAGACTTTTAAATATGTAAGATACATTCTGAGAGAAAATGTCTAGAATAGGCTCAGTGAACCAAATTTCCTGTCAGCTGACCTCGTAATTGATTCAATATAATCTTTTCGTTTCATGTCGGTTAAAGACGTTAATCCGAGAAGGTAAAATGAGTCAATCTCCTGGAGGTTAGCATCAGCCATACTGGTGGAAAGTTAGATGATTAAGAGAGCAGTTTCGTTTTTGATGCGTTAAAATTAACAAGCCACTCATTGCTCCTGTCTGGCAACAGACTGTAGGTCATTTTTTTTAGATCAGCCTTTTTTAGATCGAACCGATCAGATTTACTATTAAGACAATAGTAAATAGTTGCCATCATCATTTGTACCGATGACATCATCAAGGTCATTTATTAAAATAGAAACAATGTAGGTCCACGGATAGAGCCGTGGGGGACATCAGCATTTATGCAAAAAGATCTAGAAGAGTGGACATTCAAGACATCTTTCATTTCGCGATTTGGTAAGATAGACTGGATAAATTTAAAATTCATCCAGAAATACGATAACCTTTCAACTTGTAAAGAAAACCAGTATACCAAACACTGTCAACTGCCTTCGAGATTCACCTTTCTTATCTAAAGCTTGATAGACTCTTTTAGCAATAAGTGTTAACACATCAGCAGTTGACCTAGAAAAGCAAAAGCCATATTGCTTATCTGAAAGAAGGACTTGCGATGTGGGATTCTTAAACAGTTCGGAGTTAATTAGAGGTCGAAGGCCAATCGATATTTAAAAGGATCAGATGGTTCGCCTGATTTCTTAAAGATTGGAACTACAGAAGATGATTTCCAACAAGCAGGAGAGCAAGAAGCATTTTTTGTAGAGTTTAGAGGGAACAAGAAATAGTTTAAGGACTATTGCAGCGATAGCATCAAGTCCACATGCTTTGCAAGGATCCAATTTAGAAATGATGACAGAAAACATGGACAGAGTTATATGCGTATCACTCACTAGAGACTCGGTTCTAAATGAAAAATTAGGCAAAGTTACACCAAATGAGTCGAGAGAATTAAAAGAGAATTTACGTGCAAAACATTTCGCTTTATCAGCAGATGTTAACGAGAAAAGAAAGGAAGAATAAAAAGTCTTTCTTTTATTTAAAACACAATTACAGAACCGCTAGTAATAACAGGAAACAAACAAAGATAATTTACGGTGCCTCATTCTGTCAGCAAACAAAGACTTAGCATATTTCAGGACCTGTTTGCAATTATTTCGAGCAGTCACATTTAGGAGTCTGTTGTGATCGAAATTATCACGTTGGTACACCCGGAAAAAGTGATTCCTGTGGGCTATAGCGGCTGAACAGGCTGGCGTGGACCAAAGAGAAGATTGTGGTTTCACTTGATATTTGCGAAAATGTACAAAAAAAAGCATCAATATCGGATTTAATCCCAGAAGAAATCTCTGTGGTACATTTCTGAAAAGCAAGGTTAAGAATATCAATCCAAATCTCGATATCTTCTATAAAGTTATTTACTATGCTTAACTTATCATTTTATCTATGGATGCTATGTGATGGTTAACGAGCAGAAATCGAATTCTAGTCGAGTTCGTTACATTGACTTTCGCGCAAATATCTTTAAAAAGTTATGAATCCATCTCTTCTCACCGCCCACCTATGGGTTAAACAGTAGCAATCGGGAATGAGAAGGAAAATTCTGAATTTCCGAATCCTGGTAGATAGAAGTCGTTGGCGTGGGAATCGTCTAAAAGTGTGAAATTCCGATGGAAAACCAACACTTCCTCAGAGTACGGTGTTTGTGCGTAGAGTCAGTCACCTCACGCCGTGGAACAATTCGTTTATGGAAACCCTCACCAGAAGAAATTGTGTGTCGCGAAGCGGGAAGCAGATAATATACACAGCTGCGTCCGGGGTGAAGATTTTGACTGGCGCCGCCTATGTCAACACCCACCCCAAACAAAATCGCAACAGTATACTTAGCTTATTTTCTTTTGGACAAATCCATTGTTCCCAAAGGGCTATTACAATCAGTTAGAGGGCATGTTTAAATAATAAAAAAAGTTAACACATTGTACAAATTCGACAAATTTTATTTATTTATATATAAAGTTGACAAAAGGCTCCAACCGTATTTTATTGTTTTAACACGAAAACTACAGAAAGTTGAACATATTGATTAAAAAAAAATCTAATAAATGACAGTGATAAAATTAATGTAAAACAATTTCAACTCAGTAGTAGTTAGATAAAATTTTGCGTAAATATTTCTTGTCTAATTGTTTTTTGCAAAATCTTTTGCGAAAGTCTTTTTGTGAAATTGTAAAATATGTCAACACAAAGATACTATATTGTGCTCTCAAAAAGATAAGCTGAAAGATTAATTTATAAAATATAATTAATTTTTTAAATTCCGTTATTTTTTTTTTTTTTGTGTGTGTGTAAAAAAAAAAAAAAAAGAAAAAAAATGTTCAAAGTTTATTTTTCGTGTTAAAAAGTTTATTTTTTCGATGTACAAAAATTTTAAAACAAATATTTTTGGTACAAGAAAAAACAAGTCAAAAAAGCAATGGCCGCCAGCAATTAATACATTGAATTAAAGCTAGAGTCACAATACTTCAAAAAGTAAATTGGAATTTTATTCCAAGAAATACAATTAAGACCAACAATCAATTTTATTCCAAATTTGTCCGAATACCAAGCGAAATGGGTGCGAAAATCCAAAGGTCCCTATAGTACAATTGAAAGAAAGATCTAATTTTACTAAGAAAACAATTTAAAATTAAAATATAATTTTAAATATGAAACAAAGATTAATAAAAAAAAATTGCTAGCAATTGTTTTGTTTTTTTTTCATTTTTTTTTTCCTTTTTTAAACATGTTTTAAATTTAAAAAAAAAACAGAGTTAAGAAAAGAAAAATACACTTTCATTTATGTTGATGCCAAATTTTGTTTGGTTTTTCAGTTTTTGGTCTGCAAGAAGTTGATTCTACAAGAATGAAAATGTATGTTTCAATAATAACCAAGAATCTTTTTTTTAAGTAGTCTTTGATTTTATGGCATTCTATCTCCGCACCCACCCTTTATATATTTTGAACTTTCACTACCAACTCACAAACATGAAGAATCA